AAGGAAAACTTGAGCATTAACGCACGTAACAGTGAACGAAAGGGTGCCTCTTCCTTCATTGGATGAAAGAAAGAAGACTGCATATAGCATGACAAGGATTGATGTGTGCATTTTGCATGATTGTATGCATTTCTTTTTTATTACTGAAAAAAAAAAAATTAGCATTAAAAGAAAAATAATAAAAAAATTATATAAATATGTAGAAGGATGTAATGAAATTATGGAATATGGAAATAGGAAAGAATGCTGGAGGAATATACAGCCCGCGTGCAAGGGGGATATTTGCCAGTCGAGTAGGAGAACGAAAGGGTGGAATAAGAAAAAAGGGATATAGAAAGAAAGAAAGGGGTGAGTTTTTATACAGACATATAAGTAAAAAAAAAAAAGAAAAAAGAAAAGGAATTACAAAATACAAAATACGATGGATTTTACACAAGAGTAAAAAGCAGACAAAGGTATTAAAGTGCCTTGCCCTGTCCCTTTCCAGAGACAAAGCCATTGTCGACACGAGCGCGCGTTTTTAGGAGTTCACGGTAACCAGGTAGTTCGACTGCGCTCGAGCCAAATGGTCCCTGGGATTTCTTCTCCTCCTCTTCGGTCTCTTCATGGCTGTCGTTGCCGCTGTTGTTGCCGCTGCTATGCACGTCCTCGTCCTTGTTGCTGTACGTATTTGAAGTTGACTTGGCATTGGGCGAAGATCCAATGGCCACAGGGGTCGAAGATGCCATAACAACGTTGCTGAGACCAGCCAGACGGGCAGCCTTGCGCTCCTCCTTCATCTTGATGATCTTGTTGGCCTCCTCGCGCGACATGTGAGTGCCCAAGAGGTGGTCCCAGATAGTGCCAAAGGGCTGCGAGAAGTTGCTCTTGATACCAAAGTTCTGATGGTGAATATCATGGCTGTTATGAGAAGGCAATAAAAAAAAATAAAAATAAAAAAAGCTGGGTTAGCGACAAATTCATCCGAGTACTATGGTTGCGCAAGGTCGTATCAGCAGCAAGATAGAGCGTCCCACTTACTAGTCAGCATTGTTCCAGAAGAGGCGCTGCAGAGGGTTGAAGGGCAGGTTGTATCCGCAGTGATCGTCCACAGTCTTCAGGGTCGAGAAGGAGAAGAAAGCAAGAGCACCGCGGTTGCCCATACCGCTGAACAGGAAGGCCAAGCTGGCACCGACACTGTCCATCAGGAAACCTTCAAAGGGATGGTTGTAGAGCGCGCCAAATGAGTAGGTCACGTAGAGGCGATGGTGACGCGAGTGGAAATGCTTGTAGAGATATGGCACGTTGTGGAAGAGACGGTGGAGGAAGTATTGCCACGTGTCCAAGAACGACATGGCGACAAAGAAGCGGACCATCGACTCAAGATAGTAGTAGCCCACATATGCCATGTTTGCAACCGCTGCCTGGGAGACATACGGCTGGAGTCCTGCGAGTGAAAGGGCGTAGCTGATCCACATCTGGTATTTTGCCAGGCTGAGCTCGTCATCAAAGATCATTTCTGAATCGTCTGCAACGACAACAATGAAGCCAAGAGCGGTCTAAGAAGGAGATACATTCGCACATAGACAAAGAGAAAGAGCCATGGGTTAGAATAAGGATCTTCTCTAGGTGAGATTGTCACGATATCTTTTCCCGCCATATCTCCTTTTCATTATTCTCCAACACATAGCGCTAATGACTCTCACATCCACATCTACGCGCGCACATTGTGATGAATGGACTGGAGAACCCTCCTCATCTGACTGTTCCAGCTCATAATCATTTTCATGCAGTACCGCAGATTATCATAAGTAACTCCTCCCCCTAGCTGGAACAAGGCTCTGAGAAAATGATCGAATAGGGAACGGACGGAATGGAATGAAGCGGCTCTCGTATTTTTTTTTTTTTTTTTTTTTTCAACTGCAGACACCGCCAACTTGGACTGGTACCATCGGCAGCATGAAAGGAGATACGGCGCAGTGGGTATGCACAGTATGAGGTAAGAAAGAGGAAAAAAGAGCGGCGGTATATAGAGCAGATGGATATACTCTTAATCGGCTTCCTTATTTTCCCCCCCTATTGTTGTTCCTGAGCCGAATGAATTTCCAGTCATGGTCCCAGTCTCCTGTCCCTGTGCCCCAGTGCTTGTGTCTGCGGCTGTATATTGTTAACCTTTCTTGACCGCTGGCCATTCCTGTCGATTTTATCTGTCCAAACAATGTTGTCATCATCCCTGCTACCCTGCACCCTTTTTATACTTTTGTGTATGGATGTCCTGAATGCATACCCTGAGCAAGTCCTTGCGCACCGCGCGACATTATTATCGACAGTCGATATTATTCAGTGGCCCTTATTCGATCCAACTACTGCCATTTCATAAAACCCATTGTGGAAATAATTCAAACAAAGCATCACACTATGTGGAGGGGGGAGTTTTCAGTAGAAAAGAATCGATGGATTGAATAGATATGCCTGGGTCTACTCCCCCCTTGGCCCTGTCATTCTTGTAACACAACACCATAACACACACGATACCACACACCCTTCCATTCCTCACACGGACCCATACCGGAATAGACACACATAACGATCCTAGAAAGACCTTGGTCCCGTCTCCAAACCCTCTTTTTCTGGCTTTTTTTTTTAGTGGATGTATTTGCTTTGCTTACCTGCAAGACCTGCTGGACGATGACGGCTTTGATGACATCGGGTAGTGAGACTCTGTTTCGGGTCTCTTCCTCTTTGTCGTGGATGCGATACTTTTCGAACCAGGCGAACTCTTGAAGTGAGATCCAGTGGAAGAGCAGGGAGTAAACCCAGTAGACGATCACGGGCAGCAACAGAGCCAGCGACTGGTCTGATATGAACGACAATAGAGGGGCCTGGACCGTGGGTGCCATTGGTGAATAAGAGGGACGGAAGGGTGGGATAAAGAAGGGTGTGTGTCTACGCGTGCAAGTAGGAAAGTGCGCGGTTTTGGTATCCCTTTCTCCAACTGCAAATGCCTCGTGTCAAGAGGCGTAGGGCAAAGGAGAAGTGCCGTGAAAGGGATGGTCGGTGCTTTTTGCTTTCCAGAGGGAACTCTCTTTATAATACGTGAGGTGTTCAAAGGGGAAGTGAGCTTGACAGAGTGACGAGCAGTGTGAGCCGACGAGCGAGGCAGCGAAGAGGAAGGTGGTGGTGTTGTTGAGTCGACCGAGTTGAATAAAGGGAGAATGAATGAGCGAATGTGCGTAGGGACGAATGAATGAATGTGATTGTGAATGTGAAGGAAGAAAGAGAGAAAGGAATGAGAAAGAAGAGGCTGACAGGAGAGGGCTTTGCGGGACTTTATATGAAAGACGGAAGCGGGGGGAAGCTGAACCGGTTTGAATTCGGTTGTGTCCTCTGCGCAAATATTATTCATCCGTTGCAGTTGCCATTTTATTGCACTCCAGCTCCAACCAACTCCACTCATTTTAACTCATTCCGCCCTATCACTTTTTTTTTTTGAGCGGAGAAAAAAAAAAGAAAGAGAGATAACCACCTCATTCATCTGCTGGACATTTTTTTTTTTTCGCGCCCCACAGGATACCTTGTCTTGGAGGGATTCAGGGAGGAAAAAAGAATCCAGAGGAGGCCATACTTGACAGGGAGGGCGAGAGAAGGAACGGGATAGGGCAGAGCGCCGTTGAAGTGCTTGAACGACCAGGGCCACAACCAGGAACAGACATTGCTGTCATTATCCAGCGACAATTGGTCTTCATCCAGCTACGTGTTCAGTAACTCGAAGGGTGCCTTTTGCTCTCGTTACTCACGCACCTGCATCGTTACATCTTCATCCCCTTGTCTTCTCCATCTCTTCTTCCCTGTTTCCTCTGCAGATTCATTCTTTCGTGAACGCAGTGTTTTTTCTTTCTTGGCTTGCTTGTTCTACTCCTGCTCAGATTGGGCTGTCGCCCAACATTCGGTGGAGCGTCTACTTATGCCTACATATCTGCCAGCTCGCTCGCTCCGCAGCCCGTGTGTCTAGATGAGTCGGTTTCAGCGCTATCTGCCTGCACACCACTATCATTTCTGCTTGGTCTGTGGACAATCGAATCGAAAAGAGCATTGAATAAGGGTTTGACTCAATCGCTCTCCTATATCTCATGTTTGACACACGAGAGTAGGGGATCGTCTAAAGAATACTGAACCAAAAAAACAATAATTGAGCATTACAAATGTACCGGCGGCTCCAGAGGGGGTCTTCTCTCTCTCTACCATCGTTGTGCTTTTCCAAAATACGCTTGCCGCCATGTTTAATAAGCAAAGAAAACTCATGCTGCGCTTTGCGCGATGCCTCTCGTTAACCATTTAGAATACAAGCGCGGCATTGAGTGCAATTATAAACTCGAGCCTTTTGGTTGTACCATTCTTTTCTTACTGGGATAGTTCGATTTTCTGACGGCTGTTGCTTTTAACATTCCACGGGCTAACAAATATTGTCCACTGTAGGGGGGAACGTAAAGAAATGCTGGTAAAGCAGTCGTGCATGGCAGCATTGTTTGTGGTTGTTCGTTTTCGTTTTTTTTTTTTTTTTTGTCGGTTGCTATTCTCACCATCTATGTTCATGCAAAAAAATAAAAAGCAGGTTGAAGGAGGGACGGGCTGTAGACAAAGATACAATGGCCTTCATACATATGCCAAGGACCAAACAGCTAATTAATCTTGGCACAATAATCGGGTCCATGTTTATATCTTCCATACTTGTAATGGAAAAAAATAGCGAGGGACTGATAATGGTGTGTTGTTCTATTTCGGCCGCCGTTGGAAGCGGCGTGTTATCGTGCAGAAAAGATCGCGCAGTTCCCGAAGAACGGGAGGAAAGAAAGTAACGTGGCAACAAAGATATTCCAGCTTATAAGCTATTTTCAATTGACGTTTTCAAACGTTACCTAGCAGCAAACGTGAAAAAAAAAGACGCGACGGTCGCGCGCACAACATCGTTTTTCAGGCAAGGTTATAATGTAATCCATGCTGGCAGACAGTTGGATTTGTTTGGACCTTTTGGGTACAGTAGATGAAGATCCATTCAGTTTGTGCGCAGTTAAGGTTTTTGAAAGGGACAGGGCACTCGAAGGAAAAGGAAAATGACACTTTCCTGCATGCATGTGCTAAAACTGAAGACCGATGCCTGCCGCTGCAAGGTCGAAGCAGACCTCCAGTCTATGTACTGTACTGTAGTCTACCAGCTGATGGACATTTTGCTCTGGTCTAATATTTCTTTGTTTATGTGAGCCATGGCGGCAGTGACCATGACGCTCAAGGCGAGAAGGGTCCGGGAATGGATTTATCCATGTGGATAGAAAAAAAAAAAAAGTTCCGGACTGGCCAAACCTTTTATTGCTATTCAGCGTGATAGACTAGATACACAGAGTACAGCTGTGGGGGAGAGGGAGGGAGAGAAGCCATGGGCAGCTGGGGACTGGTAGAAGCACGAAGGAGTGCCGCGCCATGAACACAGACTCTGGTTCGCATGTACGGAGGACCACAGCCTGCCGGTTTATTTGGAGCAAGAAATGTCTGTGTGCCCTTGTGTCTGTGTCTGTGTCTGTGTCTGTGCCAATGCCCAAGAACCACAGGCGAACATTCCAGCCCTGCCCTCTTCCGCTGATTCGGCGGTTGGCTGTTGCCTTTGTCCTTCTGATTGGTAGAAGCGGCCTGACACAGGGACAGAGCGGTCTCCAGCGCAGTGTTCGCCCATGCTGCCCATTTCTTCCTTTTCGAGAACTGCCGCGCTCCAGACCACGCATTTCATTTCAGTCCTCCCAGCCGAGGGCCTCCCCAGCCCCGCCTCTTTTGCTCCCGTCTCATTCGATCTCCACCTGTGTGCTGCGATACCAGCGCCGATCCCCAGGAATAAAAATTCAATTGGAAGTCCCCACTCAGTCACTCCCAACACAACACAAAACAAAGGAAATCGGCTCACAACACCAGGACCGTTACACTTGTACGGCTGGCAGAATGGTTCATGCGCGGATCGCAAACTCAATACCTTAATGGAAAAAAGTTTCCTGTTCACTTTTCTCCCTCAAAGCACAAAACACAATAGCCAAATCGTTACAGCTGCAGGTGCGATTCACTCGAGTAGGACAAGAATGGGCATGGGGTGTCCATGGACCTTTTTTTTTTTTTTTTTTGTCTTTTATTTAATTTGGGCGCAATCGCCACGATCGTTCTTGTTGTTTAAACACTTCCAAATTCGCTTACTTTTTCATGCCTCTTTCGGCTGTCTTGGTTTGTTAAATACCAGCGTGGCAGAGCAACAGATTTGGACACCCGATGGATGACAAGTCGCGTAAGATCTAGGCTAAACACAGCTCGTTTGTTTGAAACATGTGTCGTGTCGGCAGTTGAGTCTTGAGTAACTTATACACCACTTGCTCTTGCAGCACCACATTTTTATCAATCAGTCAGAAGGGGAGTAAGAGGGACACAGCGAAGGGCGCTGGGCCAGGGTAGTTGTTTGGATCGCCATCCCAGTGTTTAGGAACCTTCCAATCAAATCTGGCCATGATCCAGCCAGACCTACATAGCACACCCTTTCCACACAGTCCTATTCACTCAGCAAAGTGCTGGTTTTAGGGTTTTTTTTATGTCTTCTAGCTAAAATACGTACATACGTGATATTTACAGCCAATCAAACGCGTCTTCTGGTAGGTTCGAGCGCGTCCCAGAAGCAGCGAGAACCTCTCGCTCCATGACTTCATGACTCGGGCATGACAGCATAAGGATCATCCTGTATAAAGCATTACTAGGGAATCCCCTTCCATCTTTTTTGTTCATTTGATCTCCTCTCACTCCTCTCCACTCTTTCCACATTACCCTCTTTCTCGCTCTCTCATCACTACACTCTCTTTCCACAGACCACGTCTCTTACTCAACTCGACCCTATTTCGTAATATTCCAAACTCTCATTCTTTCTCTCACACACAGCACATACACATACACATACCATGGGAAAAGATTACTACAACATCCTCGGTGTATCAAAGGATGCAGACGAAGACCAAATCAAGAAGGCATACCGCAAGCTCGCCCTCAAATATCACCCCGACAAGAACTCAGCTCCCGAGGCCAAGAAAAAGTTCCATGACATCTCCGAGGCCTATGAGGTCCTGAGCGACAAGAACAAGCGCGCCGTCTTTGATCAATTTGGTGAAGAAGGTCTCAAGGGTGGTGGAGGTGCCGGTGGCCCTGGAGGCCCCGGTGACGCTGGTGGCTTCCCTGGTGGATTCAGTGGCTTCCCCGGTGGTGGCGGCGGTGGACACACCTTCACCTTCACTTCTGGTCCCGGAGGCATGGGCGGTGGTGGATTCAGACCCACGGACGCAGAGGACATCTTCAAGCAATTCTTCTCCTCCTTTGGCGGCGGCGGCGGTGGTGGATCTTTCGGAGACGAAGATATGCCTGGATTCGGAGGTGCTGGCATGAGGTCAGGCTCAAAAGGAATGCCCGGCGGTATGCCTGGAGGAATGGGCGGCATGGGCGGCATGGGGGGCATGGGAGGCATGCCAGGTATGGGAAATATGGGAGGTATGGGAGGCATGCCCGGTATGGGAGGAGCACGATCCCGCGCACAGCAGCAGCAGCAGCAGCAGCAATCCGCGCCCGAGAAGCCACCAGCGCTGGTTCGCACGTTGGCCGTCTCGCTCGAGGACCTGGCAAAGGGTGTTACCAAGCGCCTCAAGGTCACCCGCAAGGTCCGCGATGGATCAGGACGATCTGCAGATAAGATCCTCACGGTCGATGTCAAGCCCGGCTGGAAGGCTGGTACCAAGATCCGCTTCCCCAACGAAGGAGATGAGTACCCGAACGGAACCACACAGGATATTGAGTTTGTGCTGGAGGAGAAACCACACCCAGTGTTCACTCGACGTGGCGATGACTTGATTGTCGAGCTGGAGCTGACGCTACTGGAGGCCCTGACAGGATTTTCAAAGACGGTCAAGACACTCGACGGACGGACGCTGCCTGTCTCCGCCAGTGGCTCAAGGGTGATCCAGCCCAGCCAAGAAGAAAAATTTCCAGGCGAGGGCATGCCGATCTCGAAGAAGCCAGGGCAGAAGGGCGATCTTATTGTGCGCTTTGTGGTCAAGTTCCCAACGCAGCTCACACCTGCGCAGAAGGAGGGCCTCAAGAAGATCCTTGCATAAGACAGCCACCACGATACACTCTATCATCCCGAACTCCATCACCTTGTTCCTCCATCATTTTTTTGCTCCTTCAGCTTCAGCCTCTACACATCCCTCTCCAACTCTTTGTACAAACGTCCCGTGTAAATAATAACGAAAGCGCGAATAAAAAAAAGACAGAAAAGTAGTGGTTTTTTTTTTTTACAACTGTATCATGCATTCTTTATTTTTTTCCTCAATTCATGCAAAACAAAAAGTCATCAAGGTAACAAACACTTTCTAGACTTCCACCTCATGCATCATATTCTGCGGGGACGGCCATGGTATCGAAATCCCAATAGAATTGGATCGCATCAACGAAGCCCTCGTTATCGTTCTTGTCCTCAGCCCCGCCTCCGTTTCCTAACTTTGAGTGCCCGCCCTGTCCTCGGAGCCGACCAGCCTTGGGGATACGGCCGATCTCTTGGAAACCGAGACGGCGCCAGAGCTTGATGGAGGCCACATTGGAGACAAAGACGAGGTTGAACATCGAAGCCTTGTATCCGATCACGGGGACGACCCGCAAGAAAGCTTTGCCCAGGATCGAACCGATCCCCAGACCACGGTGGATCGGGTTCACTATGAAGCCGCCATTGCAGATCTGTAAAAAAAAAAAAAAAAAAAAAAAAAAAAAAGTCAATTTTTGGTGGCAACAAAAGGTGGGGCTAAGGGTATCTCCTCCCCAGTAAAAACAGGCTGAGTCATCGGTCCTTTCGTGTGAGGCCAGGCAGCATTTGAACACCATTTGACCACAACAGGAACTCGACTTACATGGGAGCAACGGCCCTATGGACAATTTCAAAACAAAAACAAAAGGGAGAGAACGATTAGACTAGTTCCACAACACTGCTATTGCATCCAGGGTCCAGCTAGCATCGGTGTCATGCACAGATGTAGATGTATATATATTTTTTTTTTTTCGCTTACAGGAAAGTTGGGCTTGACATAAAAGAATCCCAGGAGATCAGTCTGCCATTGATCAGCCCCACTCCTGGTCCCAATTGCAGTCGCCTGCTGATACCGACCCTTGAGGAGTACGAATGCATCCCCGGAAAAGAAGTAGTTCTCAAACTGTGAATCGTCCAGGACAGATTCCTGCGGGTAGGTGTCACCACGTTCGACTTCATGGTTAAAGACCTGTTGCATAGCCTCGACTAAACTAGGATGTGTAGCCGCTGACAAGGTGTAGGACTGTGTCGAGAGGTTGGGTAATTCGGACTTGGAACTGATCCGGAACAAGGTTGCATCAATTGAGGTCGAGGAATCTGCATTGGCATTGCTTCGAAGGGTGGCATGGCGAGGCAGCACCGTGGCGAGACTTTGGTCCGAGACTGGGCGGGCGATGCTTCCGTAAGCTGAGGACATGTTCTTTTTTTTTCTTGCGATGGGTTGACAAAGGGTTAATGATAAAGCGGGGGGTACGCAGACCTGGTTTATATACAGTTTTCTCCCAAGAGCTTGTTCCTGGGCCCCGTCTATTCTTCCACTGCATTCTTAGACTATTTTTTTTTTTTTTTTTTTTTTGTCCGTTCTGCCTCCCACTAGGTGTATAAGAAATTATACGCGAGTACTTGATCATGATAACACCTTTTTTTATTTTTATGATTTGAATGCCTCGATCTATGATACATGCATTTCTCTACAATGCATACAACGCCCGCATCACCAACTCGTACGTCGTAAACGTTGCTGCTGCCGCAGGTACTGCACGAATGATAGTCGGAGAAAATCCACGGAAAAAGGGCTTAATGCCACCATCCCTGTAGACCTGCTTCGCCGCGTCCAGGATGTAGAAAGCACCCTTTGGTGGATTGGGTTGATTTTGGATCTAAAAAAAAATAAAATAATAGATATAAAATTACTTGTCGCATCAGGTCACAGAGGGTTCATTCTCAAAGTGCGTGTCCATCGCGCGATCGCTTACCATGGACTTTAGCATGTCGAGAGGGTAGCATGCAAACCAATAGGATACTCCTCCCGTGGCTCCTGATGCCATAAGTGAAAAGAGTCCCAAATGATATGTGGCGGGATCCTCGCCCTTAGGTGTCAGATATCTCTTCATGCCCTCGAATCCAGCATAGAAGCCAGCATAGCCGGGGATCTCTCTCAAGACCGTGATCCAGTATCCGCGCATCAATCCATGACGAATCCCGTGCTCTTTGATCAATTGGCGTGCACAATCGACTGGTCCTGAGTAACGTACTGTCGATCCTGCGCCATATTGTGCCTGCATCTTGATCTTGAGAAGTTCCACCGGTGAGGCCAGGACAGCATTCACAATACCTAGATTATGAATTCAGATACAAAGTAGAGTGCTTTTAGCATGAATGTATGGATAAAGACAAAGAAAAAAAAAAGAAAAAAGCAAAGGGCTGTGGTCGTTATTGAATCGTACCTGCTCCTGCTCCTGCAATGGCGATCTGTTCAAGAGTGAGAGGGCCTCCCGGATAGGGCTCCTGCAGCTTCTTAAAGTTGGAGTATGCGGCAAAGAGGAGCGCGTTCACAGCAGCAATGCCGACCAAAGGACTGGCCATGCCTAGACAAAGGTGGAGAGGTAGATGTCAAATCAACAGCACGACATAATTTTGAATATCGCCACATTTTCTAGCTTTCTGCTCAGATGAAAAAAATTCTCAACATAGAGACTGGATCGCGTGAAAGGTCTGGGCTGTACCTTTGTAAAGACCAAGGAAGCCCTCGTTCTGGATGGTCTTGCGCAAGCAATCCATCGGTCCTGAGAAGCGTCCTGACCGACCCTCGATCTGTAGACGGGTCTTGATCGTGTCCATGGGCTGGCCTACCGTGACCTGGGCCTATTATTTTGAAGCAATGAGGACCAAGGGTGTGAGACGATGACGATGGATAGCTCTTTTTTTACAGGTACAGATCGTTATTCGCCGCCACATTCTTCTTGATAAAAAAAATGTTCAGTGTGGGTAGCATACCATTCCTCCGAGACTATATGTTAGGAGATGGAGAACAGAGCGTATGAGTGCTCGAGCGTTCTACTACAAAGAATAGATAATGAATCTGCTGGCTGCATGTCGCTTATTACCTTCCAGCAACAAAGTCATGCCAGCGCTCGATCTCCTTTTTCTTCTGTTCAGACATTGCAACGAAGATTGGGAATGGGAATGAGGGTGAGAATGAGGATGAGAATGAGATTGAAGTGTGGGAGATGAGCTGCTGGAATGGAGCGAAGGCAAAGAAGGAGAGAAGGGGGAAAGTAAAGGACGCGGCGCTGCAAGGACCAGGCTGCCATTAACGACCTGGAGTCCGTTCCTGAGCGAGTCGTGACTGTGGATGGCGTCAATCAAATAAATCTAGACAGTGTTCCCCCTCCAAGATAGATCGGACAGGAGGGAGAAGGGCCTCTGTTGACGAACAAGAGCTGAGATTTCTTGTCAAGAACACATCCGGGGATATGTCTATGCTGCGAACGACTAAATTAAGCTGGCCAATTGATGCCGCTGTGCAGAAGGAAGGAAGGAAGGAAGAAGGAACACATTGTGCTGTGGACATGGAGCATGGATGGGGAGGAAGGTACAGGTACTAACCAATTGAGAGCAATGTCAGTCTTCGTCTGGAAGCCCTTCGATTGTACCCAATCCCACGCGTCTTCTACGGCGCATGGCGCATGGATGTTTGGGTGGTGTGTGCCTGAATCCTGTCCTAGGCCCAGGAACCAGCTAACCCAACCAAGGTTTATGACACATCCGAAGAGCGAACCCCGCATTCGTTCGATTTCCTAAAACTGCTGTTATAACCCTGTCCCCTCTCTCACCTCCCTTTCTCTTTTCACTCATTCCTCCTCCCATTCACTCCCCATTCACCACAACCTCCCCCGCTCTCGCCAATGAAGTACGGCAACTACCTCGAGGAGAGAAAGCTGCAGTTGCCCGCAGAGTGGCAGCAGGTCTTTATCGACTACAACGGCCTCAAGACCTTCATCAAGCAACACATCGCTCCAGCCTGCCTCAAGCCCACCCTCGCCGATCAGCAGGCCCACAATGCTACTGCCACCACTACTGCCTCGCCTGCATTGTCAGGAAGTAGCCTCCCAGTCAACAACAACTCGATCCATACTCTCACCTCTCCAGCGCTTGGCGGATCGATCACACCAGCGGCTACACAGGAGGATCTGAATGCCTTCTCGGCCATGATCGCTTCTCGACTGACCATCCTCCAGACTAAAGTACCCGAGTTCCTCGCAAGACTGGACCAGCAGGTTGCAGACGTCTCGACCTTCACCACAGCTGAGACCCGGAAGATCTATGAGGCCTATGGGGCCTTCCAGGTCGCCAAGGTCGGCCTGGGACTCGATTCGGAAACTGACAGCAAGTCTGCACAGTCGACAACAGCAGGAGAGAATAACTCACTCGAGACGCTGCTGCAGTCAGTGATCAAACTTGAAAAATATATCTTTTTGAACTACACGGGCATCGTCAAGATCATCAAAAAGATGGATCGCCACGCAGGACTCGGGATCAGTGAGGCGTACCTCGGCCGTGTCTGGAAGCTGCCGTTTGCGAGGGCTGAGCAATTGAGCTCGCTCAAGAAGGAGCTCATGGAGAAGCTGAGTGGAGTCAAGAACGCTGCCACGACCACTGCTGTTGTCAGTGCTCAGCAGGAAACTACCATTGGACGTTCAGGTACGAAGCACGTTGATGCTGTTATCATTTCTTGACCTTTTTTTTTTTTTTTTTGTTTGAGTCACCATCCCTTCCGTCCAATTGTTTGTGCAGTATTTGGTCACATTCATATGCATTTGCCGTTACTTCGTCCTTGCACCTCCATCCATATCAACGAGATAAGAAGATCGTAGTCCGACAATCCGGCAGCATTCGACGACACACCCACTTCTAGACTATGACAAGGTTTTCCAAAAAGCCTAAATGTCATAAATCTTCCGGGGGCCAATGAGGACTCCTTGTTGACACAAACTCTCACATCCAATATATCCTACCTCTGACAATTAAGTAGCAACCGGAGATGTCGTGCACTCGCCCCTGGCATTCAACTTCAAAGCAGATTCACCTGTTATGATGTGGCGCCCGACTGCGCTGAAACCCACAGAAAAGACCTGGTTCCCTCCTGCACCTTTGCTGCCTCATCAGCGCGTCCTGATCTCGATGAGTGGACCTCACGGAACCGACATTATCGGAACACTCTTGGCCTGTGCTGCTAAATACCAGTGTGCGGTCGATGACTTTTCGTTCGCGCGTCTGTATCATAATGTGACGTTCGCGATCCTAGTCACGATCAAGAACGATGATATGGAGATCTTCAAGGACTTGGCGGCGGCGGCCAAACGCTGGGATGCGACCCTGACGTTCGACATCCTGGACTCGTTGAAGAAGGACCCTCATTTCGGAAATTACGTTCCCGGGTCCTTGGAGGACGCGCCTTATGAGGGAAGGCTGAAGTACACGGCGACTGTGCTCTGTCAACATGGTCTGACGCCGGCCTTCTTGTCAGACTGGACACGGTTGCTGTTGGAGAACAAGATTTCGGTCGAGAAAATGGTCCGTTTGAATGAGGGTCAGTTGTCGTGTGCGGATTACAAACTGTCGATCCCAGCGGCTCTGAGCATGGACAAATTCAGGGAAGTGCTCTTTCAGCTCAGCGCGGCCCATGGTACCGATGTGGCCTTGCAGCCATATGACGTGTTCAGGAAACATAAGCGTCTTGTCGTCTTTGATATGGATTCGACGCTTATTCAGCAGGAGGTCATTGATGAGATTGCGCGCTACGCCGGCGTCATGGACAAAGTCGCAGTAAGTTGTTCCTTTCCTACTCACAAAACATCAGGCCACTGGCCGATTTTCAATGCTGGCAGGTAATTAAGCCTTGGTTTTCTCTGCGTTCTTTGGACCATAGGAAATCACAGAGGCAGCGATGAACGGAGAGATCGACTTTAAAGAGTCTCTCAGGCGACGTGTCGCGCTCTTAAAAGGCACTCCAGCCAATGTGCTTGATATCGTTCGCGAGCGCTTGACCTTTACCGAGGACGCGCTCTACCTCTGCAAGGCCCTCAAGAAGATCGGCTTCAAGCTCGCCGTTATCTCTGGTGGCTTCATGCCCTTGGCCCTGCACGTCAAGAACGTTCTTGGACTGGACTATGCGTTCGCCAACCACCTCAAGGTCTCGCCGGACGGACTCTACCTCACCGGAGAGACCATCGGCCCCATTGTTTCGGGCGAGCGCAAGGCAGAGTTGCTCGAGGTCATTGCCCAGGCGGAGTCCGTCACCCTGGACCAAGTCATTGCCGTCGGCGATGGTGCCAACGATCTGTGGATGTTGGCCAAGGCGGGTCTCGGCATCGCCTTCAATGCCAAGCCCAGAGTCCAGCAGGAGGCACGCGCACGAATTAATCAAAAGAGCCTTAAGTATGTACTTTACCTGCTTGGATACGAGGACGCAGAGATCCGACAGCTCGCCAACTCGTAGACACGCGCCTTTTTGTTGTCATACTCCCTCTGCATCTTAATCTTTTTTATATATTAAATAAGCAAAAAAAAAAAAAAGGGTGTTTGATCTGCTGTCTAGAATTTATGGCGCTTACGACTCGCTTGAGGGGGCTCATGTTCGTCTGAATCGTAAAAGTCGTAGGCGTCATAGAATTGATCTCCTTCTTCATCGCTCGGTCTTCCTCCACCTCCTGAACCTCCAGAGCCTTCGTGTCGGATATTACTGCTCACAGCCATGGCCGTGTAGCGCGACGATGACGCTGCCATTGTCTTGCTTGTCCCTGTTCCGGCTATGTTTCTGCTCGAAGAATCGGCTGCAAAGCGGGCGAGTCCTGCTCGAATGTCCACAATACCATTTCCGTATTCATATCCATCGCCATCAATGGCATCTGCTTCATGGTCTACCAAGAACATCGCATCGTCCTCGATATCGCCAAAGAAATCGTTGTCCATCTCCGTATTCTTTGTCAGCGCTTGTTTGCGGATCTTGCCTGGAGTATTAGCCTTTGGCTTCCCTTTTGTCGCCCCAGAGCCCTCAGTCTCCAGTTTTCTGGCGCGTTTCTTGGTTGCTGCAGCAGCGGTCGGAGAATTCGTATTCTATAGGATGTAGATGCTGTTAGAATGGACCGCAATAATAGCTTTAAGTAAACACAGGGTATCGCAAGAGGACTTACGCCTGAAGCGAAAGGCATCTCCACTTTGACTGTGCCATTGACTACACCGCAGGCCTCCCTCCCAAGATAGACATAGCTCGCAAAGGCTTGTCCGGCAGCTTCCACTCGCTCAGTGAAAATCCTCTTGGAAACAAGAAACCTTGCCAATCGTTCTGCATCCGTTCGAGGCCAGTTCTTCCCCATACCATAGCCGTCCAGGCTGTCATGGCCGTACTGGCAGATCCTTTTCAGTTTGGCTCCGCGAAACAAGTCTACAAGATAGAGCAGTGTGTACCGATCGACTTCCCGGCGTGCCGTATAATTGCTGAGATTCATCCGCGCCGAAGGATCCTCGTTATACACAAGTTTGCGGACAAATCCAATCATCGCCTTGGCCTCAGTCGACACATCCTTGATATCAAACGCCTGGTTTCTCCGGCAGTTGTCGCAAGTATTGGCACAATCAAGTCGCGAAAAGTGCTCCCCAAAATAACTCAGCACCTGAGCTCGACGGCAGTCCATCTTATTCTCGCAATACATAATCATCTGCTGGAGATTGTCCCGTTGCCGCTGCTTCTGATCGCGATTGCCCTCTCCTTTGTCAATCATGAACTCGATCGTCACCTTGTCTCGATAGGTGTAAAAGAGAAGACAGTATGCATTGTCGCCATCACGTCCTGCACGACCCGTCTCTTGGTAGTAGCCCTCGAGCGATTGCGGTAAAGAGTGGTGAATCACGAACCGCACGTTCGGCTTGTCAATACCCATGCCGAAAGCTACCGTTGCGACGATAATCTGCGTGCTGCCTTCCTGCCATGACTTTTGAATCGCGATCCTGTCCGATTTGTCGAGTCCTGCGTGGTAGTGCTGGGCGCTCAGGCCAAATTCGTTGCGCAGTTTGTCAGCCATCTCCTCACAAGCACGCTTACTGGTGCAATAAATGATTCCGCAAGCGCCCGGATATGTTGCAGTGATAAATGCATGGATGTCGCTGTAAATCTTGGCAGTCTTGGGTCGAACCTCATAGTATAAGTTGCGGCGGTTGAACGATTGTTTGAGCACCAGACAGTTCTGCATCCCGAGATTATGCAAGACATCCTGCTGGACTTTGGCATTGGCGGTTGCCGTCAGGGCCATGAGCGGGACACCTGGGTACTTGGTCTTGAGCTCCCCCAACAACTTGTAATCCGGTCGAAAATCATGGCCCCACTGGCTCAAACAATGCGCCTCGTCAATAACGAATCGCGCTAGCAGGCCACGCGCATGGAGCCGCCTCAACGCCGACTGGGCCTGACCACTCTTAGACAACATCTCCGGTGTCATGTAGACCAGCTTGGTCAGAATTTGATCCGCCTCGAGCTGATCGAAAACAAACCTCCTCATGGCCGCATCCAGATTGCCGTGCAGAATCACAGTAGGGATACCGTTATTGATCAGATGCATCGCTTGATCGTGCATCAAACTGAGCAAGGGCGAAATCACAATCGTCACTCCAGTGGGGCTGTTTCCAGAACTGCTGCCAACTGTTGCCGGTAGCTGATAGCACAAACTCTTGCCTCCTCCAGTTGGCATCAAAACAAATACGTCCTTTCCGGAAAGAGTCGCATTAATCGCCGCCAATTGATTTGGCCTGAAATCCCGCAAGCCAAAGATATCTCGAAGTGCAGTCATCACTCTTCCTGACCAAGGATAGACGGCGGCGTCCTTGGTCACAGGAGACTGAGAGCGCTGTGAAGTTGAATTGAAGAGGGTAGCCGGTCGACTCCGAGTAAGAGCCGTTGAATTTGAACTTGCTGATGTGAATGAAGTGCTGTTACTGATATTGCAGTCGCTGGTGGTGTAGCTGTTGATCAAAGGGGGCTGATTCTCCTTTTGCACCATGGTGGACTCTTCATGCGACTGAAAGTTGAACCTGGTATGAGAGGGTGCGACGTATGCAGGGGTTGATTGCGCTGAGCGGACAACACTGCCGCTACTATAGTTGATGCTACTATCCCGATGGCTTTCCCCGCCTCGCATGCTAGTGGAGCTGTTACTAGCGAAATCCATCGCAGCTCTTTTGGCGTCCAATTTTGGTTGTAGGCTACTGATGCGGTTGCGCATGATCCTCCATTCCTTCTTGAGGTCGTCTGCGTCTTCATTCATATCATCACGGTCCATGATCAAATCTCCGAGGCGCCGTTTTTCATCCACCGCAGTTTCCAGCATGACCTCCAGCTCCTCGATAGTAGCATCCTCATCCACATCCAGAACCGTTCCAGACGAGTCGCTCTTCTTCGCTGCGTCAGCCAGAGGGCTAGGATAATTGGCGGAAACTGGACTAATCCTGACGCTGACCTTGGCAATATTCTAAAAAATTAATATGAACAACACCATGTGAATCCACAGGCCATCAATCGATAACTACGCAACGCTCTTGAACAGCAGTCATGCCCACCTTTGTCCTGGACTCTTCCACCTCCAGTTCGTTCAGGATCGCATACTCCTCCGTATAATCATCGTTGCAGTCGGCTGCAAGGTCGTACTTTGTAGGCGCAGGGACAGTAACATTGGTTGATTTTGGTGTCGCTGAACCGCTTGGAAGCCTGGGGGCTCTCAAAGATGCCAAGGACGTCAGTTTAGGAGACGAATTCGATGATGAGCTGCCTCCGTTGCCAAACACATTGATGGAGAATGCAGCATTGTTTGAAATGCTGACGCTACTCTGACTATTATCGCTTGATTTGCTGGTATTAGGGTTGCCACTGTCGCTGTTGCTATTAGTATTCTTGTTGTTGCCGATGGTATAGTTGTTGAAGACTGGGTTTGAGCTACTAATGGCGTTGGTGCTGCTGACGGACTCCTGCACTGTCGGCCTGCTGGACCCTCCCCAACTCATCGCTGTCGGCATTGGAGTAACAATAGTACCTGGACTCCGTGCTCCGATATTCGAGACCTACACAACCAAATCATCAAGACATGGAGGCGTAAGTTTCCGTTGCTTGTCAAATATCTTTGGCCTTGACGAGCCGTAAGGTTCCGCCACCAAAACAATCCATGGACATACCTGTCGCGTGTAAGATGATATTGTCCCTTTGTCAGTCAAGGGTGTATATATAGCGTCGGTTGAGCAGATTCCAAATTCATAAATCTGGGGTGGCTCCATGGCTACGAATTCTATGCTGCTGACAGTTGCTCCAGGAGGAAGGTGATTCTCCTTGCTGGTGGTACGTCCGATGCCAGTGGGTCCGCGAAGACTAGTGATTCCTGGAAACTTTTCGGCGACAGCCTTCCGCATCTCCTCAAGGTTGTTTTTTGTTTGCCGCATCTGAAGGGCCATGGCTGGGCGTTGATGCAAGTGCGGTTAAAAAGGATGTAGCGGCAACAACTGCGAAGAGCAAACAAAAAAAATGGTGGCAAAACTGTCAGACTTTGAGAGGCAATAGAGAAAGGGCGCTTGGAAATAACGCAATAATGCTCCTGAGAAGAGAGTTCGATTGCCAGCTTGCAGTGGCTCGCTCTGATTGGTCAGGCACGATAAATCCACCCTCGAGTGAGCGAGTGAGCGAGCAACCACTCACGTCCCAACACCGCGTCCTTCGAGAGCGCACTTCCACACTCTTCTTTCCTCTTCTTCCTCCTTTCCCATCATCATCATCCTTCCTTCCCATCTCTCTTCTCCTCCGTCTCACGACCCCCTCCCTTCCTCTGGCCCTACCTCCCATCCGTGTCTATCACAATGGCTGGCTGTAAGTTCTCGTCGCTGCAGATCTATCGCATACTTTTGCAAAACACACATCCGCCATCCTTGGTGATCTTCAGGATCAGGGCTTTCAGTTGAAACAAGGCCCAAAGCAGGATTTCGAGACTAGGACGCCAGCGGCTCTCTTTGCGAACCCTAGGCTGGACAGCAGGATCAGCCCGTCATCGTAGACTCAGAAGCAGGACAACAGCCCTCTGTCATCATCACAAACATCTACTTCATCAGGCATACGTCTCCAGAACCTAACATTCTCGGTCCTCTCGTTTCATCTCTGTCTCTTTTTCTAGTCCGTTTTCTGCATTTGATCAGGCCATTCATGGCTGTCCTGCCCGAGATTGCTGCCCCCGAGCGCAAGGTACGTCGTTTGGCAATGTTGCTTATCGACTCTTGATCTGACTGATCTGACTCAGTTTCTTCTAATTGCTGTCTTACACTCAATGGATTCGTCGTCTCTTAACACAATTCTCTGCCATTCCTACAGATCCCCTTTAGGCAGAAGGTTCTCTGGACTGCCGTCACTCTCTTCATCTTCTTGGTCTGCTCCCAAGTCCCTCTGTACGGTATCATGTCCTCAGATTCGTCTGATCCTCTTTACTGGATGCGTGCCATTCTCGCCTCGAACCGTGGAACCCTGATGGAACTCGGTATCACTCCCATTGTCACCTCGGGCATGTTCATGCAGCTCTTGGCTGGTGCCAACCTCATCGAGGTCGACTACAGCCTCAAGGAGGATCGTTCTCTCTTTAACGGTGCCCAGAAGTGTAAGTCCTTTTGCTTCATGTCCCCGTTTGTACTACCTCAATTGAAGAAGCTTCTAACCATAACTTCGGAATTGTCTCTATAGTGTTTGCTGTCTTGATCGCCTTTGGTCAGGCTACTGTCTCGGTCATGAACGGATTGTACGGCCCTCCCTCCGAATTGGGTGCCGGTATTTGCCTGCTCTTGATCCTTCAGCTCGTTGTTGCCGGTGTCATTGTTGTCCTCTTGGATGAGCTCCTGCAGAAGGGCTACGGTCTCGGTTCCGGTATCTCGCTCTTCATCGCCACCAATGTCTGTGAAACTATTCTCTGGAAAGCATTGAGCCCCACCACCTACAACTTTGGTAACGGACCCGAGTTTGAGGGTGCCCTGATTGCTTTCTTCCACCTGCTCTTCACCCGCTCCAACAAGTCCCGTGCTCTGAAGGAGGCCTTTTACCGCCAGAACCTGCCCAACGTTATGAACCTCTTGGCTACCGCTCTTGTCTTCGGCATCGTCATCTACCTCCAGGGCTTCCGCGTTGAGCTCCCCGTCAAGTCCTCCCGCTTCCGTGGCCAGCGCGGCACCTACCCCATCAAGCTATTCTACACCTCCAACATGCCCATCATGCTGCAGTCTGCCTTGACCTCCAACATGTTCATGATCTCCCAGCTGATCTACAACCGCTTCCCCGAGAACATTCTTGTCCGTATCTTTGGAACCTGGACCCCTTACCAGGGCACCAGCCAGATGATTGCCTCGGGTGGCCTTGCCTACTACATGTCGCCTCCTCATAGTATCTCTGAGGCCCTCTTGGATCCTATCCACACGGTCGTCTACGTCACCTTCATGCTGACTGCCTGTGCCCTCTTGTCCAAGACCTGGATCGAAGTCTCTGGCTCCTCGCCTCGCGATGTTGCCAAGCAGCTCAAGGACCAGAACATGGTCATGGCCGGTCACCGTGATGCCTCGATGTACAAGGAGTTGAAGCGCGTCATCCCCACCGCCGCTGCCTTTGGTGGCGCTGTCCTAGGTGCCGTTTCCGTCTTTGCTGATTTAATTGGCGCTATTGGATCTGGTACCGGTATCTTGCTGTGCACCACCATCATCTACCAGTACTGGGAGATGTTTGTCAAGGAGAGCATCGAGAACTCTGGCGATGCCCTTGCCTTTTAAGGCGGCGTCCGCAATTTTTGAAAAGTCATGATGAGTCGCGAGGAGAAATTCAGGGATAACAAACTTGTTATAGAGTCTGTAGCTGCCACTTACATTTTTTTTATTACTTTGTACATCATAAACTGCCTTTAAATCTGATGCATTTGGAAGACATTGTTTATTGGAGAAGAGTTATCGAGAGCTCTACAGTTTGCTGTTGGCAGGAGTGACTCCCCCGATGTGGACAACGGCCTTGCCAAAGGTCTTTCGGGCAGCAAGATCGTTCAATCCCGTCTTGACAGAGTCCAATCCTTGATATATCTTCTCATAGACCACAGGGACCAACTTTTCTTTTGCAAATAGATCCAACAGCTCCTTCCAGACTTGGGCGACAGTCGCCACATCGTATTTCGCATACGCACCCCAGTGAACGCCAACCACAGAGACGTTCTTGAGCAGGATACGGTTCGCAGGAATTTTTTCAATCGTTCCCGCTGCAAAGCCCACGACCAGGACACGAGCGCACCAAGCACTGCATCGAAGGGACTCGTTGATTAGTCCAACAGGGTCATAGACGACATCGGCGCCACGGCCTCCTGTGATCTTGAGCACCTGAGTCGCCCAGTCCTTGTCCCGATAGTTGACGCCATAATCTGCACCATTCTTGAGCGCAATATTGAGCTTGTCCTGAGATCCAGCTGTTGCGATGACTTTGGCGCCTAGGGCCTTGGCGATCTGCACCGCACACAGGCCCACGCCCCCAGCGGCCGCATGAACAAGACACCACTCTCCGGCCTTCAATTGCGCGCGAACCGCCAGTGCCACGTAGCTGGTGGGATAGGTGATGAAGAGGCCACTGGCCTGTTCGAACGAAAGGTTGTCAGGGATGGGGAGGAGGGTCTTAGGATTGCAGACCAGCTTTTCGGCGTAGCAGCCTTGGGTCGAGCCAAAGACGCGGTCGCCGACCTTGTAGGGCGTCTTTGCGTCAGGATGAATCTGAGAGATTACGCCTGCAAACTGTATGGCAAAAGAAGTGGCCAAAACAAAGAGATTGAAGTGTTAATTCCTATGTCCGATGAATGGCTCGCTTCATTGCAAGATGCTATTGCTGTGCTTGGAATCTTGGTTACCTCTGCTCCTGGGATATAAGGATATGGGGGCTTGATCTGGTACTTTTCTTGGACCTAATGGACATGGTGCAAGCAAACGAAGAAGACCGGCGTAGGCTGAGGTTAGAATGCTACAGTCCGGTATAGGGCGCTGTATAATTCGATGGAAAGGAGCAGTTTTTCCCTTTACCTGAAGAATATCGAAAAAGTTGAGGCCGGCAGCCTTGACGTCAACAAGGATCTCGCCCTTTTTGAGAACGGGGTCTGGGACGGTCTGAACGGTCATCTGATCGACCGAGGTCAATGCCTTTTCAATGAGAATGGCCTTCATGGTTGTAACAGTGTGGAGTGTCTGTGAGTGTGAGAGGAACGGGAATGGAGAAATGAGCAGGCGGGAATGAAGAGCGAGAAGAAAAAGAGGACAGGGCGTCTATTCTTCCGCCCTCACACACACACATCCTCGTTCCAGGATGGCCACGGACGTCCTCCTGTACTACGTGTCAGGGAAGCGGTGATCGATCGGTCTTCACGTCCGTTTGGCGGTTTGTCAAGGTTCAATTCAAAGTTCTATGACTACATGGCACAACTGCACCACCGCATTGTTGCAGTGCTGTATTATGCGTCTGCACTAGCGATATCACTTTGGCTAGCCATTATATTAGGGAGGGCTGATATATGTAAGGGGAGACAGAGAGTAAGGAGAGGATGGACATCGTCAACTAAGATTAGGTGGAAGGGATGGATAAACTAAGATTCAGTGGAAGTGGCCAGCTAGATGTCCGCTCCACAACGTCGTCAGCATCCTTGATGGATTTGTGACGAATACCCCCGTTCGGTCCGTGATGTGTCCGAGTACTCTGTCAACGGCGTCGTATTCATAAAGGTGTTTCGCAAGGGCCCAGGTGAATGTAGATCAATGGGAGACAGTGGCGCCACTACCATGTCTTCCGCAACGTACGGTGAACTGGCGAGGCGCTTGGCCCTTGGTGGAGGCGAAAGACCCTTACAGGAGATCTGGTACTGCAGTGTTTGGAAGGGCACCTGCTGCTGTGGCTGTTGTTGTTCTGATGGGAACCGGTATTCTCCTTCTCCGTCTCTGTTCAAGTTCAGCGGATTTCTACCGCCATAGTCAGCGATAGACGCTGTGTAGCTTTCAGAGATAGCTGTATACCTGGGCTCGCGGGTTAAGCCTGTACACAGAGTATGGGAGCCAGACGAAGCCGCATGAGATGACGGGTCCTGGAAGACCTGGCTAGATGCGTGCAAGGAGCGCTGGCGATTCGATACATGTTTGGAGCGCTCTTCACTTGGATCATGCTTGTGGTTGGGACTCCGTGGGCTCGACCGCAGCGGCATCAATGGTAACGATGGTGATGGGGGTGTAGGATAGAATGGAGGGGGACTGATCGATCTCGTTGGACCAAAGACGGTTTGCAGGAGATCAGGGTACATCTTGGTGCTGTCCGGCGAGATCGCGTCGCTGCCGCGGCGGCCAAATTCCGCGTCAGAACAGGTGTTTTGGGCCATAATGGCGCAAGAGCGAGTAGACAATCCAGCATTGCCCTTCTTGACCCTCTCTTGCTCCATTTGGTAGGCATTGTGGGATGCGGTGAATTCCTCGCTCTCCATCCTGTGTGAGGCCTCAATCGTGACTGCAACGCTTGTCGGGTCGTAGCTTTCGTCAGACGTATCAAACGAAGGCTTTTCGTAGATACCCTTCTCCATCGAGTTGTGTTGTGTCAAGTACATTTCAGAATCTGTCCGTACGGATCGCGACTTGTGATTCTGAGCTGAATAAAGGCTCTTGACGCCAATTGGGGTTTTTTGACCAGGAACGCTACTTGGTTGGGACGAGTTGGTCGGCGAAGTCGTCGACCCGTGTAGACCACGATTCCGGTTGCGCACGGACTGGATGGCAATCAGTACCATAATGAGGAAAAAGGCGACAGCTATGGCGCACGTCCAGAAGAAGGCCATCGTGTGAGGGATTTGGTCGTTGGGCATAGCGAGAATCTTTTCTCTGCAGAGGACCCATATCATGCAAAGGGTGCCAGCCAAGAGAGTGACGGCTGATCCCATAAAGCCGGTAATCTGCAACTGAATAAATAAGAACCTGGCAGGGCTCGAAGATCGCAGATTGCCAATTCCAAATGCTGCCCTGGGAGCCTTGAGCGCCGCCTCGGCAATGATGATGTTGGCTCGGAGAATGAAGGTGTACTTGAGGCCGTAGTAAAAGAACATGATGGCCATGGTCCAGAGGATCAACACCCAGTTCGAGTACTGTACGACAAGCAGGATATTAGAGAGATTCTCATAGCCAGGCATATGTACAAATACTGCAGAAGCCACGCCGGGGGCTGCCGCAAATATGGTGGGATAGACCACACCCATGACCAACAGAAAGTTCTTCTGGATGTTCGTGGGCTTGAGGACATGGATGGGCTGCAAAGCGTGTGCATCGAAGGAGGCCTCGGGCTGATAAACAGCGAAGATTCCTTCTCTTGCTGTCACAGGCATGGCATACAGAAGACCAACAAAATAGGACGAGAACCCAACAGAGACGACGATCCTGCAATATATATTATCGCGAAGCAGATGAATAAGCACTATCGTTCGGATATAGATACGTACATAAGCGCGCGTAAGGAAGAGGAGTTTAAATGAACACCTTACCAGTAGAGCTGTTCGATTGCGATGCGGAGCCAGAGCATATCCTTGAGTACATCGAGGATCAGTGGGACATTTACGCCGATTTTAATAAGAGAAGCAAGACTTGTGAAGAAGACGATGCAGTCCATCTTGTTTTTAAAAAAATACAGTCAGCACATCTACAGTCTTTTGAAAACTAATATCACTCGAACCAATTGACTGAACGCAACTTACAGGCTTAGGTCTTACACCCGTTCCCGCTTTGACAAACAGCTCGGTGAAGATTTTGCTGTTAAAGCCACGGTTACGGTAGATGAGCAGCCAAAGACCAAACAAAAACACGATCCCATGCATCACCGAGGATGCTATTAGCAAGTATCGGATAAAAACTTCATCGCGACAGTCTGAGGCCGATCGAATCCAATCGCACAGCATATTATTCGTAGGGCCAGCACCTCCGATAGCGCTATGTGGAGGTGAGGATGGCGTTGGACTGGAGCTGACAATGACATACGTTGTGGGAGTAGGGGAAGCGAGTGTAGTGGGGATAACGAACGAGTCGGTGGCGGAGATGACGGCTGAAGTGAGCGTGGCAGCCAGGGTCGAGATCTGGGTCAAGCTACTCATGATTCGGGGTTTCCACTGGTGACAACCGAAAAAAAATAGAACTGAATGTACTACCCGAAAAGAAAAGAAAAAGGAGCGATTAGCGGAGGAGTGAGGATCTATTCACTTTAACCCAACTGGCTGGATTCAGTGCGTTCAAAATGACAAACAGGAAGGTGCGCTAGTGTCGGAAGGCAGCATTAGGGTCGTTGGCAGGTGCGACATCGTCGTCCCACACACGCGACTTGAATAAACATATAAGCGGTGAGAACTGAACACGGAATGGAATGTGAAGGCATTGATACCGTCTGCGCTGATGGATGTTACTGGTGCAAAAACATAGCAGATCTTCTCCACTGCAGCCCCATTGTCATGTGTGGGCTAGCTGTTGGTATTCTTGTATATGTGTTTGTCGCGCAAAGAGGAGATGGGGGGCTGAAATGATATTCATATGGCGTATACGTGGAGCTAGAGTGGGTCAGAGTGCTGGGATGCAATCATTGACGGTAGTTGGAGATGGTGTGGTGATACGAAATGTTAAGATGAAGGTATATTTGAAGCGTCGGTGATGTTGATGAGAAGGAAATTGGGAGAGGATCTAGGAAGAGGACACGCGACAATGGGACACAGAGAGTCGAATGGAGATATGGAGGTGACACCTACTGTAGACGGACTAGTGAGATATGAGAAGAGAATTAAATCGGAGAAGTGAGGTTATAGGACGTGGAGAAAGAAAGTGTGCGTGAGAAAGAGTGCGAAAGAGTGAGAGATAAAGAGAGCAGACGAGGCTCGAGACGAAGGGAGGGTGTGGAGGGAGGGTATGGAGGAAGGGTGTGGAGGGAGGGTGTGGAGAAGGCTAGACGGAGAGTCGTTGCAGAAGAGGAAAAGCGAGAAAAAGAAAGGAAGATGAGAAAGAAGACGAGTAGGCAAAGCGAACGCGCCCATTCCATGCATTGTTCTTTCCGTCCCGCGGACGAAAAAAGGGGGATGGGGCGAGGAAGGCAAGGAGATCTAGTTTAACAACGGAGGTATTGTTGCTAATCTGAAAACGTTGGGACCATTTAAATCCAAGAGAGCACTTTCCTGGCATGAATACTGCTTCTAGTGGTGGTGCCTGCAAGAAAAAAAATAATAAGCTGTAGCCAAACAGAATCTATAGTGACGAAAAGGAGAAGGGGAACGGATCCCGAGGATGACAGGGAGTAAAGGAGAGCTTGCACATGAGGCCGAATGGACAAAAACAAAAAGAGCTGCTGCCCGCGAGATTTGTTGTCCTATTTCTACTTTTTTATTGTGGCCCCTTTGCATCGATACATAAACGCTCAAGCGTTTTGCTCTCTCCGTTGAACCCTTTTTCGCAATTTAGCGTCTCCGTCGCCAGCGACTACATTAACACCCCAGCAGAACGCAAATCCAGTCTAGTCATGCAGGCACTCTTTCACCTGCCCTAATATAGGTAGCCTACTCAGGGACCACCCATACTGCTCTTTTTCTTTACACCCTCTACCGGATGCCCGCACTTCGTCTCCGTTGACTCCACAAGGGTACCTGTGTGCACCACGCTTTGCAAGACGTTTGCATGCAGAGAGCACAGTCGTCAAAAATACATTCACGCAGGTTTCGATCCAGGAGACTGGAAAGGACGCCTTGGATGAGCGCCTGATCTGCCCTCTCATTTATAGTGTCATCAACGGTTTGATGTCTGCTTTCGAAGGGCAATATTGTGTGTTAATGGAGGATGCAGCCATCGACTACAACATTTGCAGGGGAAAGTTAATAAGGTTGACAATGAAAATAGACTATATCTTAGCTTACATTTTGATGATGAACTCAAACTCTTTTTTCGAGGTCGGCTAATTCAAGATCGGGTGACGAGGACGTGAAAACAAACTGTTTTCCTCCCTCCCATAGGCACGTACATCCATTTCGATTAAGCGACTCTCAGCATGACAGCTGGTTGTCTTTTTTCGTTGATGGTAGTTAAAATCCGGCGCTAGCTCTATTACAGATTGCATAAGAAGAACAGGGTAGGAATCGGAGATATAGTTTAACGACGAGAATAGTACAAGATTTCGGCTTGCTTGTCAGGGCGCTCTCATCTCTTTTTTTTAGTGACAACCTCTTTTCTTTTTTTTTTACTAGCGCATTTCTTTGAATTAAAAAAAAAAAGACGCTGTCCGGGCCGTTGAAGTCAGATGATACGGTCCCTCGCGTATGGCCCTTACACTTTTATTTTTTTTTATTTTTTTTCTTTGAGGGCCCCACGTACGCTCTATCTACTGCATTTATCCCCAGTCAACACCTACACAATCGTTTTCCTATCATTGCTACGACTGTACGAAACGTATTCCTGTAAAGCAGGAGACTTACGCCTTGCATTACGGTCCTTGTCGCGTGGGCAATCGCGCTTCAACCCCATTTATTTTGTCAGCACCAGCTATAGCCTCCTTACCTTGATATTACTTGCTGAAGATCCTAACGATTTCTAAATATCAAAGCCTTTTCTTTTATTCGTGAAATAATAAAATAAGAGCTCTTCATCCGCTGAGTATGCAGTTCCTATTTCTTGCTGGTATTAAGATCCGTATCTTTTTTTTTTTTTTTTTTTTAATTCTAACGAGAACATGGGTTTTATTAACTGTGGACTGAAGGAAACTTGCAGGTGGGACAGAAAACAAACAGTAAGCTGCTCGCTCCGACTATGTCGCAACGGATCCATATTTCATAATTAATGACCGCATGAATGATGAACCGATGGCCCTTCTCCTTACATGGCCTGTTGTGCGCGAAAGCCATCCTTTAGCCACGATCCTCTGACATTTTAAGAAATTGATATCCACCCAGTCGCTTCATCACATCGAGTCTCAGCTGTCCCAGAATGCCCCTGCATTCGTTCATCCGCGGCATCGTTGATCTCATTTACATTGAGTGCTTGTCGTTGCCTCAGGGCGGAACCCATAAAATCATAACTGCTACGACTGTGCCCCCTATCACAGCTGCGTCCCGGACGCGTTTGCTCGTAGCAGTGATCTCATGTTCTCGTTCCCAGTCGACGCTGACTTTACACCTTCTGTTCCAGATATCTGTTCTCCCGATCTCTCAGTAGCCTCCACAAAGCGGCTGACCATGTATGTTGTAATTTGTTCTGTAGCGCTATAGATGTGTTTCCAAGACTGGGCCATGCATTTGGGCGTTAGACCGTGGTACAGATCCTGCATTGACCGCTCAACGCCCTCGATTCCTCCCTCCTCAGCGTCTACCGCTACCTCTCCCCGTCGTATGTTTCTCACTCCTCTGACTGTGACCTCAAACGCGTCCCAAGTTGTGTATAACCTGGCGTCTTTGAACGTCGGTGATTTGTGTTTGCTGATGTCGATTCCCTTTTGTTTCTCTTTCTTTATTTCTTTCTCCCAAGTCTTTCTCGCACTCCTCTGTGCTCGTTCTTAAACTGTATTCGCTTCCTCAATCACTCCTAACCATAAATCCTTCTGCATTTCCATCGTTGCTGGACAGTATCGAAGGTGCTTAGAGCCCCTAAGTTCCTGTTCACGCATCCTGGACGCATTCGTCTGGTTTGGTACAGGTGCAGAAACCAGCCCTTCTTGTATGATAACGTAGGTAGCATTTCATGTGGATGCTAAGTTCCGTGTCCTTATCCTTTTCTCGGTCCTTCCATCATCGAATCCATGACAAAAGCCGCATTTTGCTCAAAGCTGGTTGCCCACAAGCTTTTAAAAACATGCATTCTTCAAAATATTTGCTGGGGGTCCGGGATTAAAGAAATATGCAGTTTAAAGGCTCAAAGGGAAGTCTCCGGGGACCGCTTTTGCAAACGGTCGGTGGGCCGGAGTGGTCAAAGAGTTCTAGGGTTGAATCAATGGTCTATTCGATGATGATTGCTATTTAATCCTTCATTCGATGAGTTATTATATACGAAGGATATGGTTAAGCAGAGCAGCGCTGGGGAGCTCTAGAAAATGGGCGAAGCATTCTTACGACTATGTCATCATTTTCGAATAAACCATTGTACCTGTTGCAGTTTTGGCTCAAAGTCGATTCCTAGAAATATATAATATTGAAAACCTATCTTAAAATGTTACGGGTAATGGGAACAGGGGGAGATAGAGGAGTGTGCAAGGATAAGGTAGATAAGCGAAAGGTAAGGTAGCGGAGCAGGGGGGATAATGAGCGGGGTAAGTGGAAACGGGGCAGAGAGAAATAAGCAAACTGGTCAATTCAAAATGCACTATGTCTTTTTTATAGACTCTCGTAATTGAATTATTATACATGGTTTTGAACGCGTTTATATACTCAGCGGGGTCCGGTGCGGCGCCACGCTTATTAATCACTGTCGAAATGGAGAGCATGGAGATGAGCAACGATGGAGAAGATGGAAAAGGTAGCGATTAAGAACGATGGAGAGGAACCAGGGTACCACTCATGTTGGGGACAGCTCGGACAAAAAGAGGGGATAGATGGGAGAAACTATGCAAATAGGGGAAAAGTGCTTTTTTTTTTTTTTTTTTTTTTTTTTTCCAATGGACAATCTTTGCCAGGGTTTATTGGTTATTTTATGGGGGTTACTATTTCTCGCTGGTCAGGATGTTCCTGTTTGTCCCGAACAATGGTAGGAGGCGCCATATAAATCCCGCGTATTTTCCCGCAAGCCTGCCTCGGTCGTCCTGTTCCTGCTAACTTGATATCTTGATCCTTTGGACTGGCTCTCTCCTGTGTGACTTGATTCGGCAAATATTCAACTTATGTTTCGATCCGGCATATATGTACGGCTTCCTTACGATGTTACTGCGGCCCTCGAGTGATTTCTGAAGTAAATTATTTAGTCTCCTCTCTCAATAGTCCCCCCCGTAACCTTAGTGCTGGAGAACGGCTCTGGCAAATCCGAGTGATAGTTCTGAAAAATCTCCTCGTAGCCCACGGTGGCGTACGAACCTGAGCAGAATAGAACATTCTCTCAGGAGGGAGCCAATCCCCTGCTGCCCGCGATCCGAAAGGTAATTTATACACGGCCCCCCGTGCCGAAAAACAACCGCACCAAGCTGGATCCGAAACTAGGATCCACAGCACTGTTCTCTGGAAGCTTCGCGTGATACTACTGTACCACACAGGCTCGCCCGCCTGGGAAAAGTGCATATATAGAAAAATTGCAAATTAATTTTTTTTTTTTTTTTTTTTTTATTCAACATGGCCTCCGAGAGAGAACAATCAGTGCTGGTTTCCTAGTGAATAGTCTCTGAGACTTGTGTCTATCTGGCCCTAAATCTTCTAGTGTGGCAGTCGCACCATCTCCAACAACTTCACTGTAACCTCCCTAAGCGTCCCGAGGTCTTTCTCCTGCGATCCGCTCGGCTAGCTGGCAGGCTCCTCACCTGCAAATCTGCCAAGACCATCTCTCCAATTGTAACCTGTACATCTGGGAGATGGTCTTGGTTTCTTGAGAGCACGGAATCCGTTCTACTGGCTTGCGAGCCGAATCCTCTACTATTGTAACATTTCCTCCACCTCCTCGTCCCGTCTTTCCTCCACCTGAGGTCACTGGATGTGAGCTCAGATTAGCCTATTATAAAGTGGGCCTACTCACTTTTGAACTTATACCTGTAACCCCGGCAGGGGTAGCTAAGACGCATGCTGCCAATGCAGTGGAATAACTTGTACACCCTGGTGTATAGCTGGGAAGTTCTGAACCAGCGCCTCTCGAAGTCCGGAGGCTAGCGCAAGGGCGAAATTTATTCTGAGCATTTTTGTCAAGCGTTAAGGAAGGGGAAAGGAAACCCACAACGATTACATGGGGTAGTGCCACTCAATGTGGGGGTCGCCGGGGAAAGGAAACCCACATAACTGAAGTGTTTTTTTTTTTTTTTTTTTTTTTTTTTTTTTCCAATGGACAATCTTTGCCAGGGTTTATTGGTTATTTTATGGGGGTTACTATTTCTCGCTGGTCAGGATGTTCCTGTTTGTCCCGAACAATGGTAGGAGGCGCCATATAAATCCCGCGTATTTTCCCGCAAGCCTGCCTCGGTCGTCCTGTTCCTGCTAACTTGATATCTTGATCCTTTGGACTGGCTCTCTCCTGTGTGACTTGATTCGGCAAATATTCAACTTATGTTTCGATCCGGCATATATGTACGGCTTCCTTACGATGTTACTGCGGCCCTCGAGTGATTTCTGAAGTAAATTATTTAGTCTCCTCTCTCAATAGTCCCCCCCGTAACCTTAGTCCTGGAGAACGGCTCTGGCAAATCCGAGTGACAGTTCTGAAAAATCTCCTCGTAGCCCACGGTGGCGTGCGAACCTGAGCAGAATAGAACATTCTCTCAGGAGGGAGCCAATCCCCTGCTGCCCGCGATCCGAAAGGTAATTTATACACAGCTGTTAACAAAAGTGACTGCTTTTGTGGACAAGGCGAACCTTGCCCACATTTGCTCTCTCTGTTTGCGACCTTTCTCATTCGTTAGAATTAACCTTTATGTTTTCTACGATTCCATATCCCTAAACAACGCGTCTTCTACGCGCACTGCTATGGCCGAGGCCTGTCTCTACACATCTAGATCCCTTTATTAACAACCAGATACTTGAGCGTCAGCTTAAGTATTCATCACTTGATAAGAGTCTAGACACATCCTTTTTATCTTTATTTTTCTATATAAGCTGGAGTGTGTTCCCCTCCAAGATTAGTTCCCTAGTCCCAACCACACCAATAAACAATCCTTCAACACACTTACCTGCTCTCTCTGCCTCCTGAACACTCCAGTCCCCACGACTCGTAAGTCTTGTCAACTTACTCTTGATCTTGATTCGTGATTCCTGACTTACCTTGATCCAGATCCAGATCCTGACGTCCCTTTTATCTTGACCGCGTCACAACAGCCCCCTGTGCCGAAAAACAACCGCACCAAGCTGGATCCGAAACTAGGATCCACAGCACTGTTCTCTGGAAGCTTCGCGTGATACTACTGTACCACACAGGCTCGCCCGCCTGGGAAAAGTGCATATATAGAAAAATTGCAAATTAATTTTTTTTTTTTTTTTTTTTTTATTCAACATGGCCTCCGAGAGAGAACAATCAGTGCTGGTTTCCTAGTGAATAGTCTCTGAGACTTGTGTCTATCTGGCCCTAAATCTTCTAGTGTGGCAGTCGCACCATCTCCAACAACTTCACTGTAACCTCCCTAAGCGTCCCGAGGTCTTTCTCCTGCGATCCGCTCGGCTAGCTGGCAGGCTCCTCACCTGCAAATCTGCCAAGACCATCTCTCCAATTGTAACCTGTACATCTGGGAGATGGTCTTGGTTTCTTGAGAGCACGGAATCCGTTCTACTGGCTTGCGAGCCGAATCCTCTACTATTGTAACATTTCCTCCACCTCCTCGTCCCGTCTTTCCTCCACCTGAGGTCACTGGATGTGAGCTCAGATTAGCCTATTATAAAGTGGGCCTACTCACTTTTGAACTTATACCTGTAACCCCGGCAGGGGTAGCTAAGACGCATGCTGCCAGTGCAGTGGAATAACTTGTACACCCTGGTGTATAGCTGGGAAGTTCTGAACCAGCGCCTCTCGAAGTCCGGAGGCTAGCGCAAGGGCGAAATTTATTCTGAGCATTTTGTCAAGCGTTAAGGAAGGGGAAAGGAAACCCACAACGATTACATGGGGTAGTGCCACTCAATGTGGGGGTCGCCGGGGAAAGGAAACCCACATAACTGAAGTGGGGTAGTACGCCCGACTCATGCTCCAAATAAATTTCTATGCGTAGCACATATTACTGTGCTTTAACCAGGGCTCGAACCTGGTCCCTTCGCGTTACAAGGGAGGTGCCCTGACCAGTATGCTAACTGAGCCATCGGGCCATCGGGCCTAGAAAAATTGCAAATTAAGAAAAAATATGTGCAGTTAAAGAGCGGTGGCTGTGCAATAAAATTAAAGTATAGAGGATCGATATTCATTAACCAACCAAAGTTGGTCTACTGGCCCAATGGAAAGGCGTCTGACTACGAATCAGGAGATTGCAGGTTCGACCCCTGCGTAGATCATTTTATCCTAGGGTTTAGTTTTTTTTGTCTCCATGATGCAGTAAGAATAATCTGTCATATCTGACGACCTTGCAGGAAATCCATAGAGAATACTTCGTGACTAGAAAGGCCACAAGCCCGATACTATAACGAGCTGTATGGATTCCCTGCGGAAATTGACATGCATGGTGAATGTAACAAATGGATTTCCGGATGGGCTGTCAAGAAAAAAACGCGTCTTCAGACGCGTATCCAAATATGGAAATAGCTTTGCCACCAATTTCATTAACGTTTCCAAAATATAGTGACTGCGATCATCTTGCGCTCATACGCGGGAGGATACAACGCGAGGAAGGACTGACAGATTAGCGTATTATGTACAGATATGTATGATACCCTTAGCCCTAAGCTGTAGACTGCTTTATCAAAAATATTAGCCAGTGCCCTATGCGAGTTTTTTTCTCTTTTGCCCTTTTTCTTGAGTAGAAGTATCTTAAGAGGCTATTTGCATGGTTGCTTTGAACAGACTATTTCGGTTTCGTTGATCGTCAGGGTCGCGATTATGTCATTGGTTCTCTGCACGAGCAGCCGCGTGCATACGATTAAAGGCCTTGGGTAATTAGTCCGCTCTGTAAACTGAGGGCTGCGCGAGATCCATTGCCCAGCCAGGGGAGGAGAGGAGCCTATTTTTGCGTTAACATTGCAGGGGGACAAGCAGTCCGTTCCAAACCGGATGCGTGTTCCCATTTTTGGTGCCACCATCCTTTTCTATTACACGTAGAAAGAAGCACCACTGCTGAACCTGATGTGGAGGAGAGGTTTGTGCTCACATCTGGTCTCGATCGGTGGGTTTATTTCCCGGAGAAGGTGACTTGGTTGACAGGATTTAGCTATCTCTTCGACCGCCGCTTTCTTTGTGATTGTTGTCACTCCTGCGGTTATTTCCTTCTCTTCCTTTTTCTACGGCTCTCAGGGTCTGGCTCCAACCTGCTCATCCTCCGTCGCTGGGTCATCGTCATCGTTCATCCATCACTCAAGCGTGCACCGAGTCGATCTTCGCCTCCTTCTCTGCGGAGGTTCAGCAAAGGCGCTGCATCTGCACCCTCCACGAAGCACTTATCCTTACTCACTTCGCCCATTCATCAGCCGTGGGCCGTCTCTTTGCCACTCTTGGACTCGTCATCGTTCTCCTCATTCAGAGTGGCCCTTTGGGAATCGTGGCGCGGACTGGAAGTGATTGAGCACCAAAACGTAGACCAGTTTTCCTCGCAGCTCATCTCCCCACCCGGTGTTCACTTTGCTGGTGTTCAGTGTCTGTCCTTCACCTGCGCCCGAGGCGTGATGCTGCTGACCTGAATCGCGATCCCTCGACTGTGACCAACATGACAAGCGATCATATGGATTTGCGATCGTCCTCATCCTCGGACGACCACCTTCAACCTGACACCTTTAATGCCTCTGTCCATATCGTCAATCTCGAGCGAGCCTCCTTATCGCGCAGGCTCGAAAGGGTTTGCTGTTTGCTGGCTTGTGATGGTACGTCCTCTTTCTATCTCCATCCATCCCTTTCGCCCTTCCCCTCCTCTTTTTCAATCCATTCGCCAGTTGCTTTGAATAATCCCTTTCTAGACATGCCTCACGCAAACGGGGTAGAATAATGGCCATTCTCTCTCATGCTATACCTTTTGCTTACTGCCTGCCATACGTCTTACCCCTTTGACGAACCGCAGACACTGCCTCGGTAAATCTGTATCTGGACCAAAGACAGGAGCTCGACTTTATCGAGTTTAGGGTGAGATGCATAATGTGCGCGTTTTGCTTTGCGACTCCTCGCATACCCGGCTTTACAATGGTGCTAACATGTCCGTGGCACTCTCTTTGCATAGCTGACACATGGAATCCGGCAGCTGTACGTGAGCAAGAAGAGGTGTATGATCATGGTTCAATTGTTGACCCACCAGCGTCTGGATATCACGCTCGACTCGGCCGAACGATGCCAGACTCTCTATGATATGCTCATGCTCATCAAGACTAGACGTAGGTGTACCCATGCATTCATCGCACTTGCTCTGCGAAAAGTAACATATATCATCCAGGAGTCGCGTCAGCTGCACCTTCAGTTGCACCACTACTTACTCGATAACTGTCCCAATTTTTTCTATTTTGATTTATAGCCAGTGACACTGACCAGTTTCCCAGACATCAGCCCAAGATCGGGATTGCCAGACCGGATCCTACGGCAGCCTATCTAACTCCTAACGATACTCCCTCGAATCTGGAGTTCAATCCCTTTCAAGCGTCGTCCATTGTGCCGTCCACGCCATCAAGAAAACGTGTTATGATCACACGCTCGACAGCTGTCAGCGAGCAAATTCATAAGAAAACTCGCGTACAACATTCCGAGGAGTCTAGCACGTCTTACCGACAGTCGAAGGAGTCGTACGACAAGATCCTGTCCAGCCCACCAGGAGGACCAGAAGTTACCCCAGATCGCTGGAGACCTCCTAGCTCACCAACATGTCGTGGAGACGAGGTACTGCAGTAATTCTATAACCATACGAGGTCAATGAGTCGAGGTTTTCTACTTCAGGAATATCTTGTTTTAACCGCTGCAGTTCGTCTTGGCTGTTGCCTCCATCCCTACAGGTCACAACACCGAGAAGGGCCGAATCGTTGCGTCAAACACTCGACCAGCTCGAGCGATTCGGATGTATTACTTCTCCAGGTAAATTGTCCAAACCGCTGTCTGGTGTCATGAAAGTGGAATATAGAATTTTGGTTATCGACTCAATACGCTTACAATACTTCTTTACTTCTTGATATGTTTTAGTGCCGAAGCCCCAGTTTCATTCTATCGTCCCAACCCCTCGAGTCCTACGGTCGATGAATGATAAAACCAGGAGATATGGACGTGAGGTGGGACTTCGAAATTCCAAGCGACTGTCATCTCTTGATAGGTAATGACTCTCCCTCTAACTTGCATGGTTGGTATCTCTTCCTCGAAGGTGCCTGCTACAATCAGTAACACTAGATGCTTCATTTGGGTGCTCATATGGTAGATCAAGTACTAGTGGATGCATCGCTGCTGTCCTTCAAGCAATGTTTTCCCTGGATCCAGTGGCAAAAGACCTTCAAGACCCGTACTGGCTCCGGCTCTCCGGAGTGCAGCTCGGATTGTTCAGGTAGGATATGCTGGCCATAGGACAGAGCGCAGCCAGGCCCAAAGTAAGTAAGGTTCTAAGCACTGATTATTTTTAAATCAATCTCGGGCTATTGTAGGTCTTTAGTCGATGCGTTCGCTCCTTATTCCAAAAGTCAAGTATTGGATATTCGAGAAGAGACAGTGTCCAACAACGTGGTCAAGACCACTAAAGGGAGTCTAGGTGACGAGGATGATGCCCGCGAGTTCCTGAGGGACGCTCTTAATCAAGTGCGGCAGGAATTCCGAGAGAGAAATGTGGATACAGCTTGTCCTTTGTCACGGCTGTTTGAGTGTGATATTGAGCACACTTTAGTATGCATGATCTGCGGAAATGAGAGCGTCCATACAGAACACTATCAAGACTTTCGGCTTGAGGTCCCGCTCTGTGATAACAACAGGTCAAAGTATGGAGCGGAACTTGTACTGGTATACTGCTCACTCACATTGACCATACGATTGTCATTAACATACAAAATTGTCTATGGTATTTTACCCTCAATACCAACAGCCAGACAACTATGAGCATCGGTGGTCTATTCCCGCAGATGTTTGATGCTCAGCAAATCTCGTTCGAGTGCGAGGCGTGCCAATCCGACAACGCGATGGTCCGGCGCTCTATTTCGAAGTTGCCTGAGATCCTTGTTGTGCACCTGAAACGCTTTACGCCACGGCTCCCTCATGGCTGTAATAAGAACCGAAATATTGTTACAATTGACGAAACGCTGGAATTCTGTAAGGCAAACATCCCTCGCGCTCTTGACTTTGTCACTGCAATTTGACATCAGCAGGCTGAAGATTGACTAAACCATATGACCTCTGATTCACACAGCTCAATTCTGCTCTTTAGCAGCATTTTCGACAGATATTTCAGACTCCGTGCAGACTCAGTATTCGGACGACGATCGAACGTTCCGCCGCCCTCATATACCTAGCGACAACTTCCCCAGCTCTGAAAGTTCGCGTTTCTCATCAATCAGCCCCATGAGGCACGACAACCCTTTCGGCTCTTTTTCGCCGCCTATTGATTACCTCGATGCGAGCCTACATAATCCACAAGGTGAAGGCACGGCCGGAAATCCCTTTTGGCTGAATAGCGACGACGAGGACTTGCATGACGTTTCAGCTGTAAGTACATGGTTTAGTTACTCGTATCTTATCCATTGATTTTAGCACTTCTAATCCATTATTAATCTGTGTGTGCCAATAGAACCAGTCCTACTCATTTTACGAAGCGCCAAGTGAGGATGAGCAATATCGATGGGCCTTGGAAGAGTCGGTTAGAGAATCGAAGTCTTTATCGCAAGAGTCCACCCTGAACGGAGACCGCGATATTTTTCGGAGCGAGGACGTGTTGAAAGAGGGCGACTTGGATGCACAGATCTTTGGAACGAACAACACATCACTCAAGGGTCAATTCACCGACAGGAGCCATGATCTTACTGTGGAGGATGAGGGGAAAAGCGTTTTGAAGAAAAGTCGTTCATTCACAAAGGACAGTTCCAACAACTCCTCTCAAGATCGCTACCAACCTGACGGAGAGGATGAGCACCCGGACAAGAAGGAGGCTGTGGACGACGAGGATGAGGATAAACAGATCAAAGCTGCCATCCGAGCTTCCTTGATGCCCGATCAAAACTACACTCCCGACGATAAGGAGCTGCAGGAGAAGGAAAATAGAGAGTTGGAAGAGGCGATTAAGAGAAGTTTACTCGATCTGGAGGAGAATAAGGAGAATATATCGCCGGAAAAGCGTCCGGGGAAGAAGGGGAAGAAGGAGAAGCGGCCTGGGGCGCTGACTCGATCGTGTTCTCAGTCACTGACAATGACCTTGGATAGCTTCAAAGGACCACCCCTGCTCAAACGCGCCAATACTTTTGACGTCATTAGGAAACTGCGGTCTGGTAGAGAGAGTACAGTGTCATCTCAACTCCAATCGCGCACTCAACCTTCGCAGCGTCAGCACAAAGATTCCCTCCCATATGCTAGTTCTAGCCAACAAGCAAGCAGCCAGTCAAGCCAGGAATTTTCTTCATTCACAGATAATTCGATGACAGAGACGAGGTCACGGAGAGACATCAAGGGCAAGGGCAAAGGGAAGGACAAGGCGCCCAGGAAAACGCAGGTGGACACTAAGGAGCTGGGCTTGGGACTTTTTCAGCTGCAGGCAGCTATCAGCCACACTAGTCTTGTGTCCTCGACATCCGACGGCCATTATGTGTGCGATTGTCGCGGCATGGATGGCATCTGGCGATGCTACGATGGAGGGAATAAGACCAGGATTGGATCCATCTTAGATTTGAGTAAGCACCGTGGGCGGACCGGATACCTGTTCTTTTATGTGCGCTGCCGTCCTGAGGACTTGAAAGCCTAACCGGCATGTCTTTTCCAAGGTGCAGTCCTCGGCCTTGAAATTGACGAATGTAATCCTTTTTTTTTGTATTCATTGCCTCCATTTAATAATTTTGTACAGCGAACTTCCACGGTCCATGTATTTATTTCTTTCGCCCCCTTCTTTCTTCTTATTCTCCTTTCCCCTCCTCTCTTACCTTCTCTCACTCTGTTGTATCAACACCAAAAAAATAATAAAAAAAAGTAGTAATTGAAGATTGGTGATCTGCTGAGCGCACGAACCATAATGCTTATTCTGCTTAAGGTTTTAGTATGGGATTGACATTCAAAAAACTGCCTCAAACCCTGGCCTGTTTTCTTGTTCCACAATCGCAGTGTCGTGCCACGAAGTCCGGATCATTGTCCATTAGCTCAAGAACCTTCTTTGCAGCCTCTCGTCGCGCGGCCTTAGATTGGGTGTTGATAGCCGTTGTGATCACCTGCTCATGGATCATGACAGCGTGTTCCTGTGGAGGATTTATGGCAATGTGCGTCCGACGACCGGTCGACCAGAACGAATCCGATTCCTCCTCGGACTCCTCTGAATCTTCCTCGGACTCTTCATACGGGGTTTCTGTTGGCGAATTTAAACCTAACGAATTGCCATTTAAACAGTATTGGCGTTAAAGGGAGGGGGGGGGTTATAACTCTACTCACCATTACAAGATGCTGCATGAAGAACAGATACTGTTCAAGAAAACGAACCTGAAGTGGAATCGGAGGCTGTAATGTTTTTAAATCTCAGCTCGCTACACCCGTCGTGTTGAACACGCATGAGCAAGACACTCACAGGATGGCCCTCCAGTGTCTCGATGGAAAGGTGTTTTTGCAGAATAGGTCGTATAAGCCGCTCAAAGACATCGGTGATCACAGAGAACTGGAACCCACTGTCCACATAGATTGCACCCATGACACTCTCTAGGACATCCCCCAGCACCTTGGTGTATCCGAAATCTTTCCAAAACTCTCCTTCAGGCTCGCCGGCGGGCGTGTCTTTGGCGTCTTCAATCGCGTCTCCAAGCGCCTCGACAGCACGAGTGATATCAGAGGCCAGGGCTGGGCTCATGTGCACAATATGTTGGTGTAAACCAAGTTCAATGCAGATCACTCCCAGGATCTGGTTGTTGATGCTGGCAGACTTGATGGCATGGAGTTGACCAGGCCCGCTGATAGGGTACCGCAAGACCCAGTACTGGGCTACCAGCATGTCCAACACGGCATCGCCCAAGTACTCAAGCCGCTGGTAGCATTGTGTCTGAGGTCGATGACTGGTGGCGTGCGTGAGTGCTTCCGCCAAAAGTCGCTGGTCCGAGAAATGATAGCCGATAGACTCCTCAACATGGCTCAGATCTCCGAACATCGTATCGGGTATAAAGGTAGCAGATGCTGCAGTCCTGCCCTGACTCATGGCTTGATATGAGCGGGCAAAGTCTTCCCAATGGTTGATGCCCTCCATAGGTCCCATTAATGCCACCGCAGCCTTGAGGCCAAGATCCAATCCTCCTGTGAGATATGCGGCTCCCAATGTGGACTCGACCAAATCCGCCATCGTCTTGTGAGAGATGATCTGGCCCTGCTCGGATTTTGGCGTATCTGGAGGCGGTGCAAAAAAATGGGCATTGAACCGTTGGCGCTTGATAATGAATCGATTTAGTTTCAACCGCCGGGCCAGTTTATACAGTTGTCTGTTCGAAACTTTGACCGTGCGTCTCAGCGTTAATTGTCCCTCGTCCAAGGTCGGGTAGCGAATGTAGAGGTCCAGTGTGACCAGGAACTTTAAGAAAGTGTCCCCGAGCAGCTCCAGACGCTGGTAGTTCATGGCATAGCCTAGCTCGGACGCTGTGAGCGCCTCGAGCATTAAGGGCCTCTGAATATCCAACTTAAATTCTTGAAGGAACTCCAAAGTCCTGAACAGGCCATCTAACCATGTGAGCACAGAGATCATCCAGGATGCAGAACGCAGGACACTGGCAGCGACAGGGAGCATAGAGCACAGCTCTGGGATCAGAAACCGGGCAGCAGATCCCTTCGAATGCTTGGGGGTCTTGCTCTCATAGTCGGGCTGCAGTAGATCCTTCAGACTTGGACAGCGTACGGCCTCCACCAGTGGCTGATTCGAATTCTTGATGGCTATGTCGCGCTTCACTTTGTAGAAGTCCGTAAATATAGTACCGTCTTGAGCTTCCTCACGAGTCCCTTGGATACCTTGTGGAATAGGCGATGCTGGCGTGAGATCCTTCCTGATCGCGACGGGGAAATAATTCCTGCCTGCTTGAGCCTTTTCGAGCAGCACTTTGTCTTTCAACATATCCCACACGAGCTCTGTACTATCGGGCATATCTACTGTAGTGGGGTGGTTTGCGCCTGCTCCGATCTCGTCCCAGTCGATCAGTTGATCCAGCGGACGCTCATCTTTGAGTAAGATGTCTGCTTCGAACTTGAGAGGCGCAATGATGTGGCGCATTCCTGATTCTGGTGTGCCCATGTCAATTGGTTTACGGTACAAGTTGAGGTACAAGACGTTGCAGTACCGATGCAGGGTGCTCACCTGCTGCGATGTGAGGAGCAGGGGCTTGGAAACTACAACGATATCAACCCACCGCGACACTCCGTCAAAGAATAATTCAATCGGGTCGATATGTGGAGGTGCCGTAGCCGTAAGAAGTCCAAGGCTGCGGAAGTTGCTTCTCGTATCGTCTAGATCATCTTGCGATCCTGAGCCGGAACCAGAGGCTGTTTGTGGACGAAGAGTGAATAACGACATGTACAAACGGATGGTTTCAGAAGCCACTGCCCCTTCCTCTGAAGCCCCAGCAGTAGGCGCAACAATCTTGTTGTCCCAAAACTCCGGCTGACGGAAAGGGTATCGCTTCAACGACTTTGATTTAGTATCCTGGTCATCAACGTCATCCTCTTTCTCCTGATCCTCCTCGTCCTCGCTCGAATACAGTTCGCTCTCAATCATAACCTTGTTCCGGTGCGGGAGTAGTCGATCATTAAGAGCTCCTATGCTATGCAGCTCCGTGCACGCCTGGAAAGCGACCGCTTTCTTGGCCAGCATCTTCCTCGAGAAAGACGCCTGATAGAAATCGATGATGGGCGCATTCGGCGGCAGGGTCAAGAGGCAGTCCCACTCGCCTGCGGTTTTCGCTGCCAGGATCTCAAAGTACGGCTTTGGCCGCATGTAGGCATCCGATGGTAGCGAAGCGCAGTACTGGTGGAGTAGTGCAATAGCTGAATTAAAGGTCACTCGGGCACCTGTGGACTTGACAATATAGCTGGTCTGGACATTCGCTAGCTCGCGCATCTGTTCGAGCCCCTCGTCATCATCATCGTTATCGTTGTTATCTTCGCTGCCGCTGTTGCCCTCTCCGCGACCAGCTGAGCCTTTCAGATTCACGATGCGGTCTATGGTCAAGCCGCTGCACCAGAGCCTCATCTCCTCCTCCTGGACTTTGATTTTCTCGAGATGGCTGGCTTCCCCGCGCTGCTGCATGATAATGTATTCGGAAACGGGATCTCGAGCTCGTCCGCGGGATTGGATATGGCTGATTAGCGTGTTCTTGATGTCAAACCTATAAAATATCAGTATGAGTAGCGTGTGTTAAGCTACTGTTCATTATAAATGTTGGTTGCATACCCTCTGGTTCTCTTCTCTTAATTTACCTGATGACGAGTCGGCAGCGATCAATGTCCAGACCCTCTTCTGCGACATCCGTAGAGACCAGCAAATTAATGTGACCCTTCCTGAACCCGTCAAGCACCCTCCTTTGTCCCTTCAGTTGCATCTGGTGCCTGCTCACATCGCCTTGGGCTGCATGGCCCGTCAGCACTGCGGCGTGAATGAAGTCAAGCCCAAATTCGGGTCCAAATTTCTTGCACTCTCGCAAAAACTCATACACGACATGTGCCACCGGTCGACGCTCCACAAACAAGATTGCACAGAACCCCTTTCGGATGTGTCGTTGCGCTTTCAGTATCTCGACCAGCTTCCTCAGTTTATCAGTGACAAGATTCAGCTCAGGATCCAAGGGTGTGAGTTGAATCCTCCTGGCAATGTCTTCTGCAGCAGCAACCAGCTCGAGACGATTTTCCATTTGCGTACTTTGACCGTTCCGGACTTCTTCGCGAACTCCCAGCAGCGCATACTTCCAGATCCTGGCCGCGCACCACGGGCCAAGAACAATGATTGCGTATTCAAAGGCGCCGAGAGCCGTTTTGAATTTTTTATCGCTTTCGCAGAGTTCCCTAAGCTGACGCAGAGCATTGGCCTCAAAGCGAGATAGATTATTGGTGCCTGCGGCCTCTAGCAGGCCATCGATCTCAACGCGAGATAGATTGCTGGTGCCTGCGACCCCTAGCAGGCCATCGTACCAGATGATACTCTCCTTGGGCTGCTTCGTGAACTGTAGGATCTCGTCATACGAAGGTGTGATGATATGTGAATCCATGGTCTCCTCCAGTCCTCTAGTGTTCATTGTTAAGTTGCCGAGAGAAAAAGGCAGAGAGCAACACAGTTAGTTGGCTTTTTTTTTTTAGGAATGTTTAGGCGCCGAATGCGTACGTTGCTGAAAACCCGTTGGGTCCCCTGTCCTTGGGAGGGGATGCCGTCATGGCAAAGATCTTTGGCCGATGCTCTGGATGCGCTTCGCGATAAAAAATTGCCATGATCTGTCGGTAGCAGTGATTCTTTTTCGCGTGATGACACTCATCGAAGATAAGTAGATTGCACTATAAAATATTGCCATCGAGGGATGGTTTAAATAAGAAAAGAAAGAGAAAGATGAACACCAACAACGATCCTTCCTCCATCAACCGAACCTATAGAAATCATTACAGTCAATTCAAAACCCACATCCTCAATCTTGAGAAAGGCGTGCTGGAAGATATTCAAAAGGATCTGTCCTGTCAAGACTATCGTTTCCGACGCCTCGAATATGGCATCCCATGTCGCTTGATCGTAGTTATCCACGTTCATGGATCCGCAGATGGCCTTGGTTTTGATATCACTGTTGCTGGCAATATAGGCCTCTTGCTGGAATACCAAGGGAACCTTGTTGACCACAAAGAACGACAGTTTATGCTGTGCAAAAAAACATCAAGTATTCAGATGTTCAGCCAAGGAAAAAAGAAAAAAGAAAAAAAAAAGCAAGGCGTAAAGTGCACATGACAACTTATATCATAATGCAATCTTACCCGACGACCTGTCTTGGCTGCTTCTTGGCGTGCATTGGCGACCATGTGCTTGAGCAGCAGAACAGATATCAGAGTCTTGCCACTACCCGTGTCCGCAACGGCGATAATGTTGCGCTCCATGGCTCTTCTGGCGACCTCAAGCTGATATTCTCTCGGCGCGTCCGAAGCGGAACGCGGGTCTGCGCTGATAGATTGCGTCATGGTTCGAAGAGTGCGCTGTGCGTTTCAATGTCTAAAAGAAACAAGGTCTGCTTTTAAAAAAGCGGTCTCCTTAAGAAGAAAATGAGGGCAGGATGCTAATGTTAATTACCTGTATTCTATCTACTGAAGATAAATCAATTAGCCGTGCTGGTGGAAGAGCAAAGAGGACGAAGATAGAGGGGTAGTGAAGAAGACAGAGGGAAGCAAGAGGCAGAAGAGTGCAGAAAAAATTGGGCCTATGCCCTTGTTCCTGACCCTTTCCAGAGTGAACAAGGACGACAGCTGCAGATTGTGCGATGCAACAGACTACACCCCTGTCACTTATCACGTGTCATCTGTACTAGACGTGTGCATCCAAAACACATAGCTAGCGCGCTGTGAGGCCAATCTCTTTTTGCATACCTTTCGCAAGATCTCATTTGTCACACGCGTGTTGTCTGTTTGCCGGCGTGCTCCTTTACTTCCCACCTACCAACGTTACGAGTCGCAAGTTCCCTATAGCCAGCCATGGATGAGTCATTGTACGACGATTTCGGCAATTACATTGGCCCTGATCTCTCAGACGAGGAAGAGGACGATGAGGAGGAAGAGTTTCAACAGCAACAACAGCGGCAGCGCAATGACCAGGACATGGACGTGGACGACGAAGAGGGAGACGACACAGAGATGCAGGAAGATGACACTAGGACAAGTACAGCCTTATCGCGCATTGGAGGTATGTTGGATCACATATGGATTTTTCGGACGTTGTTCTCGACCTGGGCTGGACTAACCAGGCGATCATTTCTCTTGGATAACCCAATTCTATCACAGAGATCCCACAAAGCCAGGTCGTCTTGCACGAAGACAAGAAGTACTATCCGACAGCCGAGGAGGTTTATGGCGAGGGTGTCGAGGCATTGGTCGAGGAGGAGGATACTCAGCCATTGACAGAACCGATCGTCCAACCGATCAAAACCAAGAAGTTCCAGCTCGAGGAAAAGGACTTGCCACTGACACGATTCCGCAAGCAGTAAGAAACACTTGTATTGACCACGTTTCCGAAATTGGTGTACTCATGGCGTTTGAGCTAAAGGATCTCTTTCTAACAATTATCATTACTATGGCTTATTGTAGATATATGTATGATCTTATGGCATTCCCTCCCCGTGTCCGCAACGTCGCTATTGTCGGCCATCTCCACCATGGAAAGTCATCAATTATGGATATGCTTGTGAACGAGACCCACGAGAAGAACATGAACGTCGACATTCAGGAACGATACACGGATACTCACCCTCTGGAGCGCGCAAGAGGCGTCAGCATCAAAAGCATGCCTATGACTCTTGTTATGCAGGACACCAAGGACGTCTCATATCTGCTCAACATTATTGATACTCCAGGTAAAGAGCTGGTATTTTTTTCTTAGCGTGGCAATTCCGTTGGAGTACTCATTATTTCTGAACTCGAATAATACCAACATTTCTGCCAATCGCTAACACGGTTCACCTGTTATTATTATTATTTTTCTCCTTCCACCTATAGGTCACGTTGATTTCATTGACGAAGTCTCTGCAGCTCTTCGCATTTCAGATGGAGCTGTTCTGGTGGTGGATGCTATCGAGGGTGTGATGTGTAACACGGAGCGCATTATCAGGCACTGCATTCAGGAGAAAGTTGCGCTCACAATGGTTGTCAATAAGGTCGACCGATTGATTTTGGAGCTTAAACTCCCTCCCACGGACGCCTATTTCAAGCTGAAGCACACGATCGAGGAAGTCAACACCATTATTTCACAGACACCTGGAGGAGAAGGGATTCGACTTTCACCTGAACTCGGCAACGTCAGTTTTGCGTCGTCGCAGATGGGATGGTGCTTCACTTTGAGGTCATTCGCAAAGCTCTATGCCGAGTCCTATTGTAAGTTCTGGATAGCTGCTGGATCAGAAGGATTCAGAGATATGGACTCCACCAGTATCACTAATTGAGACCGTGTTTCTTGGTTCCCCTATCTTGTGTGAATAGCCGGCATTGATGTGGAGGGATTTGCTAAGCGCCTGTGGGGCGATGTCTACTTCAATAGCGAGTCGAGGAAGTTTGGACGTCGTGCACAAGATGTACGCACAAAGCGCTCATTTGTTCATTTCATCCTCGAGCCACTGTTCAAGATTTATGGTCAGGTTGTGGCAGAGGATGCTGCAGCACTCAAGTCAACGCTCTCGAGTCTGGGCATCTATTTGAAGCCCAAGCAGTACAGTATGGATGTTAAGCCTGTGATGAAGTTGGTCTTGGATCAGTTCTTTGGACCGCCTACTGGATTTGTCGATATGGTCTCTCAGCACATCAGGTCTCCCACGGAGAGTGCAACGCAAAAAGTTGAACATGTGTATACAGGACCCATGGATGACGACATTGCTGCAGCCATGAAGGCCTGCGATCCCAATGGACCTTTGATGATTCACATCACCAAGCTCTACAACTCTGCGGACGGAGAGAAATTTGATGCTTTTGGTCGTATCATGAGTGGCACTGTCAGGGCTGGTCAGCGGGTCCGCGTTCTCGGTGAAGGGTACACGATGGACGATGATGAGGATATGACAGTCCAGACTGTGGAGAGCGTTAGCATCTTTGAGTCGCGTTACAGGATTGAGGCTCAGACAGTGGTTGCCGGTAACTGGGTTTTGCTTGGAGGCGTGGACCAGTCGATCACCAAGACGGCTACCATCACCAGTGCGGATCTTTCGGAGGATCTGTATACTTTCAGGCCGCTGCGGTTCATGACGTCGCCTGTGATGAAAATTGCAATCGAGCCAGTCAACCCTTCAGAGCTGCCCAAAATGCTGGAGGGATTAAGAAATGTCAACAAGTCGTATCCGATTTTGCAAACGAGGGTCGAGGAGAGTGGAGAACATATTGTTCTGGCGCCTGGAGAACTGTACATGGATTCTGCGCTTCACGATCTTCGAAAGCTGTATTCTGAGATCGATCTCAAGGTTGCGGATCCCGTCGTCAGGTTCTGCGAAACAGTGCTGGAGACCAGCAGTCTCAAGTGCTTTGCCGAAACACCCAACAAGAAGTAAGTGGCACGGTCTGGACGTAGCACTATTTGTTTTTGATCTTTATCGATATATTCTTTTCTTTTTGTTATGTTGAAGATTAACAAACAACCCTCGTCTCGCATCTTAGAAACAAGCTGACGATGATTGCAGAGCCCTTGGAGAAGAAAATCGTGGACGATATCGAGGGACTGAAAGTGTCAACGGAATGGACAGCACGACAGCTCGGAAACTACTTTCAGCAGAACTATGACTGGGATATTCTCGCCGCACGTAATATCTGGGCGTTTGGACCCGACATGAACGGACCTAATATCCTTGTCGATGACACATTACCAAGCGAGGTCGACAAGGGTCGTCTGAAGCAGGTCAAGGACGCCATTCGTCAGGGATTCCAGTGGGGAACAAGGGAGGGTCCCCTGTGCGATGAACGTATGTACTCTGAACCCGAACCCAAAATGGACCATCTATTTTATTTTTCTGTTAAATGACACCGCGTCTCTAACACCATCTCTTTTCGCTTGTTTGCATCTCCTCTTTTTGACCAATGTTTGGTATAGCGATCCGAAGCGTTAAATTTAGAATCATCGGAGCAGATCTGGCCACAGAACCGATCTATCGCGGAAGTGGACAGATTATTCCCACAGCCCGTCGTGTGTGCTATTCATCCTTCCTGATGGCCAGCCCCCGGTTGATGGAGCCTGTGTATTCGGTCGAGGTTCAGGCGCCTGCAGACTGCGTCGCTGCCGTGTATACTGTCTTGGCACGCCGTCGTGGCCATGTTTTGAAGGATATCCCCAAGGCTGGTTCTCCTCTCTCCACGGTCTATGCTGTCATCCCTGTGATCGAGTCGTTTGGGTTCGAGACCGATCTTCGCACACATACACAGGGACAGGCGTTTGCCCAGCAAATGTTTGACCATTGGCAGAACGTGCCAGGTGATCCATTGAACAAGAGCATTGTCCTCCGGCCGCTTGAGCCCAGCCCTATCCAGCACCTGGCTAGAGATTTCATGATCAAGACGCGTAGACGCAAGGGTCTGAGCGAGGATGTATCAGTGAACAAGTTCTTTGATCAGGACATGTTGTTGAACCTCGCCCAGCTGGACTCTGAGGGGTTTGGATTCAATCTTTAGAAAATGGACGGCCCGGGCAGTATGGCAGAGATGTGTGGCAGCGAGGAACGGGAGATTGAGGACGAGTCCTAATAAACATTTAAAACATTTACAATCATCGTCATGGAGTTCTTCAATAATATTTAATGCTAGAATGCTGCTGTTGCTGCCGCTACCACTGCTACACGAGGGATGCATCATATCATTGAGGAGTCGATGGCTACCGCGGTGATCGTGATCGTCCAGTTTACTGTCCTTTTTAAGGCCTATGCTTCTTCTCATAAGCCCACTGTAAGAAAAAGTTGGTGACCATGGCCGTCAAGAGGATGAAGCACAAGAGTGTGGGTCCGATCCGGTCATCGAACGGTCCCAGCTCCTTGTTGCGAATCTTGTATGCGCGCCAGTGATACGTGACGAGCGCATAAACCATGAAGGATAGAGCAACGAACGTAAAGAGACCCGCGCTCACTCGCGAAGTCTTGTCTCCAAAATTTAGCAGGCCCAACGAAAGACCGCCCAATACTACCGTGAACTGGAGCCAGGAAAGGAACGTGCGTTCATTGGCGAAATAGACCTTGGGCTCGACACGGACCAGCGTTGCAATCTTGCGTCCCGGAGGGGTGATCAAGTATGTCGTCTGGTCCACATCTGGTTCATCGCCATTGGCATGTGAAGATCTGTCCTTGGTGCGGCGGAATAGGTAGCGGAGTGTGTCAGCGCCAGGCTTGAAGGGTGAGATGAGCGAGTTCTTGCTCTTCAGTGGGCGTCGTTGTCCACCCAAGAGCGGCGTTTGTTCGCTAGAGGCGCTGCTGGAGGCGCCGGATGGGCGCTGGATCCAACTCGCCGAAGGCTCCAGTGGATTTTCCTCGTCCTCCTCCTCATCGACCCATTCGTACTGTTGCGCAGTCTTGGCTCCGCCCTGATAATCTTCTTCCTCGTCTCCTGTCGTGATCCTCGTGTCATGATCCTCGTCGCTCGTCGTGTTGGCAGGTGTGCTGTAGCCGCTAGGATCGGGTCGAGAGATCGACATGTTCTTGGAGGCTGGCTTACGAATATCAATATCCATCTGGTGGTACCAGAAGGGGAACAGCTTGACGCGTGATTCAAGCAAGGTCGAGACACCATGAATGAATTTTGAGAATTTTGGCACGGACTCGACCAAGTGAGAGTTGACGAGTTCACGGACCCACTCTGGGGGCTCCTGGCCATGCTGTGTCTGCAATTTGACTTCGAGAACCGCATAGGGAAATCGGCAAATGTCCTCATCGGGAAGCTGGCTAAATGGCCAGTCGATTCCGATATCCATACGACGCCAGTTGTCGCCTGATCTGCGTCTGCCGTCCAGATTGTCTTCACGGATCAAGGTCAACTCGGTGTCGAGCGAGATACGGACACGTGCGTCACCGGGAAGCTGGAAAGCAGTTCTGTTATAGAACGTACGCATGACTTTGCAGACAATGCAACGATAGTGTAAAAGAATACAGAGAATGAAACAGAGTAATTAGCTGTCATTCGATATCAGCGGAGACAATGAGGGAGGGCTAGCCATCGGGCATCAATCAGATTATGAATCCATACCAGGCCCATAGTTCTTGGTCAGAATACCGTATTGACACTCTGCAGCGAGCTGCTCAAATTCAGCAATCTCCTTCTCCGACTTTTTGCCTTCGGCCCTCATTTTGGCGACGGTGGCGTCCATGGTATATTCGCCGCGCAAGAATGCGTTCACGTATTTTTCCTTGATAGGGAATCGTGCCTTAACGGACTTTTCCCCTGTCCAATCCTCACGATGGGTCTTGCGCTCCACAAAGATCTGCTGATTGTCCATGCCACCGTACCATCTCAGACGAAGAGCCTCTGCACCCTCGGACTTCTCGAGACGACCCATGTAGAGCTCAAACTCATCATTATCAAAGTACACGGACGAAATGGCGCTGTCGGCAGGGTTGAATTCCTTGTTAGGATTGAAAACTAAAACTGGGAGATGTTTTAAGATAATAAGCTTGAGCTCTGTAATGTTGTCAGGGTGGACCCAGTATTTGGTGGTCTGACGAACAAAGGCCTGCTGGGAGCCTCCTGCAGAAGAGTCGCCTCCGTGTGCCTTTCCTCGCGTCCTGACTGTGTCATACAGACTCGAGAGTTTAACGATCAAAGCGTCGTAGTTTTCCTTGTAGAAGGGCTTTGAATTGAGGCGGACCATAAAGATGGGTCTGAGAATCCAATGGGTCAGTTTCTATTTCGATACGGTGACATGTAGTGAACGATAGAAAGCATATAAAAGTCGCGTTAGTCGCATGCGGAATGATGTTCTGAGGAATAAAAAAGGCCGGTGCGGTTAGAACATGTCCCTATTATGCACGCGTGAAATGCTCGCAGCGACCGACGACAAGAAATGAATCCAGTGTTTCCCTCCTCGGTCTTTTTCAGTTCTTTCTGTGACATTGCGGTGAATTTGCGAGGTATAATCAAGAAGAGGAATGAGGAACGGATATGCTGGACTCCAGAACGAACAATGGATGGAGGCAATGGATATAGAAATGAATGCGGACATTGGACGTGGATATGCAATGGGGGATTTGTATGGTTCAGCTGTGCGTGTAAGAGTGAGAGTGAGAGCGCGAGAGGAAGAGCACGCGCGCCAGTGGTTGGGTTGACGTCAACTTACGTCGTGCTTCTTGATGATCTTGAGGAATCCAGTGTAATTGAGGCGGGTGAACTTGGCAAGGTCATGAACGTCAGCAATGATGTGCTGGAGCTCCTCCTCCAGCAGGGCATAATCCTCGTTTTGGGCGTCGTTCGACTGAATGATCTCCTCGACCTCCTGTTTAGAATGCTGCAGACGACGCATGATCTCGCCGGACTTGACCTTCTGGAATGAATAGACCTTGTCGAGCTCCTTCTCCAGCAGCTCTGCGAACGCGGTCTCGTCGTCTTCTGTCCAGCGGCCGTTGTTATTGCTGAGGCGGGCTTTGAGCTCGGCCTTGAGTTTGTCGTAGGCGAGGTAGTAGAAGACCCACTCTGGGTAGAGCGAGGTCTTGAGTTGGTGGCCAAACTTCATGACTGATCAGGCGCGAACACGGAAAGGGGATGAAGAGGTAGGCGGTGGTGGAATGCAGGCAGACCAAGGGAATGCGACTGGCAAAAAGAAGCAGAGTAGAAGGTGGAGGAGAGGAGAAGTGGAGGAGAGGAGGAAGGGAGGAGCAGCGGGAGAGAGGAAAGAGGAGGGAAATGGATACGACTGCAGAACAAAGAGATGAAATATAAAAAATAAAAAGATATGGAGTGAGTGTGTGCTGATGGACAACAGCGGGCAGGGCAGCGTGGGGTGAAGGGCCGGCTGTGGTTGGACAGTCCGCTGTCGAATCTTTTTCCTTTCTTTTCTGATGTCAAATCCAAATCCAAATCCAACGGCAGCAGGGGCAAGCCCCTCCTCCTGCTCAAACCTGCTGGACGTCAATGAGCGCCCCAGCGAGGCAGCCGCAAGCGGAGTATGCATGGTCAATGGTCTGTCTATGGCAATTACTCTTTCTCGGTCACTACCTCCCTTTGATCGATGGACCGCCAACGACTACTCTCCCCTCTACTCGAAGCAAGCAAGCAAGCCATCGATATGGGCATGGGCATGGGCATGTATGCACACACACATCTTCATCCATCTCTCTATCTCTCTATCTATCTATCTACTAGAGAGGTGTGTGTCCATGTCGGAGATGCGCATGCATGGGACTGGACAGATCCGTTTATTGACAATGCCGATGATGACCATGATGGATGGTCATATCATCACTCGATCCTGCTCATAGATCCTGCACCCGCCGTTTGACTTGAATGCTGATGGCGCTGATGATATTAAACGTGGGGAGATAAGTCCAAAATCTTTGAGCTCGCGCGCGCGTGCAACGGTTCGATGGCAGCGATCGGCAAAAATGACAGACAGCCCCTGGTATCTGTCGCGTGGGCCAATCACCAACGCACGTGCGTAGGAAAGTCCTTGCGAGATCCAGATGATGGAGGAAATAATGATCGTCCTCATTCAGATAGACACTTGGAGTATGAGAAAATTGAGCGAGAAACTAAACAAGGAATTAAGTACCATGACGACAACGAGCTCGCAGCGGCATGATTGGCCAATGGTTTCGCGACGGCCTATTTCGTGCTGTGCTGTGCATCGTATCCTATGCACAACATAACACACGACGCGCGCTATGCGACAAGCCATGTCGTCCTGTTCAGGAAGCAGAAGTACCATCGCACGATTTGTAGTCCGCACGCGTTTTGTAATAGGTACAGCTATACCAAGTGTATCTTGCCAACACACTATGCATGCATTCATGAGACCACGACGGATACACGGAGGTGCATTCCGTCCTCGGTATCCGTGTACGCCTGATATGCTATACATCCTTTTGTTAGCCCCTCCCTTGTCATCCATCTTTCTTCCACTTTATCACCCTGGCCTCGCTTTCGTCTTCTATTATCTCATCTCCCCCTGCCCCTCCCCTCCCCTTACCTACCACACAATGGGTCGCCAAAGTTAGCTTGGACTCTTATGCATATTTGCTAATATGGATTCTACAGATCCAATGTGGCTGCCTCCCTTTTTTCTCTGGAGGCCCCTTTGCATCTGGCAGTTCAGAGCCTTGTGATTATGGCTCCTAAATATATTCTGCATATGAGAAGACGGAGCAGTTTATGAGAAGGACAAAAGACAGAGAATTGGGAATGGGAATGAGAATGGGAGAAAAAAAAGGAAAGGGAGAGAGAGAAAGAGAGAACGTGTATCTTCTTACATGTAAAGGATGAAAAATATCCAGGCTTTTTCTTGATCTCATGGGTATTCCGAAGAAGAAAAAAAAAGGCTCGAGATAGCGAGCAGAGACAGCCTGAGCAGTGAGAAGCCAGTAATCGCAATTTGGCGGGATAGACAGCCAGATGGACAGACGTTGCGGTCGGATAGACCCTTTGGAGCCATCAATCCATCGTTATCTCAGTGTCTCAAAGCGTAGGTAGGAGTAAAGTTTTTATGGGAAAAAGGAAAGGAAAAAAATTCTACTATTGTCTCCTGTCTGTTCGCTGGACCCAATGAGCTCTGCCCATACTGTCTGGGTCCTTCCTGGCAGACCTGACCCAAGGGTGTGGAGATCGAATGGAGTATGTAAGCGGGCAAAAAAAAAAAAAAAAAAGAGCTTTTCTTCTCGGCCTATTCGATTCTGCAATCACGCCGGAAGTGACACAACAACAGCGACAGCAACAAACCCACCTTCAGCGCAACAGAGAAAAAGGGAGAGAGAGGGAGGGAGGGAGAGAGGCTGTCAATCTGCTTATGTTCAACATGCACAGTACGCCATATGTGGTGCAACCCATACTGGCATCGATTTTTGGCTCATTCCAATGTGCTCTCGCAGAATTGGGCTGGGCTGGATTTCAGGTGTACCAAAAAATACAGGGACAAAAAAATGGACCATTCACGCTCTAGCAAAAAATTCGTCCGAGGGTACACCAACCTGCTGAGACTAGTGCTGCAAAGATCATAGAGCATGAAGGATCGAGCATGGAGCATAGCTGAGCAGATCAGAGTACTTGTGCATGTACCTTTCTCTGATGGAGCCGAAGAAGTAGAGAAAAAAAGAAGAAAAGAGAAGGATGCAAATATGCGACAGGGACATGGAGGAATATGAAGGCAGAGTAGAGTGGGGAGACGACTGGCCTTCGAGGGTCATCGACTCCGATAGCATTCTGTCGGCGATACAGTCTGCACACGATGGTTGTCGCAACCAGCGGCACTGAACAGTCCGACAGTATTCGGTTCAGAGAGCGAACAATCGATCCGGACAATGTTGTGGTTGGCGGTTACTCATTCCTACAAGCTGTCGTCATAGGCCGCTTTGCTGTTTGTAACTGCTCGATGATGATGACTGTGATGATGTGGGGTGGATCTTAGAAGCTAGTCTACGGTATGCAGATGTAGATCCAGGTTCACAAACACACACACACACACACACAGACAGACACATACTCTTTTATACATACTCACACGCATATCGTCTGATTGAAGGCGACTTTGGGGGAGGGGGAGAGAGAGAAAGAGAGTGGGAAAGGTAAACAGACAGGCAATTAGCACCTGCATGCGGCATGCGTGAGGACGGAGAGGGTTCTGCTGTCGCGTTTCCTCATTTCTTGCTTTTGGGTTTAGTGAGTAGTTGGATGACAGGGCGGACTGTATACAAATGCATGCAGGTAATTACCAATGTCTGTCTACATGCTTTGCCCCGGGCCCCCTCCTCCTCCTCTTCACTGTTCAACACGCAATCCCCAACCCCTTGAGCTTGTGTTGTGGTCGGTTTCCTCCCTCTCCCTCTTTTGGGCTGCGTGTCGTTCCTGACTTTGTTTTTGTTGATTTGTTTTCTTTTTTCTTTTTTTTGTGCACTTTGTGCCCTGATTTCTATTCCTGTCAGGCGGCCGATTGTGAAGAAGGACACAGTCTGTCAGTAACAGCGATAGACAAGGACATTGCAGTGTCTGTAGGTAGACTAGTCGGGTCGAGCACCGAGTGCTGCGGTGATCAGCGCTCTCCTCCATCGCCCTGTTGTTTACTGCATGTCGTTTGCTGAGGTCGGGGTCGAAGTCGAGGTCAGGGTCGTGCTTCTAGCAGTTCACTGGTTTTGACCTGAAAGCAAAGAATAAGAAGTCAATTGAGTACTGTGTTTCTGTATAGGAGGGTGTGCGGAGACAGACAACCATGGACTACATAAGCTGCCTTTTCCTTGCTGAAACCTTAAAAAAAAAAGTGTTTTGCCGCCTTTCCCTCCTCTTCTTCTTTATCACCCTCCTCTTCTTTTTCTCCTCTTCTTCTTCTTTTTCTCCTTCCTCTTTTTAAAAATCCATCATAATCATCATTGCCATCGTCTTCCTCTCTCTCTTACTTTCTTTCTTTTCTTCTTTACTCCCTCCCTTCATTCGCTTGCTTGCTTACTTCGCCTTCCTCAACCGCTTCTGCTCTCACATCCACCCAAAACCAGACCGCACGACTGCATCCGGCGTCGTTCCTATTGGCCTCTCTACCTTAGATCCCTCTTTCCTCCTTTGCTTCTTCTTCTTCTCCTTCTGCTTCCTCTCCAAAGTCTTTACCGACATGCTGGCCCTACAATCCACTCCTCTCCACCTGCGCGATCAAGACAAGCAGGACAGACGGTTCGATCAGCCGCTGCTCTTTGCTGGCTATCCCTCTCCCCTCCACCACCATCACCAGCAGACCGCAGCTGTCTCTGCCTCATCCACAGTCGTGGCTTCACGCCGTCATCATCACCCTCGCCATCACTCCTACCACCACCCTTCCTCCGTCTCCCTAGCCTTCGTGACACCGTCGTCTGCCCTGACTTCGGCCCTGATGCCATACTCCCAGAGCCACTCTGTACGCCACCATCAACACCAGGCCCTCTTCTATCGCGAGTGCGATCTGAAACAGGATCTGTCCATCGTTAATGCCAAGATTCTGAACCACAACTACAACAGCAGCAGCAGTAACCACACCAGCAAGAGCAGCCATTTCGGCGCTCCTTATGCCGCCGCAGCCGCAGTATGCTCGCCCCGAATCCAGAACTCTCCCCATCAGGAGGATCTGGCCCAATTGACGCCTATTCAGAAGATCGAGTCTCGCATTGCCAAGATGACAATAGAGGACTATGCGAAAGAGAAGATTGTCCTTCTCCTCACAGGTACAGCTCTTACTTTATTTTTATTTTTATAACATAACCCACATGATGTCTTGAAAATGTGCGCGGGTTGGGGATCTCCCGCCTGGTTTGGGCTGGGCTAGCCTAGGCTGACTCGGCAACAAGACCTGTCAGTATCTTAAGATCGAAGAGAGGGGCAGCTCCAGTGTGGCCTCAATTGGTGAAATGTGCCAGTCCGACGGCCGTCTACCCCCAAGCAATGTCTGTTCCCCTCTGAACTTTTTGGTGTTGTCATCCCGTCTGGTACAGTGCAACAAATGTGTGCCTGTGGGGTGATGGCGAAGGCGGGGTGCACAGTGTGTGTCTGCGGAATGACTCTTTTCGAACGCCTCACTCTTCCATTGTTCCCCCTACTTCGTTCTCATCCGCCTGCATCTATTCCCGTCTCTCGTGCCGTGTTTGCTTATCTTACAACACTTGATTGCAGGCAGCCCTCGGGAAACGAGTATCTCTGATCTGCCTTTTGTCATCATTGGATAGGTGTATTTCAGATGGGATGGGGAGAATGAGCAGACAGGTATGGAAAAAAAAGATGGTGCCCTATTTTAAGCGCTGAGTAGATACAGATACAGATGTGAATGCAAAGATGCCACCCAGTTGATCCATGGCTCTTGTGGGGACGGGGGAGGGCTCCTTGTGTGTATTCTGGGATCAGGAATGTGGGGTGGAGAGCCAACCAATCGTCAATGGTCGATGGTGGCGGTGTATGAGTTAAGAGATGATGATTAGGTTTCTGGGTTGCTAGCTGTCTCGATGCATGGTCATGCATTGAGGGGAGGGGTCCAGGTGTGATCGAATGTAATTGGATCGGCTACCTTGATGGACTATGACGACAGAGACGCTATTCGCAGCCATGAGCCATGGTCAATGGTTAGGGCAAGTCCGGGGCGAGGGTTGGGCGAAGTGTGTATATTTTCTATGCGGGTGTTACTCCACACACACACACATACACACGCATATGTATACACAAGCATGTCATAGGTGACAATGCAGTAAACATAGAAGGAAAGGGTTCAAAGTGGTAATTGTTGTTGTTTATTGTAGAGAAGCAATGATGGTTCGATGGTTCGGTGCGTGAATTGTGTAGTCTACAGTATGTGAATATGTTGAATAATAGGAAGGAACCGTTTTGTTTATGTTTGTGCCTGCGTTGTGTCCGTGTTTGTGCATTCGCCCACGGAGGGAAAAAAGAAAAGAAAAAGTCGATGGTTGCACAACCTCACCCACAGACATCTTGTGATCCAACTTCCTCTTTCTTTTTGAACCAAAGGGGAATGGAGAGCAAGATTACATCGCCTTTGTGTTCTCTCCGTTTTTTGATACCTATCCTAACCAATCCACCAGTCAATCAGTGAGTCAGTCAGTCAGTCGGTCAACCAGCCAGTCTTCACCCTTAGTGCCTGATATCTTGCAGCAAAAGCATCCACTCCAACCCCCTCCCCAATTCCATCCCACTACGCTCCTTGTTCTCACTCACTCCTTCCCAGTGCTATTCTACAGCCAATTACCCTCTGATCAATATCTCTGTCCCTTTTTTTATTATATTATTTTTGTTACACTCCACAACTTTGCAGCACACAGACACAAACATAGATGCAAGGACACAGACATAGACACAGGCACAGGCGCACAAAAAAAATACGTTCTGCATCCTAAAAAAAAACCCCCCATGCTACGCAAGACTGAAAAGGAGAGAGAGCGTCGATAACTGGTCAACGATGATGACAGCGGTGCAGAATAACCACACATTACACACACACACATACGCAATGGATAAAGGAGAGGGTAGGGAGATGTTCAACAGGGGCAGGGAACAGCGGACAAGGGGAAGGCAAATTTTTTTTATTGTGAGCAATTGGGTAATGAGGCATTCAGGCACAGGTTCACACAACAACAGGGCACATACACATGGATGACATTCTCCTCCCTCTCCATCTCTGTCTCCTATTTTGTGCTCTCATCCCTTTGAGCTGGATCGCGGCGAATGGAGATAATTATACGATTTGGGGTGACGATAGGAGCCAGGCGCGCTATTGTGAAAATACCTGCCTACTGGTCAATTCGGGCGTGATCCCTCATTGTTGTCATACCGTCTATTCTAACCCTGTTTTATTTTTATTTTCATCGTATGATTTTTTCGCACCTCAGGCTCCTTCTGTCCGATCCATCTGCATCATACCGAAATGCTCGAGGCAGCCAAGACGAGGATGGAGCAGGACCTAGGCGACGGATCTGGCTCTGCTATGATTCTGGGCGGGTTTCTCTCCCCTAGCCACGATCTTTACGTGGGCGAGAAACTAAAGGGCGAAGATCTGGTACTGAACTCAAAGGAGCGTTTGGAACTCTGTCGACTGCAGACCGCAGACTCTAACTGGATTGATGTCGACGCCTGGGAATCAAACCAGGACCGTTTCTATGACTATCACAAGGTCACATCGAGGCTGCAGCAGTTTCTGCAGGAAAAGTGCCAGTCGATGCTTGAGCACAAGATGCGCGCTTTGCTGCAGGACCAGCAGAGTCAACAACAAACACAAAAATCTTTTGCTCAGATGGTTCCACAACGATCAGGGTCACTCGAGTCGAGCAGGAACCCGTTCAACATCAGGGTCGTATACCTCTGTGGAGCAGACTTTGTACTCCGGACCGGGGCACGCAAACTCGTAGGTGGCATTGTAGTCGTAGATCGACCCCTTGGCGCGCCCTCCTCCAACAGGCGATCGATCCTCTTGACCCAGACGGGCGGATCCATCTCTGTGCCAGTCTCGAATCAGATTGACAAGCATGAGGAGGCCGCAGCCAACGGCAACGCCACCAATGCAACACCGACCATGACCTTGACGGCCAAGCAGCGTGTCTTTAAGCGATTAGAGCAGTCGTACGGATCTGAATGGTGCGAGGCGAGTAGGAACAACATTTGGTGGCTCCCTGCTAGAAGCCGCACCGAATCCGAGGACATCAGCTCTACCAGGATACGCAACCTACTTTCGGATCGAAAGAGTTGCCAGGGCTTGCTTCACCCCTTGGTGGCCCAGCGACTACTTGAAAAGAAGGCTCGCCAAGATGCTGCCTAAATCTCTCCTGGTCTTTCTGCCGCTCTCTCTCTCTTTTTTCTCTACTTCCTTTTCTCTTTTTGCAACAGAGAGTATTTGAGGAGTGGACTGTATGTAGACAGCTGTTTAGCTGTATTCTTTGTATAGTATCTTTTGAACCGTCTCGGAAGCCATCAGTCAGGACGATGGCATTGGAGATCGTATCTTTGTCTTATTTTGTATGTAAAATAAATCCGTCTTTTGTTTCTTGCAATCCAAAGGAATCGAGGCACCTACCCCCTTATCCCTGTATGCATCGATAAGGACCTGTGATTAGGCAGGGAAGAGAGAAGAGGCCCATGGCGAGTAACGATAACGTCAAACGCAATGGACATGTAGTTCAACGTCAACAGCTGAGTGAGGCTCTACTATACACATGGCTCAACGTCACAATGGGTTGCCTACGGCGCCTTAAAGTGTCTGCCATCCAGGGGTAATTGCCCTTTTGCATGGACACCATCAGTAAAACAAGGACAACCCCAACAACAACAAGTACGGCGCAGACATGCAGAAGTATGCAGAATCGGCGCATGGACTCATCTTCGCCCTTTCTCTCTCTCTCTCTCTTTCTTTCTCTTTCTCTTTCTCTTTCTTCTTACTCCACAAAGCCCTGCGCCCATTCCGAGCAGCAGAGCCCTCTGTCTACTCCCATGGCCCATGGTCTTTCCATACCTGCGGGAAGGTGGAAAGACTGGGACACACGCAGGCCTACTTGTTGAACTACAGTTCCGTCCTCGGAATTCCCATGTCCCATTCATGCGATGGTAGACTGCCTTGTGCGATCAAAAGATCCTCTTGCTTTAGACCTAGGGGCACCGCACGAGTTTTGAACACAAGATATCTCTTGTGCCATTCTACGCACAATGATGTTGTCTTAGGAACATACGATATGACAAAAAAAAGTTCATTACCACATATTGGGTTGTTCTGGCCCCCAGAGCACTGCTTTACTATGGGACATCTCGTGCCACTCAGATGTAAGGGTTTTTTGGTATTAGGGAATTTTAAGGATTTCCATATTAGGTGTTACAGGGCTTGAACTGCCCTTGAAGCATCGGTTGTTGAGCAGGTCCGTGAGTTGCAGCTCGAAAGAAAAGTCCTAGGGATGGCTGATCAGGACCAGAAAAGATCGTGTCGGCCCATCCATCGTATTGGCTCATCGGAGGAACTGGTCGTTGTTGGATTCTTATTCAAGGACTCGGCTTTACTACCGTGTCTGGGGGGCATCAAGGATCCAAGCACAAGACCCATATAAAAATTAATCGGACGAAAACTTTCTTTTTTTGGTCCAGCGGGTCGAAATTCGCGATCTACTCATTCAATAAAATCAACCGCATCAAAAAAACGATACAGGACGGTCGGGTTCTCTAAGCGCTATCATTTTGGCATGAAGGTACCGGTCTGCTAGGCAGCATTCTAGCCCAATAGGTCCATAGTACCTGGCACGGCGCACACTTTTTATTTTTTATTTTTTTTATTTCTCGTCGCTGTTGCTTGTTGGCCAAATCCATCATTCCTGGGAGGAGGAGTCAAGATGAACTTGATCTGCCAAAGTAACCTTACCAACTGATTCAGGAGAGGCGAGTTCCTAATGTTGTTTGTCCATGTCTTCCCATGTTTTTTGGCCACCAATTTTTATCGCATTGTTATTGGCCGATTGGTTTCAAACCGAGACATTTTGTGGTGGTCAAATATGTTGTCCAAAGGCACCAGCTCAAGGGCTGGTGTATTCGAAATGTGTCGGGGGCATTTGTCTCCCTTCTCCCCAACCCCAACCCAAAAAAAAAAAAAACGATATGCCGCTCCTCGTTGACCCAAGAATGTGCTTCGTCCTCGCAAGCGCTGATGACGACGAGGAAGAAGAAGATGAGACAGCTCTTTTATAAGCCGCGACTTCCAAATGCATAGGGAAATTGTAAGCTTGAGCGGGTTTATTGTTTCAGAGGAGCATTTGCTCAAATGCCGGTCATTTGAAATCTGTGATGCCTAGGTTTGAAACCTCCGGCGCCAGCTAGTTGTGGGCTCGACTAGCTTGGTCGGAATAGACGGACATCCTGCTTATCGAGCTGAGCACATTAGACGATTGAGCCTTCGTTAGCTTGATTATGCAGAGTGGTGCTTTTGGCTCCAGGGCGCCGCTTTACTATGGTGTACTATGGTGCCAGGGGCTTGAAGCATTTTGCGCTTGCCAGCGCTAAATCCATGTCAAGGCACGAAACATTTTTTTTGCGCCACTCATTTTTTGCATGCCTTGTTCCTGATCGGTCGTGCTGGCGGATTGTTGAGCGACGATTGTTTCGGCTATTAACATTGGGGCCTAGAAGGGCAGCAGGATATTGGCAAATAAGCTGAAGGCAGAACTATTGTTTACGCGCGTTCAAAAATATAAATAAAAAAGCGTTTGAGCTTGGCTATGAAGAGCAGACATGAAAAAAGGCATAATATCCCTCGTCCTTTTATTCCACGAGGTGAAAATGTGCTCATAGAGCCGCTTCATCTGCAGGCGCTCTTCTCCTCGGCGCTTTCTTTATTATTATTATAATAATTTGTGCAGCAAAGATCTGTGTCGGCTACTCGCAATTCCACTCCACATCCACGACATTCTACAGCGACCAAAGATCGATACGAAACTCTGACATCGGTCTAAACACAAAAAAGGCTAATATGTTGGCAAAGGAAGATGGAGATGGAGATGGAGATCAAGGAGGAAGAGCTTGCATTAGAGTTAAAGAGTGATAACACAAGACGTGGAGACAACAAGAACAAAAAAAAAAATGCACGTTTGTTTTTTTTTTTTTTTTTTTTTTTTGGGACGCGTCTTATCGATCTCGTTAATCGCTCAGACACAGCGTATTGAACGCTCAAATAAACGCGTAACACAAAGAAGCGATGCATACCAAAAGTGCATTTACTTTTGTGAAGGTTCACTTGGAAGCTTTGTTCACTGCTCAATTCGTGGAACCATCGCATCAGATTGCACCAATATGAGGCGGGTTGGGAAGGTTGGGGCGAGGCTATTTTTGCCGCCTATTTGCTGTAGTCCATGTTCTACAGTGAACCAAAACGAGGTTGGATGTCCATTCCAACGATCGATTGTGTCGCAGATAAAAAAAAAAACAACCAAATGCATTTGCCATCGTTGCGAATCTCGATACACGACCGGCAGAATGGCATAGATGCGATAAATGATATAAACAAGCGTAAGCTTGGCCTGCAACAAGCAACGGTCATCATGGACCTAGACAATGACAGTGCGGCTGACAAACAACAGCTTGTAATCAAATACAAATTTTGAAGAAAAAAAGTACATAGAGTAGAGCCATCCTTCATATGGCTCATTGTCCTCTCAACGCGCGGCCTACACGACCTCACCGGCCTACCTTTTAACTTACTCAGTCAAGCAGCGCAACTTGATCGTTATTCAACAAAAAATCTGCTCTCATTCTCTTGCACCCATTCCAGCTAATCCTTCTCTTTCTTTTTCTTCTCCGAATGCCCTAAATCCTCATGTCCATGGCCATTGTAGTACATTGTCACACATTAGGGTGTGGAGAGGCTGTCGTTCTTGAGAAGAAAGGAGATGCAAGACTGGAGTGGGTGGTGACAATCATAAGAGCCAGGGCAACCGAGAGCAAAACCTAACATTCGATGTACCACACACATGCATGCGCCATGTCCATGTACGACCCGCGAGAAAAAGAAGGGACAATAGAAAACAAGGTACGGCGTTCAGAGGCCCTGCCTGAGTTAATGCAAGCCTGCCTGCAGGCAGCCCATTCCAATGCAGATACATCGGAACTCTACGTACGCGCTGGAGCATCCGTTTCAAATAGTCTACCATTACGAGACTAAAAGCACATATATCTCTACAAATGTACCCAGCTTCTTGCCCTCCCTCCCGCTCCCCACACTTTTGGACACGCACACAGACACACGTTCGGTCCATGGTCCATGGGCTTGACACAAAGTTACATGAAAATCAAAAAAGAGACGTGGCGTTGGTTACTCAAAGAAAACGAAAGGAGTCATGTCGATGGATCGCATATCCCCAAGGCCCGCCTTCATTCGACCATCCCTCTGGCTCAACTCTTACTAAGGTGTTTTAATATGCATGTCTATCCCCGGTAGCTGTTACTGTCGAGTCCCTCAGAAAACAGACGTACTAATCCCCACTTGCAGAGGAAAGGGCGAAAGTATAAACCAAAGGAGAGAATGGATGGATATAGTCTAATTGGAACGCGAGTCCGTGTGGTCCTAGGATGCTGTTGTATCATTCATCTATACGTCGTTTGCTCTTTAGTTGTCCATCATCTGTAATTAGCTTGAGTGACCATATCTCTCCGCCCCTATGTTCGACTCAGCTGTCCCCAACACTTCGACCTTGTTGTTTTTTACTGGCTCTTCAAGGGTTTGCTTTGGATGTGATCTCTAGTGCAATACCATCAATTAAAAGAAAAAAAATAAGTCGCCAAGAGCTACATGTGTACGTGCCTGAGCACTTGAACAGCTGTTGTTGGGTCAGATCATCAGGAGCATAAAAAAACCGCTAGGGTGACATTACGATGGAATGATAAACACATCCGATAAGCATTTGCCTAGGAAAGGACGCGATACCTTCCCCATTACCCCCCATTCCCGTCCTGTTCTGCCCTGACTTGCGTTTTTTTACTCGTGTAATCATATCGCTTCCTCCTTATCTCTTCTCTTCCATGCAGTGCGGACCGTTGGAAAGGATTTTCGTCCGCATCCATTAAACCCGCCGGGTCAGATCCCTACTCTCGCCTTACCTCTGCGGGTCCGATTAAATTGAAAAAAAAAAAGAAACAATGCGGGGTTTCCGTGTAGATGTGGAGCGCAAGAATAAGGTTGGTGGCCCTTTATTCAACCTGCATCATCCTTTATTTATGGTGATGGGACTAAACTATACGAAAAAAAAAGGTACGACTCGGTGGAGCTACATTGCGAGGGTTCATCACGTTGAACCATAAATCCGTTTAAGCCCTCAAATCCTACGCGTCAAAGCGTGAGACTTTTTTTTTTCTCAGCTGTTGGTCTCCACATTTTTGAAAATCCACCTTTTTTTTTACCCCTCAACTGTAAAAAAACGAACGCCCACCCCGAGGTCAACAAGAGTAACTAAACATAGAGTAATGATGGTTGCGTTATAGAGGTCGTTTGTTTTTCCTGTGATTTTTTTTTTTTAGTTGGCTACTGTCTAAAGGCCCAGGCTTGTTTATCGAGTCATCCACGGCGCCCCTATCCCTTTCCCCAGCAAAAAAAAATAATAAAATAAACGAGAAAGCTCTTTTGTTGATTGTCGTAATTGCTACCCAAGGTCGACCAAAAGAAAAAAAAAACGGAAGCCAAGTTTACACAGATTGCTTCGGCCCAACAGAGGTACGGGTACTACTCTATTGCCATAAAATAAAGACAGAAGCCATTCCGGAATAGTTCCTTTTTAAGATGAGGGCTCTTCGTAAACAGCTATAATACACATGTATAGTCTACGGAGGGCGGGGGGGATCCCGGAAATGTAATAAAAAGCTCAAGAGCTACTTTATTCTCAGACAGCATCGCATCACAGTTTTGGGTTCTATGAGCAATCTGATCCACGAACTTGCGAAAGAGTTCAACGCGACCTCTACTCGGGATCCATACGCGCTTGCATATGCTGGTCATTTTCTTCTTTTTCTGCTGCCTGTATTGCTGCAAGAGAGAGTGAGAGATACGCCCGCTATCCTTCAATAGGGTAAGCAAAAAAAAAAAAAAAAAAAAAAAAAAAATTGTCTATCTATGCATCAGGAACATCGAAGAAAGAGAACCCATGAATATTCAAACGTTGAATGATTGGACAATAAGGAAGGCGATGGCTATGCAGCATGGCTGCCTGGCTTAAGAAATGGCAAAGGACTTTTATGCGACGCAGTGCTACATGTGTAAGGTGGAGGGGCGCCTGGTTGATCAGTGTCAAGACCAACCACGTTTTGTGTAGGTCTGTCCAATCGTCAGGCAAGATTCATGCAACCCTGAAGGGCTATTCGATGCCTCCCGTCCCCGCATGGATCTCGATGGCATTCTGATTCTGATTACGAAGGTCCTTTTTTTTTTTTTTTTTTTTCGTCTTTACTTTTTATTCTTTACCAGTAGACAGGTAGACTATATGCAAATATTAGGGACATTGATATGATGAAATATGTTGGAATGATATGTTACAGTGAGTGGAGGTAGATATGCAACTAAATTAACTAGCAATACATTGCGCAGATGGACAGGGCAGGGCAGCGCAAAAAGGGGGAGGGGTGGCAAACAATGGCGCAATCAGTGGAGTATGTACAGAATAAAAATAGGAGAGCAGCTGGGGAAATCGTCCTCAAGTAGCCCTTGGAGCGGCAAACGAACGGTGGAGGCGAGGTGGCCTCAGCTAACAAACTCCAGGGCTCTCCAGAGACGGACGGACTTTGCAAAATGTTTTTTGTGGGGTTCCGGTGAGAAAAATAAGAAATAAATTTTTTTTCTTCAAAGAGTAGGAAGCAATGACGAGATAGGAGGCAACTTGAAATCTGATCCGCCGTTGATGTTGCTGCCACTGTTGCCATGGTTGCCACTGGAAATCGATGGTAGAGGAAGCGAGATACGCTGACTGTCGTTGCCGTTGCTATAGTTGCCAGAGTACTGAGGATGAGGACGGTGAGGATGGTATGTGCTCTCCATCATCGAGGGCAGTCCTGGGTGCGCCATCGAGGGCTGGGGCTTGTACTGCGGGTATGGGGCAGCAGTATAGCGCGACGAGCTAGCACTGCCATAGCGAGGTGACATGGGTGGCGAGTAAGGAGGCGTCTGAAGAACAGTGCCGGTCTTGTCTGCAGCAGATCTGTAGTACTGCTGCTGCTGCTGATGCTGCTGGTATGGCTGCTGAGCCTGCTCTGGATTGGCCGAGGTAGTGATGGGCGTCATCCTGGCCCATGCTGGGAGGTCGACCATGGGCTCGTCAGACTCTGAGAGAGAGGGCGACATGGGGTAAGGTGACATTGATGAGCGTGCAGTGTTTGCAGGCGACGGGGAGGCGGCAGGGGTTTCGTTGGAGGCCTTGCTCTCAGTGGAGGACTTGCGGCTGCGGGTACGGGTAACATGGGTTCTGGCATGTTCACGGAGCGCATCCGAGCGCGTGAAACCGAGTCCACAGCTCTCGACCGGGCACACAAACAGCTTCTCTGAGGTATGCGAGCGGATGTGGCGGGCAAGGTGGCCTGATCGGGTGAAGGACTTGAAGCAGTTGGGAACAGGGCAGATGTGTTTCCTCGCCCATTCGGCAGACTCCAATGCCTGAAGATATTCCTGGTAGGTTGCGTAGTGGTGAGGAGAGGTCGAGAGGAGATCCGCGTTGCCGTTTTTGCAGGCAGATGTGTGAGCCTTCATGTGGCGCGTCAGCTCGTCAGAGCGCGAGAAGCGCTTGTCGCAATTGGGAAAGTCGCACGGGTGGGGCTTCTCGCCAGTGTGGGTGCGGATGTGGCGAGTCTGGTGCTCGAGACGGAAGAAAGATTTGTCGCAGAGATGGCACTCGTAAGGACGAGCGACCTGGTCTGAAGCGGACTCATGATCGGACTCCCCGCAAGAGGACGACGCTGAGGAGACAGGGTGAGAAGATTTTTTTGAGCGGCCTATTGAGGCTGAGGTGGCGTCGTTCATGATGCTGGAGAGGGCGAATGACGAGGTTGAGGCCATTGTGGGGAAGTAGGAAGCTGTGTGTTTTATGGTCGACACCCTTTTTATAGCGCGGTAGTGGGAGGAGGAGATGGAGCTGTGAGGAGATGGAGCTGTGAGGAGAAAGGACCGAAAGGAACGAAAGGAAAGGGTACAGTGAGAGAAGGGAAAAGGAGGGGGAGAAGGATCTCCTTTATATGTGTGCAATCCGATCGGAGAGTGGTTTTGCACCCACTCTAAACAATTGCAACAATTGCAGTGCAGCGCATTGCGAGCCACGAGCCAGGCAAAGCAACCAAAGTTTTATTTTTTTGTATTGATTTGGTTTATTGATAGGTTTATCTATCGCGGCCTATTCTAAAGCTATACAATCCATACTTATCTCTTCAGGGAGGCCCATAGACTAGCACCTGAATACCGTCTTACCCATGTAAAATAAAAAAATAGAATACAGCGGATTAAATAAACCACTGAGCGGGATGTGATCGAACTAGACTACAGTACTCAACAGCAACGGTGGCAGCAATGGCAAGGGCAATGACAACGGCAACGGCAACGGCAACGGCAACGGCAACGACAACAGCCATGCTCTCCTGCTCTCGGCCCTTGACTCGACTTGGCCCAGAGAAAGAGCGGGTCTCGATTCTGTGCAGACTACTGTAGAATGGACCGGCTGTTGCATGTGGACACACGAAGGGACCATCGCATCATTTTCTCCTCCAATTCCTCCTCGCTCTCTCCCTCCCCACATTCAACCCCCCATCCTTTTTTATGCACTAAACGCCATTATACTCTTTACAATAAGCAATTACAGTCTGTATTCTTCCTGCTTCACCCCTGTAAAATGAACGCCACCATTCTTCCCCTATCTGCATCTGCCGCCTGCTCCCTCTTGCCCTCCCCACAAACAGATGTCGTTATCACCCACATCATCACACACAATTCAAAGTATTTTTAAACGCCTTCAACAAATCACAGCAGCGCCCGTCCACGTTTCTCACATATCCCCCTTCAATTGCTTCATCGTCTCCAACTTCCTGCTCCCCCACTAGACTAGACTATCACTGTCGGCGTCTGGATGTCCTATGGCTATCACCATCCTTCACACTCAATGTATTATCGCCTTGTTCACCTGTATTAGCACTATCTTTATCACAGCCTCAAATAAATATGCCACAGTCGGCGCATGTACCGTTAGCTCCATCCACGTCCCTCCCTTGGTGCACTTATCAGTCCATGGCCATGGCTCTGGGTCGGAAAGAGACTCTCTGGATGGGTCTACAGCGACTCACTGCTTACTACAATTACTTCAGTGGTTGGATGTGGGTAGGACGCGGGCAAGTTTTGAACACAAAGATGCATAGCAATCCTGCCATGTTTATCCCCTCCCGGGTGCTGCTTCACAAAAAAAAAAGTTATCGTTCCACGTTTTCGTAAAAAAAAAAGGGGCGGGAGCGAAGCATATCTTTTTACACTTTGTCTGCTTGGCATGTGAAAGAGAACCAAGGCGAGAAATGTGGAGCGCGTTGGGAACTTAAAACTGTAAACTTGCTATGGTTGCTTACCTTGCCAGCCTAACGCAATCGTTGACAGTTCTCATTCGCTTCAAGTATGTGTTGCAACCGGCTTCCCAGTATACAGATAAACTAAAACATGGATCATTTATGACAGACGCCGTTATGCTCCTCCAAGGGACTCAGCGTTTTAGACATTAGAGATTGGAGATTCGCACCGTTTGCCGAGATTATGGATAGGATGCAAAGACCCAGTGGCCCATGAACTTGTTGGTGCCACGAATACACTGTGTTCCCAAGTTGTCTGCGTTCCAGCCGTTGGACACGCATCATTTACATATGACATGACATGCACACACGGCAGCATGGAGGGACAATCAATGATAATAACAACATCCAGGACCCTGGCTAGATTTCAATACCAAAACTGAGGACATCGCATTGTTACAAGAACGGTGTGCAACCAGAAATTCAGACACAGATCAACATGAGCCAGGGATTGGATAGGAATGCATGGGGTAGTGATCCAGTCAGGACATCGGGACAATTCGAAATCAGGGGAGTCAAGGAGAGCGGGAGCAGGGGTACCCGCAGTTGCGCGCATAGGCCAAGGGTGAACACAACAGTGGTACAATAATGCAACGCCCATTGTTATCGTATGAATCATCACCACATCATTTGCTTTGTAACCGACTCTCCCTTCGCGCCATACGTGTGTACGTGCGTCAATGGTCCGAGGAGATAAAACTTGACTGGACCTTACGTGTTTCTAGCCCCTAAAACCACCACGTAATTCCTCCCCTGCGGTAGTCGATTTCGAAGGTTCTTGGATGTGGGTCTGGTCCAGGAATGCATACGTGCATATTGACTACATTCAATGATCCCCTCGTCCAGAGTGCCTGGGAACTCGAGTCGCGTTCAATGACCGTAGCGGATCCACTGGATCGACCCTAGAAGACACACTGCACGTTCGTTCCCATACCCTCATCCTAAAGTCACCCAACAAAGACACAAAAGGGTGGACTATGCGAGCGTTTTCTACCCCGCAATCAACCCACTTTCTTTTTTGCTTTCTCTCTTATGCGCATGTGTATCATTGGCTCACGATCGATACTCGTATGCTTCTCACCCTTTAAGCGACAAGAAAAGTGCGTTACCCCTCTCTTTCCTGAGCGGCGGCAATTTGCATAATAATAAAAGTATAGATTGCATCTCGCCGCAATTGCTTTCAGGCTGTTAACGCTCTCTCCTCCTCAACCTATAGGCTACGCCAAGACTTCGAATATCTAGATGTACAGTATGTAGCTAATGACGCAAACTCGAGGGCAGCATGAATGGAGGTCGGGTCTTTAGTATATAGATCAGGTCAGAGCACAAAGGTGCACCAAACAAAAAAGGCGTCTCCATTATAGCACAGCTCATCCTTACGCAGGGCACATTGCCTGGTCCGTGTTGCATAGGTTTCCCTTACTGGAGTATGTTGTTCAGGGGGTCAGGGGCGAGTGAGAGAGCAACCTGCTGATGGAGATCGGTTATTCATGCTACACACACACACAACGCACACCATCGTCCGTCTCTAATCTATTCATTTGCATCCTGCTGTGAGAGCTCAGGGTAGAAGGGGAGGAAAATAAGGGGGGCAGATGGTTGATTCTTATGGAGTACTTGGAGAGCAAAGCAAATGGCACCACTGACCAACCTATGGTCCATCCATCGCATCGTTACATAGTTTATCCTTCTCTCCACAATTACACTGGCCATCTATCGTAAACAGCGGCCTATGGCATGAAAAGGAGATCAGAGGGGGAAGGGAGCTACAGCGGGTGTACTCCAATGGTTGAGCAGCAAGAGCGAGCCACCGACCTGATGAAACACCCGCAAAAAAAAAAAAAAAAAAAAAAAATGGTACGAATGTCGCAGGACGCGTCAGGGCATGACATTTAAAAACCATGTGGTAGGAATTGTGCTGTCCTCCTTGCACGAATGACCCCATGCTAATCTCTCACTCTTCCCGATCTGACTCCCACGTTGTGTTTGTGCCGCATGAACGCAGGATGTACAGCCTAACAGTAAATAAAAACCATGTGGACGATGCGGTTGATCGTTTAAAAAGATAATAATAATGTTGTGTTGCTACTGTTCAATTGAAGAGGTTCTACGCCGGTGTCTTTAGAGTTGAGGTTTAGAAAACGTGCTTGTGTACACACACACATGCGCAACATCCGGAACGAAAATGCCATCATTTTCGACCCAAAGCACCTGTCTATCAATCCTCGACAACAACAACAACAACAACAAACAGCAGCAGCAAAAGACGCATGCCCTGATAGCGAATGATTCCTCTACACATGTTCGCACACACAAAATAAAAGACGTACTGCACAAACACAACACTTTACAGCGCTCTCGCTGTACATGTGCTGTCGTCTGTAGAGTACATGTAGGAGCAAAGATAGGCCTGCAGCAGCACAGTTGCAGCAGTCTCTCTCTCTCGGGTGTGGTTACAGAAAGGATTGTCGCAAATACGACCTCTGCAAAGGAGAACGTTTCTTTCCCACGGGGGGGAGGGGGACTACGCGCGCGGATTTTACCTACGATATCTCCATTCACCATCTTTGGAGGTGCCGGCAAACAACGCTGGCTCCCCCTTGAAATTGTAGTAAGACAGAGTACGTACGAAAAGTGTGTACAGTAGCGCTTATCGCTAACCTTTTTTTTTTCGCCTTTTTTTTTCGCCTTTTTTTTTTTTTTTTTTTTTGGTGACCATCAGACTCTGCGTAACAGCTCCTCTTATCAAGGTCCTGTGTCAACAGGGATGATAAAACCCCGTTGTGATGGCACAAATTCAAGAGAATTGAGGATGAAGAGTATAATCCTTGCGAACACTAAACGCTGTGTGTTTGATCCGCTTCAAATCGCTTTTTATCGGTTAAAGAAATGCCCAATGCAAAAAGCTATCAGTCGTGTAACCATGACTCTAACAGAGTAACAGGGGAAGGGGTAATTATGTTGCCCAACTAGACTACTAGTTCGAAAGTGGGGGACCCGATAACAACCAAAAGAGAGGAATCCAAGTGGCTGCCTCGGCTTCTTTTACTGTTTTTGTTCATCACGATTAAGCCGATCTGCTATTTGCCCTTGTGGGTGAAAGGAACTAAGCTCGTCGGCTTCTTTCTTATGGCAAGAGGGAAGCATGCGAAGGTTTTGCTCAAGATGTTCTTTCTGCCCCCTCCCCTCCCCCCCCCCCCCTACTCCACAAAACGGTTATTGTCTATTTTGGCACCTCCGCATTTTTCGATCCTATCACAAATTAGAGCTTATTCCGTTCAAGTTCAGGACTTTCTTGTGTGTGGGGACAATGTTGAGTGAATACGACAATTTGAGCGGAGTGTACATTGGAGAGATGGAAAGGGAGAGCGAACTTTACAGCTCTTGATATGTATCTCTATAGTAATATTTCGAGGGCTTTTCTGGCTTTATCTCATGAGCTATCTATCTTGTGGGATAGAAACCCGTGAAGATGTTTTCTATATACATGTTTTATGTGATGCGCAATGCTCACCCAAATGAAATGCTGCTCGCAAACCCGCGGAAACAGATGGCGATACGATAGGGCGCAAACACGGCTAAAGGATACTGTTGCTGTTGTGCTTGGAGTTTCAATGCTCATGCCCTAAGATTTCTTTGTGGCCTCCGTACACATTCAATTGAGGTAAAGGAGGGTCCCAGTCCAAGTCCGTTGTACTAATTCATCGCCGTCTCCAGGTAGTGGAAAGACGATTGCGCGATGTGGATGCATATTTTGCATATGTATGCGTGTGTGGGAGAAAGGGTTCAAATGTTGCATAACCCTGGACCACTTATTGCTGTCTGCAGTGCAAATGTTGAACCGTTTTCCGTAGACACACATGTTTGTTTATTTTTATATACTGCACTCCACGCAACCATGCAGCCCGTTTTGCAACGGTGTTACAAAGAAAAAGGTTCAAGAACGTGGGGGTACCATCTAACCATCCAACCATCCAACCCTCCACCCGTTCACCCGTTCACCATCTTTTTTTATTTTTGTGTATGTTTGTTGTTTGTGTGGCCTGTCCGATGTTCGGGAGATGGGCTTGCATGAGCTTGGCGGGTTCGTTCTCCGCCAGGCCAGGCGACAGAGGCCGTGATTCACCTGTGTGTTATCGATATTCCATGGATGCTCTGAACAACAGTCTACAAAAAGAAGACGCGGTTCATGCATGGAGCATTACCGTTCAAAAAAGAGGGGGGAGGGCGGTAAAAACGTGGAGGATCATCTGTTTTTTTGTTTTTTTGTTTTTTGCAGAACGGCTCCCTCTCTGTTTGCAAAATGCAGCGCTGTGTTAAAGTGAAAGCGCCTTTTGGAAAACGATTGAGCGATGGGCGAAGCATCCAAGGACTTTGGCACGTTCACTTTTGGTTAGTCTGGCGACGAACTCACGCACCACTCTGTTTTCTAAATAGATACCATCGAGACCCGTAGATTGGCGGTCTTTTCTTTGCGATAAGCTGCAGGCGTATCACCATTATCATCATCATCATCATTATTAACCGACCCCAACCGCTGAGCGTGAACAATAAGATACGTCCAAGAACGGCTCGCTAATCTCGTTTTTGGTGTGTACGCGTTATTTATTATAGGTCTCAACTCCGTCTACGTTAGTTTTTTAGCACAACATGCACCCTGACGCAGCACACAGACATGCTGGCCGTAACGGCGGGGACTGGCGCCTGGAAGAACCGTATGTGTACGTGTGGGCGTGGGATCACTGGAGTATGCTTTACAAGTACATCCACGACCGATGGCGCTTCGGATGCACAAAGTAGACTGACCTGGGCGGAAACGGACGGAAGTCGAAGCTCGACCCGATCCTGGCCGAAGCGCGTGTCTGATCCTGTCCCCTGTGGAGTTGGCATGATCAGACCATTGGCCCCAAAGCGAGGCGCCGTTGACAGTTTGGGGAATAAGAAAATAAGGTAATCGGTTTAAAGTTTCTTTTTTTTTTTTCCAAGTTCAGGTTTCTCTATCTTCTCCATGCATTGGTCATTCTCACCGAGTCGGGGTTGGAGAGTATTTTATCGGTCTATCCAGAGATGCGCTCGTCACCCAGAGTCGGACTCGGAAAAATAACTAATAAGGACAGCGGGGCTGGGACAGAGCAGGCTGAAGTAAACAGCTCCATGGAGATATCAGTTCTTATCGAAGGATGAAGATACCAGACATGTCCATATCGTGGATTAGCTTGTCTTCACGCCATGTCTTAAGAGTTGATGCCAGTTGCATGGTGCAAAAAAAGAAGTGTCGTGTGGATTGAAAGATGGGATAGTACTAGAGAGGCACAGCGCTGTGCACGACATGCTCGGTTGGCTTCACAGAGTATGTATGTAGTACTAGAAAGAAAGAGCGAAGAAAGTAAAGTAGCACACTCACCTTAACAAAAAAAAAAAAAAAAGACCTTCGTCTCATGAGCACAGTCGATGATTGTCTGCCAAATAAAGCGAATCCTACAATCCTACACGTGGAGAGAGACAGTACGCACCGTGAAAATGCGGGACACACGGCATCAACAAGGATGAGAACTTTGCATGTGGAAAAAGCGTGTTTGGACGCTCGACCTTGGACCGCACAAACATACACATGATGTTGTGGAGGCGACCCAAAACATCGAACGAGATAGGGGATTGAATACTCTTTACTTTAACCGAGCGCAATTGAAGGAAGCAGGGTTGTTTGTTCATTTTGCAGAGGTTTGCTCTTTTCTCTTCTTTGCTCGATCACTTGTCGGACCTTCACATGGGAATGCGAAATGGTGCAGGGACCACCTCATGGCAAACACAGTCGCGACCCTGCACTGTAGCACACACACACACACGGCACACGCGCAACGGATGGATACCGACATAGTGTTTTTCCTTCATTCGTTACACCACCATGGCTAGATTCCGTTAAGGACAGCGGCAACCCAAAAGCAGCAGGCGAACACCTCACCCGCCATTTCTTCCTAGACCGTGGTAACGGACCCTCTTTTAACCTTGCCATGTGCATATCCGTGGCAATGCTACGCTTTCAAGTGTAAATCTGATTACATGCTAAGCCGAATAACGTGGCCGCTGATAAAGGAAAAAAGAAAAAAAAAAAGACATCCGTTGCAACAATAAGATACTTTCGAATTGCACCGCTGTATTCAGCTCATTCATCGTCTCATGCTGCTTTGATATTTTGGTCCGAGTGCGTCCACAGTACGCGCTTTTGACAAGTACCATTTATCTTCTCCTCTATCATTCAAATTCAGCATAATATTAGCCATTCTTCAATTATCAGCATATGAAGCTGTCAATGCCCAAGAAAGCGTAAACCCCAAATCAGGACAACAGGGATCGGAAGGTGCTACAACCGAAGGCATACCGATACAATTACCATCATGCTCTTGATCGAGAAGGATGGTCAGCCGAAAGGTATGCATGGTCTTCTCATTTATTTATGCTTTTCTGCGTTCTAAATGTATTTACATGCGAGTACCATCTCCAAAAAAAAAAAAAAAAAAAAAAAAAAAAAAAAAAAAAGACGTCTGCCATCTTAAACCAATGACTCTTCGTCAAAGTCATCCTCAATGTCACCAATATCCCGCTCCAAGTACTCGACCGTAACAGCACGATTACTAGTTCCATTGGCAATGGCCGATCGGTCTCTTCCCGGAACACTGCCATAACGCCCATTGGACATGACATCAGTCACCTTGTGGTCGTCATCTATAGTGGGCGCATAGAAGTCGTCGTCGTCCAGAAGAAAGACTCCACCTTGAGGTAGTGTTGAGCCCGACGACACAGAGTCGCTTCCCTTGCTGTTTCGGTGAAGGCCGTTAACCTCCGATAATCGTTTCGAGTCCTCAGCGGATGACCTATGGTTGGTAGTATGGCGTGCCGAGGCATTGGCTCCAATAAAGATGGATGCGCTTCCAGGCATGTCGACTTCATTGTCACCATCTGGAGAGAACATCATCAACCCGCTCTGAGCCATAGGGCTGTCGGTCGACTGTGCTGTTGCTGATTGACCCAGTGCAATCGAGCTGCTGTTGAAACCATCCGCTTGCTCATGATGTGGAGTCGACCGGTTTAGTGGATGAACGGGAGCAGACGATCCAGAGTTCATGCCTCCATTTAATCCCAATATTCCAGAATCCCCATATGACGATATCTGCGGCGAGAAAGAAGAGGATAGCGTGCCAGCATATGCTGTCATCCCTTGGATGGTCGAAGAGGCAGAGGCTGGACTTGTGCCCGATATGACGCTCGCCCTTCCCTTGGGCGCAGTCTCTGCTGGAGGCGTTGAGAGGAACGTGTGCTGGACAAAGTGAGGAGGGTGGTTTGAAGAGCCGAAAAAGTGAGTCCTGGGGCTTGCAGACCCATTGCCGGAACTAATCAGATAGGCCTCGTCAAACGACAATGTTTGTGCTATTGCATACATCATATGATACATAGGGTTATTAGTTGAAATAGTGATGAATACGGAAAATACAAGCAGCAGCGAATAAGCGAGACTTACCTCGGTAGGAAGAAGGACTCACGCTGCCGACAGAGGGCGACATGCGGGCTTGGTTGATTGGAGAGGTCGAATGTCTGTGCAAGAACGAGTCCATGGCATGTGAAAGATGCTGGGATAGACCCTCAGTGTCGCCATCGATACTCTCAACCCGTCCATGACCCCGCACACCTCCACCATCGGCTGAGACAGGAACACCAGAGATGTAAGGCTTCGACTGTGTGCCTGTGGACGTAGCCTCGACAGGTCGAGCATCTTTTCCCGCAACGATATCAATTCCACGACGTAAATTCACCGTCTTTGTTTCTGGCAACCTGCCCGCCGCAAAGTCTCGCTGAATCGACTCGAGAGGACCAACATAGGTTTGAAAAACGAACTGGTGCGACTTCCAGAGGAGATGCTGGGGTTGTGTGAGGGTCACGGTTGAGCCATGTGCGCCGTGTGCTGCGAGCGTCTGGTTCAAAATTGGATATTGTCCCTTCCATCCAGAGTGGATGCCACTGTCATAAGTCGAGATCTCCGCCTGAGCCAACCATCGAGATCCCGCATTGCTTTGAACTGCCTTTTTCGGTCTGCCCTGCTGCAGTGCTCTTTGTCCTGCGAGTGGAGCCAGTGACCTTCTGACTTGAGCCCAATCTCCAGAGCGGTTCAAAGACCACTCTGCTACATCCTCTGGTGCCAGCACCAAATCGGATGTCTCCACGACACGACCTATTTTGTATTAGAGGAAACAGTGCGTTTAGTTCCGGATATAGGGTGAAAATTCACATGGGGTGATATATGACAACAGCCTTCGAGATAGACGACTTACCATTGTAGGTCTTCTTGGTCCTGACGCTGCTGACCCAACAGCGATGCAAAGTAAGCATTCCCAGTGGATTAAACACGTAAATGTCCGCAAAACTCGGACTACGCTCCGGTTCAGACAAAGCACTTTGGGTGGCCAACTGTTGTTGCACAGCCAGTGGTACATCGGAGCCGTTAGCAATGCCATTCTTTTGTGTATCTGCACTTCGCCCATGAGTTCCGCTGCTCGCTCCTTCACCCCGAGCGTCTCGCGATGAAGAATGTTGCTTTGGAGGGCCTTGGTTATGGGATCCTGTCCAGCTCATAGTGCGGTTTCGGGCTGCCACAACAGGGCCTCGGCGACTAGTTTCAACAACAAGGCCCGGTAAACTGGCTAGACCATGAGCCGCGTGTTGCACCACTGCAGCTGCAGGCGGGCTCAACGTCTGCCACAGAGAGGATGCCTTTGACTGCAGTCTAGCAGCAGTGCTAACAGGGGGTGCCTTGGATCGGTTAATCAGCAAAGTGCTGGAATGAGCTTGAGGAAGGTGGGATGAAGGACTGTCGCTCCTGAGATAGTGTCCACCTTCTGAGCCGAATGGTCCGTCTGTGCCTCCGTCGTATTCACCAGGAGACAGTGCAATATTTCCGGGATCTGATGCAAAGACCGTTGTAGAGGGTAAAAAGTACGCCGCAATCATCGCCCGCTGTTTTCCTCCGCCCGCTGCGCCATGATGCTGCTGAAGTCGGCTTAGATAGCCCTGACTTTGATCCGAGGTGCCGGTTCCTGCCGAGCTCAACGAGTCTTGGGAGTTTTGTCGGCGCAAAGCGCTCCGGCGTTTCTCTGATGTACTGAGCATTTGAGGTTCAGCTCCGTCAGGGTTGGATGCTTCCGAAAGAATAACATCTGGGACATGATGTCGCTGCTTGATTCGGCAGAGCGCATTCAGCCCTGTGGGATACTCGATTGCGGTGGCAGTCCAGTTGACAACGCCCGTGTACATGTGTGCGCCGACGTCTGGCGTGCCTCCGAAAGGATTGATGGCGTACAGATGGGTAGTGCCCCTAGAGGTCGTTACTGCCACCCACGTCTCATCCTCGTTAAACACAATGTCCTCCACGCTTGCATGAGTGATACCGCGCGCAAGTTTATACACATGTCGTGATCCTGGTCCCATGTTTGGACGCACCTCATGGATGTGGAAGACATTTCCGTGGCGTGATACTGTGAGCAGTAGCCTGCCCGACGGTGAAAATTTGCAACCAGTGATGGGATGATCGTGCGGCTTGAAGTGGGCAACGATTGGCATGTTTGGCAAAGATATATCCCTGACGATGACCTGCGAGAGAGTAGTAAACAGAGAGGATGATGAGTCGTTCAAGATCTACGACTAGAACTCATAATTAGTCTCAATCCTTATCATGACTTACGGTGCCGACAGCCTCTCGTTTATGAGGCGAGTTGTCATCATGTCGTCGTCTGTGATGGTTATGAGCAGTTGTTCGATCCGGATGGTCGACTGACGCAGAAGCCCTCCTGGTATGTCGGTGTGGGGACCTATTAATCCCTGACTGTACCGGAGGAGAAGTTGAGGCCGTTGATCCTGCTCCTGAGTTGCCCGACCAATACGATGACAAAGTCTGATGAGCGAAACCACCTAATATATAATGCGCATGAGTGAATATCGATCAACTACAGGTATAGCTTGTGGTGAGGATGAAGTACAATCGTGGGAGGTTCAGACAAGCTCTCCAATCTTACCAAGTAACTTGACGCCACCAAATACTTCCTTGGCGACACCCTTGGCCAGATCCTGGTATCCGGTGCCACCCTCCGCGTCATGCTCTCCGTACTTTGAGTCTGTGCTATCTGTGGGGGCCTCACTCGTAGTGACATAGGCCAGCAACCTGGTGCCGAGATCAAACACACCAGGGTATGCAGCATCATTCAAAACCGTTTGCTTTTGGTGTAGTGAATGTAGCGTAAATTGACTCAGAAGAAACAATCGAGTACTCTCTCCAGGTGCTGTCAGAGCCTAGGAACAGCATCAAGGTAACAACAGACGTTAGGCTATGCACCTTATGTATAAGCCAAATCATGCAGTGTCGACGCCCCGACAGCAGCGTTGTTTTCAATGCCGAATACTGACCACTACAATAGCACGCTCGTTCACATCCAGCGCCGAAATGTCATAGTCGGGTCCCTCGCCAAAATCCAACGCCTTGATGACCTGTTGCTTTGCGAGCGAATATATCTGCAGCCTCTTGGGAGCAGACGTGCGATCTTCAGTACTGGTACTCGATCTGTTACGCCAAGAAAGGGACGAGAAGACAGGTCAGACCTTCAGCATCGCTTGAGCCATCGATGCTTTGGTGCTGATTATCATGATCGTGAGAAGAATAGCAAAAACAGGTGGTTCGTACATGATGGCCACCAGGGGCCGATATTGTTCGAACTGGTCGACTTTTCCCGGGGTGACTCGTGGCGATGGGAGGACCTGTCATTCATAGGACAGATTGAAATGAGAGAAATGTACCATAAACAGCTCAGAACAAGGCGCAGGTCGCTGAAGCTATTGCAGTGCATCTGATCATGCGGAAATTTATGGATCGGGGGACAGTGCAGGGAAGGAGACGGGCAGCGGGGAACAAAGGGGCTGAAAGGGAGCTTGCGCATACGAGTCGCCCATTGATGATCATTGCCGCGGCAAGGAAGAATCGATCATGATGATGATGGTGATGATGATCATCATCATCATTATCATGGGACGATATGATGGTAGCCTGCCCCGTCTCTTCTCCAACGGCATCGATGAACATCAACTCAGAAGGTATTGCCTCAAGCCGCTCACCTTGAGGAACGAGACCTCGGTCTCTGAGTTACGGATGGATACGATCTCATGGATGTTGTCTGGGTGAGTGATATCCCAGATCTGGAAGCCGTCCGCATAGCCGAGCAAAAGACAGAACCGCCTACCATTCGAATCAAAGAATCAAAAGGCGTGCCCGAGTGAGTGAAGGCGCCTCAGCAGATACCAGGCATATCCACACCCATATTGCTTTTTGCGCTATAAGGCTCTTGCTCCCTGCTCATGGGTCATGCTCCTGTGTCTGCTCTTTGCTTGCCCAGAGATGACTCACTCAGAGCAAACGTTGGTGATGCTGAACAGGCGAGTCCTCCATGTTGTTTTCGTATAGTCCTATTCCTGAAGACATTGCTACAGCGTGGTGTTTTGTTGCGTCCTCGTGCGTGTCCTGCCTGGATGTTTGCCGTGAATAGTAGATCATATCTCATAATTCCCATGTCTGGACCGTGCGCATCCTGGTCGACTCTATGAAGCGATGGAGAGACTGATTATAGCTGTACATACCGAGAGGTCCTGCTCTTGGTGATACTCCCAGAGTCGATCCAGTCGAATGCTGAGAAGAGGACGACGTCTCCGTTAGTGAGGATGCAGACGTTGTCCTGGTGACCGCCAAGAAGAGGATTCGTAGAGCCCTGTGCTGCTGGATAGTAATACGGGTTAGCGGTGTTGGCGTTCATGGCTGGGGCTGAGGGCGAGGAGCTGAATCCCCTGGAAGGCATGGAGAAGGACGTGGGCAGAGTGTTGGCCACGTAGGACGACACCCCGGTCAACACTGAGGACAGGGACTCGAGAGCGGATGGATCCCTAAGAGAAATAAGGTCGGCAACGGGGATACAAAATCAGTATTGAGCAAATTCCTATTCTTTTTTTTTTGCTGTGGTGGGCCTTGGCAGGGGGACGTGCCTGATGAAGACGGGTTCAGCTCGAACCCCAACAGCTCCCTGCTGCTGCTGCGGCTGCTGCTGCGGCTTTGGGTAAGGATGCTGCTGTTCGGCCATGGTGACAAGGGTCGGGGTAAGGGTGTCGGATGCCGGGTGCTGAGAGGCACTTGAACTTGGGAGGGGGCGTTCGACTAGAAGGACGCGCAAGTAACGTGTCCAGTACTACGATAGAAGAAGAAGGAGCGATGGCGATATGGAGGTGTGCGTGTGCCTGAGGTTTCGTTTATATCCGCGTGCGTGTATGGCGAGCAATGAAAAGTAAGAAAAAAAAAAAAAAAAAAAAAAAAAAGAAAGAAGGAAAATGAAGACAAGGCTAGAGAATGGGCGAGTGGGAAGAAGGAATGGAATGGGGAAGAGATGGGATGGAAGAAAAGAGGAGAGAAGGAATGGACGAAAGGGAGAAAAAGGATGCAAAAGGAACGTGAAAGCGAGCGAGGGAGCGAGAGAGAAAGAGGTTCTTTTTCTGTCGCCTTCTCCTTCTCTCCCTCCACAGCATTCGCCTGCATGCACAAACAACTGCGGTCAGGTGGGCCCTCTGCATTTCGAATGTGCGGTCCCGGATCCTGCCTGACGTCAGGGATGACCTGCACGCCGGCACCGTTACACAGACAATCAAAACTGTCTATATATAGAATTTATTTCCTACATTATCCTTCGAGTCTACCGCGTTGGACGCCCTGCGGGTGCGAAGCTGAATCGAACCCGCTCTGCAGAGGCGCGCACAAATGGCGTTGCTTTGGCCATTCCCTGCGATGTCCTCCATTCATCCCACAGCTGCAGGACCTTGTCCTTCAGTCGCTTGCTCACAATCATCCAGCGCAGCCGACAGTAGCAATACAGGTATTCCTGCGTCATAAGGGGTCGCGGGCCCGTCTGCTGTCCGTCTAATGCCCTGCTGCTTGTCGCTTCGTCTTCGCCCAGCCGCCACTGTGCACTCTGCTCAATGATATCCCGCACGAGACTGAACACCTGATCCGCCGATATTCCCTCGCACGCATTCAAATCCAGGCGTTCCAAATGATGAAGCCTCGCAATGACCGCAGGCCAGCCTCTGTTGGCAAGCGTCTCCCAATTGCCCACCAACTCAACGTCCTGTAAAGTCGTAATGCGCGTCAGATTTTGGATGGCGGGCTGCTTCTTCAAGGATCGACCCGGCATAGGGCCTGTAAACCCCAATCGGATTCGGCACAAGCGAGGGCAACCAAGCAGTGATGCAAAATCAAACGTCCATGCCACCTCGCCTTCCAGATCCAGATCGGTTAGCCGTCTAAGAATGGACCCCGACCACGATATTGGAATTGTCGACAGCTTCCCTCCGAACCATGATCGAACCGTAAGAACCTCTAGGGTGGAGGCAAACAAATCCACCGCTTCGTTGACAGCCGCGATCACATTCTGTCCCAGGCCTGCAAGGCTAATCCTTCTCATCCTGGCTCTTTCCCAGTGTCGGTTGCCGATCCCGTTAGAATCCACGTAATCGGTCGTTGGACGATAAAAGGTCGTGGCCATTATTGACGGCGACGATGCCACATACGTTCCACCAATTCCGTATTCTGGTCTCCATGCCTTGAAGAGATCCTTTTCTCCAGTATATAAACTAATCTCCTCAAGCCTCGAATACTGTGTCAGGAGCGTCGACATGTTTCCGCTCAGCTCTAGCCTCAGGCCGGGATCCTTGTTCTGGTGCAGCAGCAGAGATTTAATCCGGTGTGTAGGGAACCGATCCAGAAAACGTACTGCATCTGGCCAATATTGGACATCCAGAACTTCAAGTCGATCGCCCATCGCCTCCACGAGCTCAACAAGTCGACTGGATGGTTGCCTCTCAAATGCAACCGGCCTCTGTTCGATCTTCAGCTCGCGCAGTGTCCCGAATAATCGCTGATGGTCCCAGATAAATGTCAGCATCCGATCGAGTGGAGTCATGGCGTATCCATTGGCAGATCTTGCGGCGCGATTGGTGTGCATGGTTCTCTCCAGTTCCAGATCCTCCTCATTGAGTAGACAAAAGTCTGTTCCAAGAACCTCGAGTCTGTGCAGGTTGGACATCCAAGCTAGTTTAATCCGAGGTACTAGGATCGGCATATTGACCACTAAGGAGGTTAACTGGGGCGAGAGTCTATCCATCATAGCGAGGTCAATCTTGTTGCGGGTCTCGACCATGGGCCGATACCAGATCACGTTCGCCATATAGCAATTGGGGATGGAAGGGAAGAGAGTCATGAAAGTTTCGTGCAGCATGGGGTCGTGGAACATGTCGGTATAGTACGACAGATAGTCGACAGTCGAAGGTGTGGGCAACGCTGGGACTTCGGGTCCATAACGAGGCAGTCTGGAGACAATGTTGTCGCCGTTGTTGCCGTTGTTGCCGTTGTCGCTTTTGTTGCTGTAGCGAGTATCCGGATGCAATCGCGAAGAGTGGATGAGTAGATGTACCAAACTGTCGTATCTCCTTGTGCGCTCGACGACTGACCAGTGGCAGCTTGGCTCCTCGTGGAGCAGGCGGAAGGGACTGGCATAGAGATACGAGACGGCAATGCGGAAGAGGGTTGAGTTGGTGAGGAGCAGGGCATGCAATGTGGCTCGTTCATGGCGCAGATATGAGACGATCAACCAGAGACATTCTTCGGGCAAGGCTTCGGGCATGGCATATCTTGAGGCGAATGGTCTTGTGCAAGTTCAAGTAGTCGCCATGGACACCAACAATACGAAAGACTTGAACGTGACTTGCAAAAAAAAAAAAAGACCCCTTCATATCCTCCCCGTAACTCGCTCGGTTTGATACGCGGTTGGTGGGCTAGTTTCTCGACCCCCAACCTCATTTCCCACTTCACAGCTCATTCCCCGTTGTCTTCCTTCCAACGGTTCATCCTCATCGTGCTATCCTCGTCCGCTCGCCCCTCTCTCCACAGCTTTCAACTATACACGTCGCCAACAGAATGTCAGGAGAGCCGACCAACGGTAGCACCAGCGGCTTCGGCAACGGCAGCAGCACCAGGCCCACCTCGACCATGGACACCGTCGGGTCGTTGACCTCTATCAAGGTCCCGGTCCCGGATACCCCCATCCACCTCGCGGGAATCCTGCAGTCCACGAACCATAGCTCCCGCAGGCTCGGCATTATTTGCCACGGAGTCCTCGGTAAGGGTGTAAGGCTGCGCGGAGGTAGAGTATAACCATCTAGATTCACTTCCTCACCAGTACAAAACACGCCTTCTGCATGTATGCGCTTCCTAGGCCACAAAAACTATCTCTTTCAACCCACACTCGCCAACATGCTCGCTCCATACATGGACACGTTTCGGTTCGATTTCCGGTAAGGGGAAGCGAACTCATACATTTTCGCAATACTTAACCGAAAAGATGACAGCAAAAATCAGGACATGTGGAGAGGGCCTGTGTTACCAACGATCGCCCGAGCTCACCTTTCCCGTGTCAAAACATAGAGGCAATGGCGATAGCGAGGGACAGATGGGCTATTCCAACTGGGACGACGACCAAGCGGATATCGACGCCGTGGTTGCCCACTTTGAGCGTCAGGGCTACTACATCTATGCCTTGATCGGTCACTCGCGAGGTATGGAAGGGTGTTGAATTGAATATATAACCCTATTATCCTAGCTTCGTCCTGATTCGCACAATGCTCACCCACTTTTTGCTATGGGTGATCTATCTAGGAGCCATTTCGTCTTTGAACTATGCCGCGACTTCAGGTCACGTCCCATTGATTCCGTACATTGTCGCCCTCAGTTCCCGTTTTCATATGGCGGACGTCAGGCGTAAGCACGGGTCAGAAACCATGGCTCTGCTGGAAGAGCAGGTATGCGATTTATCTGCACCATGTACTTTTCTCCTTTGCAAAAGTTATTCAAAGGAAGCTATTCTGATCCCCATACCATTCTCGTTTAATTACATTTGTAGGGCCATTTTGACTGGCACGCAAGGGCTGCCGGAAAGAATGTCTCTCTTCGCGTTACTCAGCAACACTTTGACGACTTTCTTAATTTCGATACTGCGGCAGGTAAGATCATCATCATGGGACGTTGATCTGCTTTATAGAGACCATTGACAGCCAGCAAGCGCGTTCTCTCAGGAATGACACCCACACGGCCTTATTTCTTTTACTGTAATAGTGGCCCATATTCCACCCATGACAAACATTCTCTTGGTCCATGGATCCAACGACGATGTAGGGGTTTTTTTTTATTGTTCATCGCCAAAAGACTCGGCCCTGCGTTTGGTGCACCTACCCATACCTACATTTTTTAATGCATTGGTGCTATTCTAGGTCGTCCCAGTGAAGGACATTTGCGATCTCCAGTCTCATCTCTCTCATGCCAGGACCGCTCTGCGTATCATCACCAATGCAGATCACAATTATAAGAAGCATTACAAGGACGTTTCTCAAACTGTTGCGCACTATTTCTCAGCCGAGGGCCGCAAGGAGGAGTGGTCGCGACGGGTCCTGCCGAACTGGAAGTCCTGGGTCCATGCTGTAGGAGGAGTGCTCAACTTCAGAACCGTGGGCGATATTTGGATACCCTCGCCAGCGGATGGATTTGTGCATTATCTTCGTCCCGGGATCATCTATCGTTGCGCTGAGTATGTTTATTGCTATGGGGTCTGAAAACGCGTAAAGAGTGCTTTGAAGCACAAGATCGACCCGTTCTCAACCGACAGCGCATTGACACTTACCTTCATCTAGCATATCTAAACCCACACCCGAAGGCATCAAGGTACTTGAGGCTCTCAACATCACAGACGTATTCGATCTTCGTTCCAATTCGGAGACAGAGCGTCGAGGAACCTTGTAAGTCAGTTCCCATATGACGAACAAAGCGAATGAATACGGCGGAGCAAATGACGTTCTAGCATTACAAACACGACGAGAGGAGGACATCGCCCTAACAACAAACAATACTTCGCCCCTCCACCCTTGATATCCTATAGCGAGTCTGAGAAGTTGAAACGCCACCATGTACCAGTGTTTTCAGAAATCGATTATTCGCCGGCGCAAATCGCTGTTCGATTCACAATGTATCTTGGAGGCACAGAAGGATTTGCCCAGGCATACATGTCCATGATGCCCAATATCAAGCTGTATTTCTCGCCAATTCTGGAACATATTGTCAAGAAACGGACGCCGTTTATTGTGCATTGCACTGCTGGCAAAGATCGCACCGGGATTGTCTGCGCGCTGCTACAGATGATTTGCGGAGTAGATGAGGAGCAGATTGCCTGGGAATATGAGTTGACCAGCCGATGCATGGCTAGTAAGTACATCCCTTCGCTTACTCTTCATAAAATCCGTCTACATTGTCAAAAGATTTGGTACATTAACAGAAACGCTTTTACATTTATTTCGTGCTGTATAGTCAAGGAAGAAGACGTCAAGTTCTTGAAGGCGGCTATCGGAGGAGATTCCTCAGATGAAAAGATCCGCAGCGTTCTTTCAACCAAGTAAGGCTACCAGTCATTTGTAATTTTTTTTTTTTTTTTTTTTTTTTTTTAATGCTTCTATATCTTTCATTTCAAACTCTCTTACACTCTCTCTGAATTTTTTTTTTCTTTTTCGCTTGTTGTTCTTGCAACTCATAGTGAGGAGTACATGTTCAGGTTTTTGGAAGAATTCCACGCAAAGTACGGGACGATCAACGACTTTTTGATGAACGAGCTGGATATGACCACGGAGCAGATCAACGATGTCCGAGACGCCCTGTTAATCAAGATTCCTGTACCTCGTGCAGTACTTTGAAGACTTCTGCTGTCAGAACGATACATACCTAGATGAGGAAAAAAGCAAATAAAAGGAAGTACTTGCTTGAGTAAGAAAAAAAATAACGACGCCTAAGCTCAAGGCATAGATGGACGATTTTTTGAGTGATCTGCAGGTACAAGTCCAAAAGACAGACAAAAAATGTAGCAAAAGGTATCCGAAAACCCGGATTTGAACCAGGGACCTAGAGATGACAGACAAACTACAGTCTCCCGCTCTACCAACTGAGCTATTTTCGGATATTCAAACATATTTTAGATCGTATATATATCCAATTTTTTAACATTACCAAACATACGGGACCCAGATTAGGATGCTTTTTGGGGTGTTTTGGGGGCGTTTTGGGGCTCTGAAGAGCCGAGACAGAGACCAGCAGAGGAACCAGCAGACAGGGAGCGAAGGAAGGAAGATTATGTACAAGCAGGACTACAGCAGAGCCAAGAGATTCACCCAACACGACGCGCCGAAGCGGAGGAAGCAATGGGAGTCGCATTCGAACGCAACGAGTATCGGAAAGAAAAAGAGTGGGCATTGGATCTGGATTAGGAGACGTGTATCGCGCAACAGGTCACGCAGGAGTTAGGTTAGGCTAGCTATGCGACATGGGTTATGAATTTGACGCCTCAAGCCAACATAGTTGGTAGGGGATGCGGCTCTGCCGTGCATGGAAGGCATCTATGGCTTCAAGGCCTTTGCGGACCATGCGTCTTGTGCTCATGGGGATTTATGTTAATAAAAAAAAAAAAAAAAAAAAAAAAAAATCGGAAAGAAAAAGAGTGGGAGGCCAACGAGAACAGCAGGATATGGCGGAAACACAACGAAACAGCTACGAAAGTGCACAGGAGAAAAACGGAAGCAGTACGAAGGAGGCAGGCACAGGTTAGGAGAAGATTGGAGGAGAGTATCAGGAACACGAGGCAACAGACACGGGATCACAACTCAAACCGGCAGCGGCTTAAACGTGAGGCTGACAGGCGAAGTGCTGACAGGCGGCGAATACAGCGGCGCATGAGGAAGAGGGAAGCAAGCAAAAATGCGAGACTCAGGACCAAACTGCGCGGCAGAGATCCAGGATTGGACAATGGGGCACTTCGAGCAAGGCTCCGTACTCTGGCGCGGGAGCAGATGGATGCAATGCCAACGTTACGCTATAGAGCACTGCCAGACGATACGCAACGTCCGATAGGAGACACATTCGGGGTCAGTATTCCAGCAGCAGTGTTGCGCCACATCCAGCAACAGCGTACCCGACTGCAAGGACTGGACAAAGTTGTAATGTTTTCGGACGGTTCAATGGAAGAAGCAGGAAAGCAGGGTGTCCGAATAGCATTCGGCGTGGTAGCGCAGGAAAATCAAGACGCCATGCACACAGTGGTAACGGGCAGGATCGCAGGATTTGCTTCATCGACTAAAGCGGAGCTTGCAGGGCTTTTTGCAGCAATCCTGGCCAGTCCAAGGAACACGCCAACAACCATCTACATTGACAACTCGGCTGTGGTAACGCAATTTAAAGCCTTGGTGAGTGGGAGGCAAGGAAGCACGGAACGCCAAAGGCTGCGGTTGACTTACGCGATCTGGTGGTCGGCAGTGCACAACGCATATGTACATCAAGGAGGGAAGATCAAGGTGGAGTGGATCAAAGGGCACGCAGGCCATAAGGGCAACGAGGCAGCGGACAAGGCAGCAAAAGAGGCGCACTTCAGTGACCTTTGGGCCATCAATGAAAAGGAACACAATGACATCCAGTGCCACGCCATGTTCAAAGGCGCGGTCGTTGAGGGTGATCTGAGGCAGGTACTTAAACGCCAATCAACGGTAAGGATGAACGCGTTATGGACAGAGCAGAACAGGACTAAGGAAAACATCAAGGATTGGAACCTGGTGGACTGGAAAGCAACACTGCACATCATTCACAACGGCAACACACCGAAGGGATTATTCACTAGCCCTAACGATTGTCAGCGTCGTGCGCACAGGATCAAGAAGCTGCACGGAATGTTGCCGACGCTGGCGTACATGAAGCAGTGGCGGCCGGATTTGTATAGCACAGACACCTGCAGACTTTGTGAGGTGGATAAAGAGGACACGCAGCATCTATGGCGCTGCGAAATGACGATGCAGCAGCAGCAGGACGGTTGGCAGGAAGCAATCGAGAAGGTCAACACAGATGGACGTAGAGCATGGAATAAAGAGCGCAAGCTGTGGGAGACGAAGCAAAAGCAAGCCAAGGAGCGAGGACAAGCCGCGAGAGGACAGGGACCAAGCTTCACACAGGTGACAGACAAGGCCATTTGGACAGCACTCAAGAACAAGGTCAAGGGAGCTTCTGCGATCCGGCAAGCAAGCATCACACTCGGCCGTGTGGAGGACGAGACAAGGGACAACGATCAAGGGGCCTGGACGGTTCAAGATTTGTACCACGGACTGACACCAACGGCTCTCGCCAAGGACTGGGAGAGCCTATTCAAGACGACCACCTCGACCGCGAGGTACATGGTCGGTCGATTCGTCAAGGCCATCGAGGAATGCGGACGGACAGAAATCTGGAACAAAAGATGCAAAGTCACCGTCGACTGGGAAAGAGAAAATGGGATCACTACCATGAGCAAACGCGCCCGGGGACGCAACTGTGTTGGAGAGCACAGACGTAGTGGTAGTGGTTTTGTTGGATCCTCCAGGAGACAACGACGTGCATTGGATGTGAAAGAGATCGAGGAACGAGCGGACAAGCGAGTGCTGCAAAGCTGCATGCAGCAGGTGGAGCTAAACGTGATGGAACGCACCGGCAACTGTAAATTTTTGATGATTGAGGAACGCGGCTAAAGGATGACCTTCGCGCACAACAGGCCAAGTAGGGAGCAGGGCTCAGTCACCGACCCCAGGCGGGGTCGAGTTACCACTCATGCTGACTGAGATTGTGAAGGGGATTGGAGCTGCGAGTGACCAGCAGCGGCGCGGCAAAAGCCGTTTATTAGAATATTGAGCACCCTTTACTATGCCTCTAGCAATAGGGTTCCCTAGTCTAGAGTCCCTCACTAATAAATCCCACATATCCTCGTGGGTTCTAGTTATCAAAAAAAAAAAAAAAAAAAAAAAAAAAAAAAGTTTTGGGGCTCTGAAGAGCCAATGAAGCCATCTGTCGAGTCAAGGGAACGTTCAGACCACAGTTAATAAATCCCATGTCTTTGGGGATTCTCGTTAAAAAAAAAAAAAAAAAAAAAAGCACTGCGTCTGGGGGTTGACCTATTTGGAAGGTCAACAGAATGGAAAGGCAAAGCGAGAAGAAGATGAAGGAAAGAAGAAGAGGAAGGGAAAAAGAAGAAAGCGAATGTTTATAGAACGCGGTACTGCCACGGTAGCGTTTGCACAGCATGGTGATAAATAAAAAATGAGCGCGAATTGTTGTAGCGCGCTTTTTTTTTCTCTTTTTACTATATGCTGTTTGAGCATGAAAATTTATGTTAATAAAAAAAAAAAAAAAAAAAGCTGTTTGAGCATGAAAAAAAAAAAAAAGTATCTTTCCAAGTTATTCTGCGATCGATTGATTAGAGGCATGTCGTTGAACAGCGGAGGGGCAAGGGATAGGACCAATGTGAATGGACACAGATAAGATCTGGATCGATCCACGGGGGGAGGGGAAACAAATGAGTGTGCTGAATTCTGCAGCAGGATCCATTGTTGAAGGACCTCAGGAGAGCAGCTCAAACCGAACAGGCCATGGCGTACAGCGCCGCGGCTACTGGAACCGGCTGTTTAAGGAGGCGACGTGTAGCCTGTGTCTGTGGCCAAGGAAAGGAAAGGGAAGGGAAGGAAGGAAGCGCCCTGAGAGTCGAGTCGACGGGACGGAGGATGCAGCGGTGGGACGGGGTGTAACACGCGGTGAAGACATTTCCAGTTGCCGGGCCTATTTCGATCGATTCAATTCCATACAGAGAGAAAACCCACGCCCAATCTTTTCTTCAATCTTTTCTTTTTCTTTCTCTGGCCTGCAGCACTTCCATTTTCCATTCTCACACTCCATTCTACACTGCATTACACTGCACTACACACACATCCATTCTCATTCTCATTCTCATTCTCATTCGCTCCCTCTGCTCTTCTGCAAGGAAACCAGATCTCTTGTCTCATCCTTTTCTCTCATTCCTCTTTTATTGCTTTGTTTTGTTTCGACCATCCAAAGACCCCCTTTGATTACCAGCGGTCCTTTCGCAATTTATAAGCACTTCCCTCCCCAGTGCAACCCTCAGCACATCCCTCAGCCGGTGTAAGCATGCATCCTCCTCAATAGCACCTACCGCTACCACTGGTCACAGAGGGGGGCGAGGTCGTGTCTAGTGAACCTGAATAGAACACAGAGGCCCCTTCCTCATCTCTTGTCCTCCAAAAGTCGCCCGTCCCTCTTTTTTGCAACGTTTGACCACCATCTTTTATGTTTGCTGCAGTAAACAACCCCAAGAATGACGAAGAACTCACCCGTTATCGTGGCTATTGTCTCTCTGTTCTTCCAGTCTATTGTCCCTGTTGGACTAGTGCCAGTACCCGCCTCCGCAAGCAAGGCTGTCGCAATGGGCGTCGACATGATCGCTCTGGATGAAGGGGCCAAGACTCCTCCGCGGAGCGCCCGAAATAAAGGTAGATTGCAATTGATGATGATGAGGTTCCTGTGTGGTTGCTGGTCCTTGTTTGATATGCATTTTTTTTTTTTTTTTTTCGTCCGATGCTCAGCCGCATGTATATATAATGCTCATCAAGCCCATTCGTAAATGATATCTGCTATTTATCAAAAAGGTGTCCTTGTTGAGCCAAACACTCCGATGGGAACGCGCCGAAGTGATCGCATCCGGAAACAAGTATTGAAAAACGTTGGCAAGGATGGTACGTTAGAGACCTGCAGGGCATATTGGCGTCTCAATCTTTTTTTTACAAAAAAAAAAAAAAAGCCATGCTAAAAATTCATGATCGCCTTTTTTTTTTTGTAGATATTGGCGAGACCATAACGACACCGCGAGGATCAAGCATCCATTCGATACTACCCAGTCATTTCGAGTTTCTCAACTCGCCTTCACCCAGACGCGTGGAGCTGGATCAGTTCAAACGGAGACTGCAGTTCAAGAGTGGCGTCCGGAGCAACCTGATGCTGACAGACGTATACAAGTCATTCGAGCGCAAGGAAAAGATGAAAGAATTCCACGAATACCAGCGAGGAAAACGACAGACAGCTCAACTAAAGAGCCGCGGATGTAGCGTATTTTATCGCTTTGCAATGAAAGCGCTTTCGCACGCATGTATTCAAAATCGGAAGTATTCATCCATACTGATATCATACAATGGCTATTTTATACCAATAGTGTCCTTGCCCGCGATTTCAAAAACTCGGCAAACCAGTGTCTTGACACCCAGCAAAGAAGGCGAAGCACCACAGGTGCAATTTGTAGCCCGCCACAACTTGCGACCACGACCATTACGGGTGTCTGTCAGTGATGATGTGGATGCACTGCTTAGCACCCCAGTGAGGAAGGGAACAATCGAGAAACGAAAGAGTCAATACAAGCGGACAAAGTCGCATGGATCGTTCGATTTTACTAGCTGGAAGGACCGTGATGAGGCCTGGCGGTCGAAACGGTTAGCAAATTACATGTCCTCCTCGAAATTGGCACGGGAGGCGACTTTATTCAAGAAGCGGAAACGTAGGTTTTTTTTATCGATCAACTCGACAGTTGCAGGTGTTGAACTGTACAAAGGCAAGACACTAACCGGGAATGAGCTTTCTCTTGCGGGACACAATAGTCGAAGTTTGCGGATGGGGCAATCCACAGCGGAATCTTGGAAACTATCTCAGCATCTGCTGGGACTATAATCCGGATCTGGATGCAGAGAAGGATCAATCACTACCAGACCAAGTTCCCTGCATTCTTAATCGCCAAAACGCAGAGGGAGTTTGTGTGGAATCGGGAGTCATTTACTATCCTCAAACGATCGACATTCCCGACAAAGTGTACCTCACTGGATATTGCTTCACAGTCCAATCCGAACTCGCCCTGAAGTACGAACAGGCGCAGAAGGTCTTGTTTGACCAGGCCAGCGAGCTCGTGCACCAATCCTTCTTGCAGTACAACATGGATCTCTCACTGGACTCGAGTCTCGACGACGAATTCACGATCGATTTTTTTGTTTCGTCGGCACCTTCAACAGACATGGGCCAGATCAGGGTGCGGGGCGTGACACAGTTTATTTTTATGAAGGCCTATATCTATGTCGACAAGATCTGTGTCGCTCAGGAATACCAGAAGATGGGGATCGGCGCGTTTTTGATTGATCGACTGCACAAGATCGCCAAGAAGAGGAACAAGGACATTTTGCTCTACGCCCTCGGACCCGTCGTCGGGGTCTACAAGAAATGGGGCTTTGAGTACTGTAAAGAATGGCCCCCGATCGAGGGGGACATTGGTGCGATTATGAGGAAGCGAATCAGGACCGAAGGGGTCGTCGACTCTTATGTTGGCCTCGAGTGGGATGGCACTCGATTCTCATAGTCCTTTTTCAACAGGCGCCTTCTTCTTAATGGTTTTTTTTTTTTTTTTTTTTTTTTTTTTTTTTTAATCCTCACTTTTTTTCACTTTGCGTTGTCATTTCTCTACTTCTTCTTCAGATTTTGTATTATTAATCCAATGTCCTGTACTTTAATATCATCCTCATGAATTTCTCTTTTATTGCTCATGAACAAAATAAAAGCGGACCAAATTATTATGACAAAGAAAAACTCAAGTCCTCGCTCGCTCGCTTTTTACACGCGCTGCTTTCCTTTGACAGAGGGATGGTGGCGGCCACGCAGACGATCAAGTAAAGACATGTGTTGGCGACTGTCCTGATTAGACTCATGGTGTTGCACTTCCGCTGTGGCAGTACCTCCTTCCTCATTGTCGTTGCCGCTGTCGTCATAGTACTCGGTTTGGATAATCCTCTTGACCCAAATGACTTCTTCGTCCTGTCCCACTTGAGGAATTGGGCCTTCATATCCAGCTGGCACAGAAAAAGGATGTGTCAAGGATGAGGGTGAATTGGATAAGGGTCCCTGCTTGGCTGAGGTGGCATCCTGTGCAAGACCAGATGCAACTACACCGCCTGAGGCCTTGGTAGCACTGTTGACAGAATCCAGGGTTCGGGAGGAACTACGCCGACGGAACACGTTCTTGAGCTTTCCAATGCCCTTCTCGCGGTCGCCATCGACTTGGTTGTCAAGATTCGTGCCAGTGGGGGAAGATCCACTATTAAGCTTCTTTTCCGAAGAGCGAGACTTATGACTCGCACTAGAAAAGATGCTGGAGCTGCGTCTGGCAGGATTTTGGAGATGATCATGTGCGTGTGCCAAGTGATGGGTGACAACCGCAGGGCTGTCGACGCCCATGCCTGATCTCTTGACATCGGACGCTCCAGCTCTATCGACATTGATGGCAGAATTGTAAGTGCCAGGAGGTCGGTTATGGTTCGTGATGTCCGAGGAGCCAGATCCGGCGAGCTTGGACGTAGGGACGACAGGGTGATCAACATTCATGCCCGACGAGACCGAGTCTCGATGATGACTCATATGGGCCTCAAAGGGGTTCTTGTTGATCGCAGCCTTGGCCTCCGGTAGGCCGTTTTGGGTCCTGTGATGGTCGTTGCCATAAATCACCTTGCTGTTGTCCTTGGATGTCTGGATAGACGATCCGAGTTCGCTGTCGTCATCATGATGGTGGTGCGGCACATGGATCTCGTGTCCGTCCGCGTTGTGGATCTTCTTGTGGCCGCTGTCGACGTGGAGGCCGCCCTTCTGACGATTGTGTGGATCAGCAGGTTCGCCCACGAGCCTTGGCACATCCACGCCCATTCCCGTGCGTGTTGAGGGGGAGTCGAGGGTATGGGAAACCGAAGGCAGATCAACATTCATGGCCTGGTGGGGTATACTGTCCGGGCCACGATGTGATACATACATGGTGTTGATGGGGTGAGCAGAGCGAGTCGGGGAGGGCCCCCAGGCTCTGTTGTCGTTGTCGTCGGAGCCCTTCTCATTGTTGCTGTTGTTGCTAGAATCAATTCCACTGTTTGTCGGTGCGTTCGCAGCATCGATGGGTCGCTCTCGATCCAGCAGACTCCTCCCTTGATCTGTCGGCCCCGCGATGCTGTCGGACTACATGTGGATAAACAAAATAAAAGGAAGACGTTTTGGTTAGACCCCATAAAGAAAAAAAAGATAAGACATTGCAGGATGCATGAATGTTCTTTAGGCGTGTTTCAGTCGACTTACAGGTGCAGCGACACCCTGACCCTTGGACACCATGTCCGGACCATGCGAGAGTGGATCGACACCCTTCGTCAGAGCATCCGTCGCGGCGGGCGTGCCAACCACCATTATGCTATCGCCAGCTGCGTCCAAGTCGGAAGAGTGGACGGGGGTGCTGATGCCGCTAGAGGCCACACTGGGTCTCGTCTCTGTCGCGACCCCACTGTTGATGACATTCAAGCCCGATGCAGTGGAGGGGCTGGTGACACCTGTGACAGAATCATTGGGGTTGCCGATAGTGTTTATGATCGGGTTTGTGTTGCTGCTTGTGTCTGTGTTTGTGTTTGTGTTTGCATTCGTATTGGGGGTTGAGTTGTCGATGGAGGCGATAGGAGCAGCGGTAGGTGTTTGCGGACGTTTTTTGCGCGATCTCGCCGATAGATGGCGCTGCGAGAACTCGAGCCCATGATGGTCGTCTGAGGAATCCGTCACAGCGTCCAGGCCTTCCTTGCCGTCCTCGTTATGGAGGACCAGTTTCCTGGCAGCAGCAACGACCGATGAGGCGGCAGTGGCGGCACTGGATGCTGCTGTGGCTGCACCAGCGAGGACTGTGTCGGTGATAGAAGCTCGTCGAGCGGCCTTTGTGTGGACGTTCAAGGCGTTGTTGGTGTTGGTGGTGTTGTTGAGGTCTGTTGAGGACCGGTTGGGGAGGTTGGGCGCAGCAGGGTTGGGGATGGGATGGGCGGGGGTGCTTGCAGGTGGGGGTTGGACTGGGGCGAGGGCAGAGCAGGGTCGAGGCTGTTGAGGGCGGGGAGGGTGTTGGTCAACGGCTGGGTGGCGGGGCCCGGCGGGGCGGCGGTTGTGGCGATGGTATCGATGTCGTGTTGTTCATGCTGCTGCATCGGGTGTGTGGAATCAGTATGGGTTAAGGGTAGAGCAAGCAAGTAGGTAAGAAAGTTGGTAGGTAAGTAAGTAAGAAGGTAAGTAAGTAAGTAGTGAGTATAACGAGGAGGGAAATGAAGAGAGAGAGGGAGGGAGAAAGAGAGGGAGAAAGAGAGGGCTGGTATTTATGGGAAGCACAGACAGGCACACAGGCGAATCATCGCCTATCCGCAGGCGTCTCACTCTGGGAAAACACGCGCGGCAGAATAACCTTCTTTGGGGTAGCGACGATGAGGACGACAACGATGATGATGCCGAGGATGGTGTTGAGGGGTTTTATTGGCTTTATTGGCTTTATTGGTTTTATTGGAGCATCAACCATTGCTGAGGACCATTGGCCGTTATTGCTATGGCCAGCACCCCTGGCTAGTGTCGATCCCCTGCCCCTGGCCAGCCTGTGTCTTCAGAGGAGGAGAACCGCAGCCATGGGCATCCGCATCCAACATGGTCTCTGTCGCACCAACACCAGCAGCAGCCCCCTCGCGCGCAAGCAGGCAAGTGCAAGTGCAGGTGTGTAAGTGTATGAAAGTGCAAGTGCAAGTACATGTACAAGTGTAAGTGTGAGTGTGCGACATGGCTCATTCCTACGGATGAAATAGGGTTCATAGCTACAGTTACCTCATCGACCCCCTGGGGACCGACACCTCCCATCATCATCCTCCCCCTCCTCCTTCTCCTCCTCATCGCCATCTCCATCTCCATCATCTCCATCTCCATCTCCATCTCCACAGCTCCCCACCCTCCATCCCTCTCTATCGCAGCACGACCAGCACAAACAGCGTCCCCCCTCCAGACCATGACTGTCGAGGTCCCTTCTTTGCAAGAAGCCCATCTCACCAGCACCTCCTCCAAAGACACCTCCGCTGCTAGTCCCACCCCCGATGCCGAATCCACACCCACATCCCCAGCTGCCAATGCCGCCTTCCTGAACGCTGTTGAGCGCTTCAAGGGCTTGCGGAAGAGAACCCTCTCCCCTAATCATTCCGACATCTCTGACCAACAACCCTTTACCTCTGCTTCTCAGCAGCAACACCACGACCACCAGGACCACCAGCACCAGCAATGGCAGCAGCAGCAGCAACAATCACACTCGGATGACGAAGACCATCCCCACGGATCCGACAACATTTTCGACTTTGACTTCAAGGCGTTTGGCGCAAAGTTCAAGAACTACCGCAAAAGCCTCGACTACCGCAACCCCAGCCTCTCACCCTCGGCCGACCCCTCAGCCCCGACGGATGCCTTGTCTGGAGACGATGAAAGGCACAGGCAGCTCAAGGCCGTCATCAGGAAGATGCTGTTCAGGCGCAAAAAGGACAAGAGGGGCAAGAGTGCGGAGCAAACAGTGCTCGAAGCCGAGGACTATCAGCTGTGGAAGAACGTCGCGCCACTCCTCTTCCAGCCCTCCGCTGTCTTCATGGGTCTTTCCTTCATGATCGAGGATAAGGGAAGCGCTTTGGAGGACAGGAGCAATGTGGACTGGAATATGAACATCATCCTCGCTCTGGTCAAGGTAGGCATCCCCGGTCTGATTGGTGTTCATACACAGGCGCCATCTTCAATTATCCTACCATTTTATTGGCGCCATATATCCTTCCCCGGCTGTCTGTATGGTTCCTAGGGGAGGGGTTCCTGAACACTAAATCAAAAGTGCTAACCTTGCTTTGTATTGTGTTTTTTTCGGGACACGATGCGTTCATTAGGTCGTCATTCTGCCATACACCTTCAGCTCCAAGGACACAAAGATCAGAAACAAGGATAGCAAGAAGGACCAGAAGGCTCCCAAGAGTGCCCTGTCTCCACAGGAAAAGGAGGAGAAGGAGGCCAGGGAGCACAAGCGGTTCTTCGTCATCAAGGTCCAGTACGGCGACGACCTCCCCAGTTGGATGATCGAGCGCAGCCTGGACGACTTTGTGCGACTTTACGAGTCCTATCACCCCCCCATTCCTGAGCAACCTATCCTCTTCCAATCACTTAAGCTTCCAAAACCACCAGCCTTCCTTCGCTCTCGCTTCCGGATGAATAGTAGGGCAGCGACCATGAACGACGCGGATGGTAACCAAGCTGGCCAGAGCTCGGAGGACCAGAGTCAGGAACCGCCAATAGACGCCTTCGATCCGAAATGGGCGAAAAACCTGACCTCAGAGCTGCAGACGTTCCTACAGGACATGATTCGATATGCCATGTATCTCCCGGGAGCAGAGCGCATGTGCAAATTCTTGGAGCTTTCGGCATTGACACTGGCTCATGTCCCCGATGGAGGGTATCAAGGAAAGGAGGGATATCTGACCGTGGTCAAGCAGAAACGACTCATGGATGAAGGCCCGCTCACAAACGCCGTCAAGAAGGTCTATCACAAGCCCGTCTCGAAATACTTTATCGTTCGCGATTCGTTCATCATTGTTGCAGCCAGCCATAAGAATGTACGTGCCGCATCCAAGGACCATCTTGTTTACTTGCAAGCAAATCGATTTTTTGACCTTCTGACACCTGTTCGCTGCCTTGTTCATTCTATTCATTCTAGACCGAGATCCAGGATGTCATCCTACTCGACTCCTCCTTCAAGGCCAACAAATGTCCTCGCCATATCCATGCTCCCCACTCATTCGACATCATCAATTCTGAGCTCAAATTCCACCTTCGCGCCAAATCAGACCTCCGTCGACGCCAATTTGTCGATAGTATTCGCAAGATGCCATCTCTCTGGAAGGAACCCAAGCGCTTCAATAGCTTTGCTCCCGTCCGAAGGAATGTGAGTGCGCAGTGGCTTGTGGATGGTCGCGACTACTTCTGGAACGTCGCCAAGGCCATGGAAATGGCTAAAGAGACCATCTATATTCTGGATTGGATGCTCTCCCCCGAGATTTTACTCCGCCGTCATCAACAAGATGGTGTCGACTGGTCGCTGAAGGAAGTCCTGGGGCGTAAAGCATGCGACGGCGTCAAGATCTACATTGTCATGTACAGCGAGGTGGATGCCGCCATGCACTTGGCGTCGCTGAGGGCCAAGAGGCTGCTCCGGAAAATCTGCCCTGAGAACATTTGGATTCAACGTCATGGCCCAAACCTAAAGACGGCGTGGTGGGCTCATCATGAGAAGCTCATTGTGATCGATAACATGATTGCATTCATCGGAGGGCTCGATCTCTGCTTCGGACGGTGGGACACTGCCGAGCACACACTAGTTGATCTTGAAGAAAGCGAGCTTGGTCACCACTGGCCAGGACAGGACTATTGCAACCCTCGAATCAAGGACTTCAGTGATCTCTCCAAGCCAGACGTGGACACGATCGATCGTACCGAAAACCCCAGAATGCCCTGGCACGATGTCGGTCTCCAGATCCTCGGTCAACCAGCGAGAGACGTCGCTCGCCATTTTATTCAGCGCTGGAACTTTTTGTGCAGGACAAAGCCCAAGCAGACAAAGATCCCATTCTTGCTCCCCAAGCCCGACATACATTTGTCCAAGCTGAACGAGATGGGACTTCAGGGCACATGCGAGCTCCAAATCTTGCGTTCTGTGTCCTCTTGGTCGATGGGTGTCAAGGATCCGGAATGCAGTATCCTTACAGCATACATTGCCGCCATTGAGCGCGCAGAGCACTTTATTTATATCGGTAGGGCTGCCAGTTGGTGTTGCACCTCGTTTGTCAGCGATTATGGTTGGTTGGCTTTTTTTTTTTTTTTTTTTTTTTTTTTTTACTGACCCATCTTTCTTTTCTTCCTTTTTTTTTTTATACAATACAATGTAACCAGAAAATCAATTCTTCATCACCTCCACAAACGTGAACAATATCATTGTCCACAATAGCATTGGACGAGCTCTGACTGACAGGATTATCAAGGCACATAAGGAGAATAAGAAGTTCAGGTACGAATAGCGATACTTTTTTTTTTTCGCGTGCTATAATTGATATTAGCAATATGCAATGGATGGCTCACCCTGGACGAGAATTTTTGCTTTTTTTTTTTTTGCGTCTCACAACAGAGTGATTGCTGTATTACCCCTGGTGCCTGGATTCGAGGGAGGTATCAACACACCTGCAGCAACGTCTGTGCGCATGGTCATGCTAAGTATCTACGAGACGATCTGCCACGGAAAGAACTCGATCTACGGTCGATTGGCCGCCGCAGGAGTTCCCAAACCCCACAAGTACATTTCCTTCTACGGACTCCGGAACTGGGCAAAGTTTGGAGAAAAGTTCATTACGGAGCAGGTTTACATCCACGCCAAGATGATGATTGTCGACGATCGCATTGCCATTATTGGTTCAGGTAAGCGTCGTCGGCACTGTACTTTCAATACTATCTATTACCCTTTAAACCATTACTAATTCTGCGATATCCCTTACATAACGCATCACCTTTTTATTGTAGCCAACATCAACGAGCGCTCCATGCTCGGTAATCGTGACTCGGAAATTGCGGCTGTTGTCAGAGATCAGGATTATATCGACTCGACTATGAACGGTGTCCCTTACAAGGTCTCTCGTTTCGCCCATACGCTACGAATGAACTTGATGATGGAGCACCTGGGTCTGCCAGCAGGGCACGAGCATCGGACTGGGGCTATGAGCACGGTTGATCAGGGCGAGGTCCCTTTTACAGAACTCGATTTCGTCGACCCTGTCCACCCCGCGTTCTTCGAGGACGTCTGGAAGCACTACGCCGAGTCCAATACAATGATCTTCAGGGAAATGTTTAAATGCATCCCCGACAATACCGTCAAGTCCTGGGCCGACTACATGCAGTTCAACGCTCAATCCAATGTAGAGGATCCTCGTGTGAAGGAAGAACGGACTTTGAAGGATAAGACGATTAACAAGATCCTGGGACCGACGATGGGCGAGCACTTTAGATCGCGAGGCGAGAGCAGTGAAGATGAAGACGACGACTTTGAGACCATTGACGGCATGGCAGCCAAGAGGGCTTTTGTGGACGACGACTCTGCGGAGGACGAAGGTTCGTTGCAGGACAGGATTAAGGATGAGAGGACTGCACATCATGGATCATTAGGCAAGAGTATGAGAGGGCGAAACAAGGACAAGAAAAACATGACAAAGTCTGCGGCGGATCTTCGTACAGACGAGGAGGTCACGCCCAAGGGGAAGGCCATGGAGAAGACACTGGAGAAGGATGAAACGCAGGCCAAGCACGAGCAAGAGGAGAGGAAGGAGGCTCGACACTCTGGGAGGGCAGAACCGACGCCGACGGAGCCTCAGTCGCCAAGGAGCAATGTCAAGCGAACCGCGAGCGCGCTGGCAAAGTCGAACGATGTCCGTGTGGCCATGGAGGCTGATTTGAGCAAGGTGCAGGGACATCTCGTGGAGTGGCCCCTGGACTTTTTACGCGACGAGATCGAGTCCCACAACTTTTGTTATCCAAAGGACTACAACCACCCGATCGATCTCTACACGTAGACAGGTGCTAATCGGACCTCCCCTGCTATTTTTATCAAGGATACCCAATTATCATATCATATCATATCATGGTCGTTACTGTAATACCTCTTTGTTATTATTATTATTTTTTCTTGTCTTAATAAAACACCAATCTACGCCAGACTCTATTTGTACTCTGCAGCAGCTGTCCGGATCATCTCCTGAACCTCGCGACACAGCCCTGTCACTTCGGGACGCTTGACCAGCTTATTCTGGATCTTGGTCTCTAGCGTCTTGGGTAGGTCCAAGGCGTTCATCAGGTGTGCTCCTACATAGCTCTCCTCCATGTGGATAAACTGGGCGACCGAGGCGACCAGTCGATAAAGAATCTCCTCTGAATCCTCCTTGTTGATCGCCTCTGCAATAGCGCTTAAGCATTCCATGTTCCAGTCTGCCTCCAAGCTCTCGAGCGGGTCGCCGGAGAGAGAAGGCGTGAGAGTATCCAAGGGCTTGGCTCTCGACTCTCCAATCTTGAGACCGATATTGAATGCGAGAGAGGAAGCGGTCTGTCTGTGTTGATCAACGTCGGACAGAAGGGTGTTGACCAAAAGCTGTTTTGTCGACTCACGCGCCACGGAGGAGAGGATATAGGTGCTGAGAAGAGGGCTACTGAAGGAATTGCAGGCGATGCGAAGGGTCATGAGGGTCGCTGGTTTGGAGGCGCCGTAGCCGTTGTCGGCCACGGCATTAAACATTTTGATCAGGGTCTGGTTTCCGTCCTTGGCGTACACCTCTGCGACGCGATGGTGGAGAATTAACATCCGGAGGATGTCTAGCAGAGGAAATTGTTTTTCGTAGGGTAACAATCCTGCGATCTTGGCTATAATGATGCACGAAAATACAGTTTTTTGTAAGCAAAAAGCAATAAGCAAAAAAAAAAAAAAAAAAAAAAAGACATGCTGCCCAAAGTAGGGTAATGGGGAAAACGACAAATTACTTACCAAGAATAGGCTTCCAATTCGCACCCAGCTCTACCATGGTCGGCTCCGCAGACTTGTCAGTCTTTGCAGTAATACGTTTTTTGAGCCATAAATGGATCTTGTCCAGTTGTTTCATATCAGCCTCTGAAAGACTGTTCTCTTGAGGCAGAAAAGTCTTTAGTTTCGTAAACACGGCGTCTACGGCATCCGCAGATTCAGGAGGTTGGAAGAGGGCTGGAATTGTTGGGAGTGATTTGTAAAAAACCAGATCCAGCCGTTTATGTGGATGAGCTGTGATAGAGTAGGAGGAATTAGTCACGCGGGCCATGTTAGCGAAAGTGGCCATGATGTAAAAAAAATAAAAAAAAATAAAAAAAGTCGACTTTACAGATATATCAAACACTGGATGGTTTACCTGGGTGAGTACTGTAAATGAGTACGTCGATACAACTCCTGAGCTCAGCCTGATCCGCTCCCGAGAACCGCGAGGATTCTTTTCCGAATAAGAAAAACACGAACGTTGGGGTGGATTGGATCCCATATTCCCTTCCGATGGCCTGTGCCACCCCTACATCTACCTTGACACCCTTTATCTCTTTGTCCTTGGACAAGACGATCTCGTCGAAAACGGGTGCAATTATTCTACACGGTGGACAAGTCGCTGAGGTGAAATAGACGACCGTGGCAGCATTCTGTCGGACGATGCTTTGCAGCTGACTGAGATCTGTTATGAACGGAACTGAAGGTACATGGCGACTCGGTCCAAACATGTTCTCGATCATGGGTCGCATCATCTGTCCAAAGGGTGTGTTGAGAAAGTCGGCGGGTAAGGAGGTGATGTTACTCGGGATAGGTTTTCCAACGAGAAACTTGCAGACATCGTTTGTAAAGTTGTTGCAGTTGTTGTCTACAAAAGAAAAGAATGAATGTCAGCCTCGCATGCGTTGGATATAAATGCAAGCCCCATGATTGGTTTGCGAACGGCGGTCCGGAATCCTTACCCAAGAGATGATATGCGCCCGCGGTGTAGGTCTCACGCATCTCGTCCATGAACTCCATAAAGACCTCCTGAGGAATCTCAGTTTCGCCCATATTGACTTGCTCCATAGGCTGTCCGTGGAGAGTTGTTCCTGGAATGGCACTCATGATGCCCTGCCCATAATAGAATTCTCGCCCGAACACGACGACCGATGTGTGATAGATGGCGTCTATGGATTATCGTGTATATATTGCGACAAGGACCATTCTGTCAGGACCAATGCTGTCTGGAAGGTGGGGAAAAGAGCGGATTTTGACCAGTAATGCCTACCGATCTGGCGGCCTACAAGACTTTGGGACATGTTCCGTGCCATTCCCTGCGATAAATCGTAGACGAAAAGGGTCACTCTTTCTGCCATCGTTCTTTGTTGTCTTGAGCGGGCTGATTGGTTGTGGTCTTGTATATGGTAGTTCCAGCGCTGATGGGGTGATTCGTTGGACAGGAGGAGGAGGAAGGTTGAAGAGATGCAAAACGATGTGCTGATAAAGGGATGAGGTAAGAGGAACAAACATACGCGGCCTGTACGCGTGGCATGCTGCTGGGCGAAGTGGACACGACTGCGGACCTCCGTATTTCGAAGGCACTCCTCCACCCCATTCATTCACATCCATCTCATTCCACACACACACCAGCATGGCAGCCCAAGCGAACGAGACCCTGACTCTTACGGACGACCTGCGCCAAAAGACCAAAGGACACCATCGCAAGATGGACAGGCTGGTTCAGCTGGGCCTGTTCACTGTTCTTGATTATCAGGTATAAAGCACATTGGCACGTTGCACTTGTATATCCTGGATCCTTCCTGTGTCCTCCTCGGTAGACTAAATAACCCCATTCCAGATCTATAGGCAGATCCTGTTGGGATTCTACTACGTGTTCAGGACGTTTGAGGAAGAATATGAAAAGCACACGAAAGGTCCCGATCTCCATCCATGGGTCGCACAGGCTTATTGGCCCGACATTCGGCGGACAGAGGCCTTCGAAGCAGATCTTGCCTACTTTTACGGGGACGATTGGAAGGAACATGTCTGTCCATCCAAGCAAATGCAAGAGTATATGGTATGTTGTACCCTGAATAATTGATCTTTCCTGATCAGCGTACAAGGACTCGGCGCTAACCACTGAGTTTCTTTTTCTTTTTTCTTTTTTTTTGTTCGTATGCACAAAAAGGATCATATTCGAGATATCTCAAAGAAGAATCCAGAGAGGCTAGTCGCCTACCCAGCAACCCTTTATCTCGGGATCTTCTTTGGTGGACAAATTACCCGATCCAAGATCGTAAAGTCGACACGATTCTTTCCCTCTCCTCCTGACAAGAAACTTGGCGGCGAACACGATAGCGGCATTGCGATCTTCACGTTTCGTGAGAGAAGCAGCAGCTCCTCTTCATTTACTACCACTGATGATGCAGCAGGACATTCGGGAGAGAACGGGAAGCTGGATCCCAATAAGGTGAAGAACGATCTGAAATCACGACTCAATTCTATCCCAGGAATCTATGACCAGACAGACTCGGCCCTGGCAGCACGACGTGCTATTGAAGACGAGGCCAAAGAGATTTTTGTCAGGAACATGGACTTGTTCACATCGGTCGAGGGTGTGCCTAGAGTGTGGACTCGTTGGATCGTTTATTCTCTTCTGTACTTGGCAATTGCCATGGCGTTTTATCAGATCCTTTTCAGCCGGTTCTCCACAGCCGCACCCGTTCTTTGATCGGTGGAACGATCGAAGCAGTGCATGATAGCGGTCTTCTGTGGCATCATAACCCTCTCCTTTCGTTGTTGAACGATTCCGGACAAGTAAAATAAATCATCAAGACTTAGCCCTGGCTCCATTTGTTATGTTGAGCATACAAGTCAATTCCCCCCAGAAAATCCATGACGCCTGCTTCATGGGGAGATCTCTTTACCAAATGCATCAAGTGGATTTCCTGCAAGGGGTTGCCAAGCTGGTCCTCCCTCCCAAAAAACATATATTCAGCAAAAGGTATCCGAAAACCCGGATTTGAACCAGGGACCTAGAGATGACAGACAAACTACAGTCTCCCGCTCTACCAACTGAGCTATTTTCGGATGGCTGGTCGCTTTTTAAGTATTCTTTGAGTCTGATTTTTACCATTCCCTAAGTGCAAGATATTCGGATATACGGTCTCTGCCTGAACCTCGTATGGCGATGTACTGTTGATGGTGTGCGTCGAGGTTCGAAAAAGGGAATTCTTGGCAGCTCATATTCACGTCAGCTCCATGGTGCAATAGAATGGATATCTCAATATGCGCGCCGGGGTACTTTGCGTGATATCTTCAATGGTGGCTCGGTATTTCTAAAAGTATCTTTAGGGCCCGGTTCTTGTTTAATTCATAAGGAAAACTCATCGATGATCAGAGGCCAGGTCGTTGTCTCATTCTGATGAGGGTCTGCGCAGACAACACAAAACGAGTATAAAACACTCCCTCTTTTTCTTCTCTTCCCTCTCTTCTTTCTTCTCCATTCTACACTCTTCTTACCACTTACTACTCACACGCAAACAACCCCTACCGACTTTTTCTCACTCACATTCACACCACCATCATGTCTTTGGCCAAGCAGAACTTCTCTTCCGCCAGCGAGGAGGCCCTCAACCACCAGGTACTGCACACTTTCTTCATTCTCCGTATTCGCCTTCTTCAACGCCCGATGCATTGTCCATTGACCATCCTCCTCTTCTCCTTCTTCTCCCTCGACTTTACAGATCAGTCAAGAGCTCCAGGCTTCCCAGGTTTACCTCTCCCTCTCTGCCTGGGCTGGTCACTCCAACCAGGCCCTCCCCGGACTGGAAAAGTTCTTCCGCGAGAGCGCTGAAGAGGAGCGCGAGCACGCCCAGAAGTTGATTAACTACCAGAACCGCCGCGGTGGCAAGGTCGTCCTCCATACCCTCCAGGCCCCCGAGTCGGACTGGTCCTCAGCCCGAAATGCCATCGAGGCCACCCTCCAGCTTGAGAAGGGTACGTGGAGTAACGTTTATCGCGTTACACATCGAGGTCACCACATCATTCGTCCCTTGACTAAATCACACCTTTCTATTTTGTCTCACCGCATGACAGATGTCAACAAGAGCCTGCTCAACCTCCACAAGGTTGCTGAGGAAAACAGTGATGCCCAGCTCTCCGATTTCATCGCATCTGAGTACCTCAGTGAGCAAACCGAGGCCATCAAGAAGATTGCCGACCTTGTCACCCAGCTCAACCGCGTTGGTGGTGATGGTCTTGGATGTAAGCCTTTATGTTTTGATTTCATCCTGCATTCGCATGCCGCCGACCCACCTCGCTATGAACATATCACTGACTTTGTAATTCTCTTTCCTCGTCTTTCTTATCGCAGTGTACCTCTGGGACCAAGAGCTCTTGAAGCACAGCCATTAAATCGCTCTGCTTTCTCTGCCTTACCCTTGACACATATTTCCTATTCTGCCACCTTGCTGTGGAATTATCCTTGTAGCATAGCCCTTCCTCATCCTAAAATAAATACTCATCAAAAATGATCATTGTAATGGCGCTAAAATACATGCATGACGCCTATGGAGATGCACGGCTGTGGGCTAGATTGACGAGACTTGACAGATCTGTTCAAGTCCATCTGTTTTTGAAAATGACAATGAGTTCGAAAAGGCGAGACCGGGATGGTGCCATGGACTTGGATACACAGCGGGCGATTGATCCCGCCCACTGTGATTATTCAGCTTATTGCACCTCCGACATAGTGCGCTAGCCTACCACTTGATCCTTTTTTCCTCGGTTTGCGCTTGTCATTGGCTCTGCCGATGTCCAAACAATGATATAAGCTGTCTCGAGAGAGCGAGAGCCGATGGAAGAAAAAGGAAAGAAAAAGCCGAGGCAGCGGACAGCGGTGAGAGGCCCATCCCCCGCCTGAGAGCGACAAAGGGAAGCAAACAAAGAGATGCTCCAATCAATGTCGATCTCGGAAAACAGTTGCCTTTTTGAGCTAGCTTGCGCCTTTTTCTCCCTTTTTTTTTAAAAAAAAAATTCAATCTGCGAAGTGGCCGTTGTTGTTATTGTTTGCTCGGGGAGATCTTACAATCATGGCATACATGCGCCGAGTGTATTGTCTTAATTGAAAAGCTATCATTTCAAAAAAAGAACATCATAACATGTTCCCAACAGCTCTCTCAATGTCGGAGATGCGCTGATCTGAACCGACGCTTCCCACCATACTGTGTCAATAGATGGCTATAAGAACTGCAGAGAGGCGAAGAGTAACCTCGTCCAAAGCCGAGTGAGTGAACATGCTAAGCACAATGGCTAACGGACAGCAAACAGCTGCAGGCATGCCTGCGCTCGTAGAGTGGCTCACAATGCAGATCAGGCTGGTTGATCAGGAGACATGGTTTAGTTGTCTGCTTTTTTTTTATTACCATACATCCACGTGATTAGTTAGGATTAGTTAGGATTAGTTAGTTGTCTGCATCCCTCTGAATAAATAAAGTTGCTGCTTGCATAGATGGAATGTAGCCAGGGTGCATAAAAGGAGCGGCATACACATTCCTGAATTGCATGGACAAACAACATTCGCTCTGCAGATCAGCGAACGGGCTGCCCACAGGAGTGACGGCGGATTGTTTCTCTACCGCTGAAAGTGCAAAAAAAAAAAAGCTGATGCTCTCTTCCTCATCTCTCACACACTCCTCCCTTTCCTTCAACCCAGTCGTCTTTATTGCTCCTACTCTTTTTCTTACTATATGAGCGTGTGAATCGATATCCACATCCACGCCGTCCTCCTCATCCTCCTCGTTCTTCTCCTGTCTCCTTTTACCTCCGCCACCTCCCAGCATATCATACGATGTACTCTGTCGGAAGCTTCTTCTCGACCGTTACAAAATTCTATAATGAGATCAACCCTGCAACCCTCTCGGGCGCCATCGACATCGTCGTCGTCGAGCAGGCCGACGGCGACCTCGCCTGCTCGCCCTTTCACGTGCGCTTTGGCAAGCTCAGTGTGCTTCGACCCCAGGAGAAGGTGGTCGAGGTCCGCGTCAATGGCGAGGTGATCCCCTTTCCGATGAAGGTTGGCGATGCAGGAGAAGCCTTCTTCGTGCTCGAGACGAATGACTATGTCCCGGACGAATTTGCAACGTCGCCCATCGCTGGTCCGACTGACGAAACCGACTTGGCGCCCGTGGACTACTTTGATCTTAATGGTCAGCATCGACAGCAACAGGGACACCAAAAACTACTCGAGGGCACAGGAGGAGAGTATCCTCAGGCAGACGAAGGTAAGGCCACTCACTGTCTTTCTCGCACCCAAGGTTCGATGCAGCACATGAGGATCGGAGTACCGGTGGGGACCTTGTTCCATTGTATCACCATCGCACCGTCGTTTTGCTGCCTTGTTTTACATTGACATATGTCAAAGCAAAAAAATTATTCATAATTCAGATCCAGCTCTCGCAATCCCACGCTATAACAATACGACAACTGCTGATCGAAAAAAATCCAATGCTCTCTATTATTCTCATATGGTCGATCTATCTATAGACACTCTACTCGACAATGGGTACGTGAGTGCAGCTAGTGGCCATGGCTCCGCTTTCGAGGAAAGTTTCAAGGACGACAGCGACCACGATTCCGTGTCCTCCTTCGCGAAGACAAGCGTCAGCAGAGATACTCTGCAGGACATGCCCGGTTCCTTCAGTCACACCATCGAGTCCCTTCAGGAGCCAGAATCGCCCCTGCCCACCGAACCCTCGCCCTCTCGACCACGGCCTACCCGGGACGAAAAGCCATCCCAGGAAGCGGAAGACAAGGAGGCCTCCACTGCCACGGCGGATACCTCCTCCAAGGACGATATTTCCTTTCCTACCAACGTGATTTTTCCAACAGTAGTACACCAATCCTTGCCCAATGGAACTCGTGAGGATGGAGTTGCTCTCGGCAATTCCCATGGCACACCTCGTACGCGTCGTAAAAGTGGTACGTTTCATGACCTGCGAGAGCACTTGACTCTTGCTACTCTCACTGAATTGCTGACTAACGTACTAGTCTTTCCTCTCACCTCATCTGGTCTGTCATTCAGAAGTGTTGTTGGATATGACGGGATACAAGACGGATTCTTGTTCAGAATCATCAGACGACGAAGACGATCTCCCGCGTGGCATCCTTTCGGATAGCGAGCGTCATCATCGTGGTCTGCGGAAGAGATTCGGCAGGAAGAGCTCTCATCTCTCAAAGGAGCAGCGTCAGCAACTTTTGGATGATATCAGACAGGGCGTATTCATGAAGCCCGAAGAGAATTTTGTGAGCACACAGATGGAGCGTCAGGGTAAATTGCAACCAACACCAAACATATTCGTCGTCTCGAGCCATGCTCATGACTTTCTTTGCTAACGATCTGTGAACCGTACAAATAACCCGTGCTTAGCAGCTAGAACCGCTCGGAAAAAGAAGAGGGCCGGCATTCCGACTGGTTGGCAAGGAAGAAAAGGAAGAAAAAGGGCTAACAGCATGCCATCCATTGGGGAGTCAGGTAAGGACTTCATCTACTGCGCATGCATTTGGTCATGCCTGGTAGCGACTATGAATATTCATATCAATGATGTGTCCTGCTGTCCATAGACGTACCATTCCCGACAATCGCTCGCAATGTGGAGCGCCTCAAAGATCCTCAGCCTAAGAACGCAGCCGTTGCAGCAGAAGTCTTGCCTAAACGGGAGCAGAGACCTAGTGTTATGAGCGATACTGAAATGGAGGTATGTGTATTGCTTGAGCAGCATAATGCTTCTACCAAGTTCATCCAGGTCATGCAGTGGCTAAGATATCCTTGTTTTTAATGTAGTACGAGACTGGAAAGGCTCCTGCCAGCATTCAAGGCAAGCAGTGGACATGGGGATGGGGCAGTCTGCCAGTAAAGCAGGACAACCCCGACGAGGACGATGAGATTAAGGAGGAGGCTCTCAAGCCTATGGCACCTGAAGTACCTGTTGAGATTGAGACTAAGGAATTCCAGATGGGTTCAGTCACCTGCCATGTAGCACTAAGTCTTTGTGGAGAAGAGGAGTTCGGGAAGGATCTTGTAAGTGGCTTTTAGGGCATCATGCTGGAATCGGGCTTATTGATGCTATCTTAAATAGGCACAAGTCTAACGCTTAATGTCGCATCTAACTAGGCTGCTGGCCACAAAGCGTTCCAGAATGCACAGTTGACCTTTGAAGCCTTCACGAAAGATCCAGCGGCTGTGTTGGCTGACAAGAGACTTGTTTGCTACATGGATGGTCGCTTCTATACTTGGAACAACGCCGTGCCTCAGCTTGTATCCCTGCTTTTCTTCCATCAACCCCTAGCTGATACTGCCAGCCACGATCTTAAAGATCAGAAGGCTCTCACCGCTGGCGACAGACCCACCTCTACTCGATTTGGCACCATCTCTCGTTGGTTCAGGAAGACACCTGCAGGCAGTAATTCTTCCCCTTCGACCCCAGATGTGAACACCGCGGCGACAACGGTTGCCAATGATCAATCCGGTGCTGTGGCTGTGGGTTCCGACGATGACGACGTGCGCCCTGTCAATAAAGCGCTAAGGAGCAAGTCCCTGCCTCCTCTCGAGACTGGTCGGGAGAATGGGCACGCTCACACCCATGCTGCCGTCCCCGCACTCTCGGAGAAATCTGTAGATGGATCTGAGGACAAGAAGCGGTATGCAAAGACACTCCGTTTGACCTCAGAGCAATTGCGCTCGCTGAATCTGAAGAAGGGAGCGAACACGGTCTCATTCTCGGTATCGTCGGCTTACCAAGGAACAGCAACGTGCGTTGCCAAGATCTTCTTGTGGGATTATGACGCTCAGGTCGTCATCTCTGACATCGACGGCACCATCACCAAGTCGGATGCCTTGGGACATATCTTTGCCATGGCAGGACGCGACTGGACTCATCTCGGCGTCGCCAAGCTATTTACAGACATCCGGAGCAACGGATATCACATCCTGTACCTGACATCCCGCGCCATCGGTCAGGCAGACTACACGCGCAAGTATCTGCAAAAGGTCGAGCAAAACAGCTACCAGCTTCCCGACGGCCCTGTGATCATGAGCCCAGATCGTCTCTTCTCTGCATTCCACCGAGAGGTAATTATTCGAAAGCCTGAGGTGTTCAAGATGGCATGTCTCCGCGACGTCAAGAAGTTGTTTGGAGACAGGAACCCGTTCTATGCCGGATTCGGAAACCGTATCACCGATGCTCTCTCCTACAGAAGTGTCAACGTGCCGCCTTCTCGCATCTTTACCATTGATTCCTATGGCGAGGTGAAGCTGGAGCTGCTGAGCGCCTTTAAGTCCTCGTAAGTTGTTGGCATATTTTGTGTGTAAGAGATGCCTGAATGTTTTTCATCTGCTCATCTTAATAACCTTTTGTTTCTTTTACAACAGGTATTTGGCACTGAACGATCTGGTGAACGAAATCTTCCCTGGACAACGCGTGGCCCCCGAATTCAACGACTGGAACTATTGGAAAGCAGATTTGCCAAAGATCGAATTACCAGATCTTCCAATAGCCCCCAACAACTATGGCATGACCAGCTCTTCGGCCTCGCTGCTGTCCTCAACAACAAGCGTTGCTAAGAGAGTGGTGTTAATGACACACTCTTCCTCCAGCAATAGCCTTCAACCGATTTCCCCCACTGCACCTTCAGCTGACTCAAAAAGCAAGCGGGCCTCATACGAAAGAGGCTCCTATACTGGTGCCCTTCTCCGCCGCCAAGAGTCGCCGACAAGCGACGAGGAAGGCCAGGATCAGCATCAAGGTCAGGAGGATGGAGCGTCACAAACGGATGGACAGTCATTGAGGGACTCCAGGAAAATCAGAGCTAATTCGCCTTCGATGCTGTCGGCCCTTGTCCCCACTCGCCTAATTCGTGCTGTCCGAAGCGGAAGCGGGAGTGCCAGCAGTCAGGCGACACATGTGCCTCAACCGACTACGGTTACGGCTACATCTACTCCGCATTCTCCGGAGATGGCCTACGCAGGTGAGGAAGTAGTACGCCCAGTATCGATTCCTTCGCCTCCTCCTCTGGATGGCCTGCTGCAAACAAACGAGGACGTTGCCAAGTCATCCAAGAATTCCCTTGACCAGCATGTTGCCCATAGGACCGGACTGACGGATGATCTGGTGTCGGTCAAGCAGGAAGAAGAGGACGAGGACGCAATGGCATCGAGACTGCTTCAACGACCTAGCGAGGGTTTCGACGAGGCTCTTTTGGGAGATGAGGAGGAGTATCAGGGTGACTATGAGGATGGGGAGTATGGCGACGAGGAAGACCAGGATGACGAGGACGACGAATACCTGGATCAGATCGAGGAGGGTCTGGAGGAGCCCTTCCTGTGAAAGGCGTGAGTTCGTGGAGGGTGAGTTTTGGACGTCCGATTCCCAATAATTTTGACTATAATTGTACCATAGCAATATACACCTTGTTGAAGATAAAGATTGAAGACAAAAAAACAGTGACTGGTGTGGCTGTCCCGAAAAATAAAAAGCAAGTGCGGGGAAGGCCAAAAAAGGGCTGAACGGAGTAGAATATCTTTCACGCCGTCTCACTTCCTCATCCTCTCTTGTCTTCCCTTCCCCTCCTCTCTCTTCACCCGTATCCTTCCACACACACCTATACATTTTTATATACCATGGACGCCCACGCCCGCTACCAGTCGCCCTTGACCTCGCGCTACGCTTCGCCCGAGATGGCTGCCAACTTCTCGGACAACAAGCGCTTCAGCACCTGGCGCAAGCTGTGGCTCAACCTTGCTGTGGCCGAGAAGGAGCTCGGTCTCGACATTCCCGAGGGTGCCATCGAGGAGATGAAGGAGCACCTTGTACGTATTCTGTTATCTCCTTTTATGCCTCGTTGTTGCAGCTCAATAGCCTGTTTCTCGCTTTTTCTTTTGATCAACATTGTGCTGACTCGCCATCCTATCGATATCGAATGCGGTCCTTGTCTAGTTCGATATTGACTACAATCTCGCCATTGCTGAGGAAAAGAAGCGCCGCCACGATGTCATGGCCCACGTTCACACCTTTGGCGTTGCTTGCCCCAAGGCTGCCGGTATCATCCACTTGGGTGCTACCTCCTGCTATGTCACCGACAACGGAGACTTGATCATCCTTCGCGACGGCCTCGACATCCTGCTGCCCAAGCTCGCTCGTGTCATCCAGCGCCTGAGCGACTTTGCGGAGCAGTACAAGAACCTGCCCACCTTGGGCTTCACCCACTTCCAACCCGCTCAATTGACAACTGTCGGCAAGCGCGCGACCCTCTGGATTCAGGAATTACTCTGGGATCTCCGCAACCTGACCCGTGTTCGTGAGGACATTGGATTCCGTGGAGTCAAGGGAACCACAGGAACCCAGGGATCGTTCTTGGCCCTCTTTGAGGGTGACCACGACAAGGTCGAGGCCTTGGACCAGCGCGTGACAGAGCTCTCGGGATTCAAGGAATACTACCCCGTCACCGGCCAGACCTATTCTCGTAAGATCGATGTCGATGTCCTGATGCCTATGGCCTCCTTCGGTGCGACTGTTCACAAGATTGCGACCGATATTCGTCTTTTGGCCAATTTGAAGGAGATCGAGGAGCCCTTTGAGAAGGATCAGATTGGAAGCTCTGCTATGGCTTACAAGAGAAACCCCATGCGCTGCGAGCGTGCCTGTTCTTTGGCCCGCCATCTCCAGATTCTGGTCCAGGATGCCCTCGGGACTGCTAGTGTTCAGTGGCTGGAGCGCACTCTTGATGATAGGTAAGAACAAAAGACACCCATATATGTTACTCATCGATATCGAATATGCAATTAACCATGGCAATAACTTCTATATCGATGGAATAGTGCCAACCGCCGCATCTGCTTGCCCGAGGCTTTCTTGACCATGGACATTCTGTTGACACTGCTGCAGAACATCTCGGAGGGTCTTGTCGTGTACCCCAAGGTCATTGAGCGCCGTATCAGCCAGGAACTTCCCTTCATGGCGACCGAGAACATCATCATGGCCATGGTCAAGAAGGGCGGTGACCGTCAAGAGTGCCATGAGCACATCCGTGTTCTCTCGCACGAGGCCGGTGCTGTCGTCAAGCAGCAGGGAGGCGAGAACGACTTGATCCAGCGTATCCGCAAGGACTCTTACTTCGAGCCCATCTGGAGCGAGCTTGAGACCTTGATGGACCCCTCGACCTTTATCGGCCGTGCCCCTCAGCAGGTCGATCGCTTCTTGAAGGACTATGTTCAGCCTGCCTTGAAGCCCTATGAGGAGACCTTGCGCCAGGAGAGCAAGGCCGAATTGAGCGTCTAAAAGAAGAAAAAAAACGAGTCCTTGTTTGTCCATAATCACATTCACATGCATCTCATCATCCATCCATCCATCCCGACTTTGTCAAATACCGAAGCAATAAAAAAAAAAAAAATTCAACTGAAACGAATTAAGACCACAGCTTGTTGCTGCCAACCGCCTGTTTGAGTGTTGGAACCCCTTATTGGTTTACGGATGGACGGGGGGCCCTGCCATATCCGCCTTTTGCCGCCCCTTCGACTTCGCGTAGATCGCGCTGTGATGTGTGCTCGATCAGTAGGCAGCAAAAGATGTATTCTTTGCGCTTGGGCCTACATCTACGTAGCTGACGGACGCGTTGCCGCCAAATATAAATATGTGTATATAATGCAGACACTTTTTGTTTATTGAGCAAGGTGAGAACCAGTCTAATCGTACATTCCACTCTCCTGGGACCCCTTCCTCCGACCAACTCGTTTCTGGTCCTGTCGCTGTGGAATCTCCATCGACTGGCCAGCTCCAGCCAACAATAGCAATCCATCCTTCGCATCTTCATCCGAGGACGACGGAGACGATGAGCTACTGGCCGACAATGGTGCTTCTTCGGCCAGGTTCCTGGGCGAATGCTCCTTCATCAGATCCCTGATCTCCTGTTTCTCGACTCGGATCCTCTTTTCATAGATATGATTCAATCCCGTGGTCATCAAAGGTGTCAATGGACTCTTGCTTGAAATTGATCCTCCCATGGCCTCGAGCATATCCGTAGTCTTGTTATTCGGATTACTGTTCGTCGCCCTTCCGACCTTGGCGTTCGCGACCGAGGCCGGGAGAATGGCCTTGAGATGCTGGATATATTCGATCGTGCTCTGCAAGATCGACAGCTTATGGAGATGGTCCTCATCGACGCAGGCGGGTACCAGGTGCTTGAGTTGCAGAATCTTATCGTTGATGCGCTCGCGTCGCCGGCGTTCAATCGCAGAGTGCGAGACCTTGCGTAGCAGGTCCCGGGTCTCTTGATCGACAAGCTTGCTATTGGAGGAGGCGCGACGTCTTGTGGGTGTCGTCGTGGTTGAGGTAGCAGTATTAGCGCTGTCCTTGCGGGTCTGTGACCGGGAGGTGCGCTGTGTTGAAGAGCTTGCGGGTGTACTTTGGGGAGGGAGCATCATGAACCGCCGAGGGGAGCTTGGGGCTGAGTGATCAGCAACGGGTGCAGTGGCCGGTGAGCTGAGTTCAGAATGATCCCGATGTGGGAGGATTGTGGAATAAGATCGCGAAGCTGCCTCCTGGGCTCCAGAGGAGGACGAGAGCGCTGAGGCCGGAAGGATCATGGCGGGGATAGACTGCTTCGGTGCCGCCATCGAGTCAGAGTGTGGGCTCGAGAAGTGTCGCGGCTGGTGCTGTGGGGTTGGGTAAGGGGAGAGTGGGCCCATGGCCGGCGAGACCATATAGTGGTTGGGAAGTGGGGACATCTGAGGTGTGGATCGCGGAGAATAGTTGGTCGAATGCGCGGAAGAGGGGAGAGGCGGCAGAGGAGGGAGGAAATGGCCCTGACTAGATTGAGGCTGTATTGCTGGCGACTGATGTGGGCTTTGACGCGGCGCGAATGGCTGAAGGGGAGGTGGGAGCTGGTAGAACCCGCTTGAGGACGAGGAGGAGTATTGACTCGGGTCAGTGATACCGTAATGGGGGCGTGGCACGGGCGAGATGAGAACGTGGCCAGGCGACATGGGAGGCGTGCCATTTGGATAGAGAGTATGGAGCGGCCGAGACGAGCTGGAGGGAGAAGAGGAGGTGCTCGAGGGAGCCGCGGTTTTGCTCAAGTCGCCAAACGTAGGAAGATGATAGCCCGCGGTCGTGTGTCCCTTGGCAGAGTTTCGTGAGTGCTCATGTGCAAAGGCGGCAGTAGGAGAGGTAGCGGTTGATCCAGAGTCTCTGCGACGGTGCGAGTGGTACTTTGGGTCCTCGGGGGTCATGGTGGGTGAGGGATCTGGGGTGAGTGGGGAGGTGAGGGTGGAAAGTATAGAGGAAGGATGGGTGGCGATGAGACCACGCGAGTGAGGAGCAGGGACGATTGGTTTGAAGTGAGGAGTCGACTTTTTTGACGCGGAAGAATCGATATCTGTATAACCCATTTGCAAAGTAGACAGAAAAGGAAGTGGAGAAAATTAGAGGTGTGAGGTTATGAAGAAAAGAAAGAGAGTCGAATTGGGCTGAGAACGTGAATAAAGAAAGAAAGCACTGAGCGCAGAGGTCGGGAGTGGGAGCAAAAAAAAAAAAAAAAAAAAAAAGATATTGTGGTTGTAGCTGGAGTGTATGTGCACCATCGAGGAAGGAAGCACAACAAAGGGAGTATGTCTGAGGAGGAGTTAGTCCGAGGCCAAGACGACAGGAGGAAGAGCGATAAAAACGTGAGGGTGCAAGGTCAATTGGCTGGCAAACTGGACCAGGAAGAGCACAAACGTGATGCGAATGCCGGCCAACGTAAGGACGACTGCCGAAGGGCCAATTGGTCGTGCTACACATCGCACACGCCTCAACTCCGATCTTAGAATTGGACGCAGACTATAACTTATTCAATCTGCAATGAAACTATGAAAAACTAAACAGTGCACATGCACTTCCCCTCTTCCTGACCCTCCTCTTCCTCGCCCCTCTTTGGCTGGAGAGACATGCGATCAGGATTATCTACCTATCTGCCTATCGTTAGCCCCAAACGTGCTGAAGATTCAGTCGTGCGACAGGCAGGCAGGCAGGGATCTCACAGATTCCTTGTGTAGACACTTTTCGATGCCATCATCCTGCACACACACATTTACACACAACAACAACTGCTCTGGCACAAAGAACGCTTATCGCCATCAATGGCCTCGCTCGCATATCTCTTCCGTTATTATCCTGAGCCAGTAGAGCAGCAGCGCAAGCATAGGCCTCAGTGTTGAGAGTATCCAAATGCCCGGACCAAATTTGTCTTGTGTGCGCACGTGGGGGCAATCTGCAAGGGTTGACCAATCCAATGTCCGCGTGCTGCCTCTCAACCTGCTCTGAGCACCAAACATGTCCGTCGATACATTTACCCAGAGCTGCAGGATCGTGTCTTTCTTTCCACGGCCCTATCTTCGTATTTTTTTTTATCCAGTGCTTTCATGGCATAACGGAATTAGAGTAATGTTCCCTTGCTAAAGTCATGACATCTATTCATCCATACTGCATTTGTCGTCGTAGCATGCACGGTGCCTGGGACAAAAAAAAATAAAAATAAACATAAACCTCTTCCGCCTGTCCCTTCACCTTGATCGCCCTGTGTCCGAGACAGACTATACGCCCAGTTTTTCGGTGCATACACTGCATTTGGGCCTCGATTTTACACCTCTTTTCCCAAAGATAATGCACGCGGATCTACTTAAAACGGCCAATATGGCGGGGCTCCTTTCAGTATGATGTTTAATTAACGGACAATCCGCGTTTTTTCAAATGAAGTATGAAGTAGCTATAGTAAAGTTCGCCGATCCACAGTCACCACAAAGTAGGTCGCATTTCCTGGATCTACCCTAGAGCAAATTCTTACGGTCTATCCCAAGGGGCTCAGCGTGTTAAAAGAGATATCCTCTCTCACCCTCCATACTTGATAATCATTTTGTTCCCGTAAGCATCAATAGCATCCGATCCTTACCGTCAAGGTTTAGCACGCAGCCAGGGTAACACGCACCACAAGGGCAGAGATCGGCATCACAAATATATTCACAACCCTCACTCCAATCCTACCAGGACCTCTTGTACGGAGTTCGTTTTAGTTTGGCTGCGACCCTCCATTCTCGCTCCCGAATAATGGTCGCATCGCAGCGTCGTCTCCAAACCAGCTCCGTAGCTTTTTTTTTATCTTATTTTCGGCCACTAGCTTTTGGTAAAGTCTATCAGGCCTTCTGCTTGCGAGCGTGGACTGAATAAACGAGTTTGAACTAAACCCACAAGGGATCTTGATGCAAACGCACAATCAGCTGGGTAAAGCAGCAACTGAAGCAGAATCCAAAACTGCCGCGGCCGAGTTACAGACGGAGACAGAGATGGCGCTTGTTGGGTCTGCGACAATATATATCAAGGGAGGGGACGTGCAATTGAGGAACGTACAGTAAAGCATGCAGGGATGTGCACATACAGAATGTGTATTTAGAGAATACGTGCATTTACAGAATGCATATGCGATTGGATGATAGGCTATATAGATGTTTCCGTGACAACGGTTCTCAACAAGCTAATGCGATCGTTTGTATGGTGTAGTTGGTTATCACGTCTGTCTAACACACAGACGGTCCTCGGTTCAAGTCCGAGTACAAACACTTTTGCCACGTTGCGAGCTTTCACTTTTTTTTTAAAGAAAATCGAGCTGATGGCCACGATGCACCAAATGCGTCAACTATTTTACGTGGATTTCCTCAAGGGGAGGGGTTGTCAAGTAGGTTCTCCCTTTTTTGAGCGGCAACATGTGTGAATGAATGAATGCATGCGAGCTGCCTATCAGCCAGATTAATCCAGGATAACGGTGGCTAAAATCCGGCTCTATGCTTATTTTAGAAAGTACTCGCTTGCTTTATTCCTTTTTATGATTAAATGATATACAACTGCGTGCAATGAGCTCACTGCACGTTTAGAAAGCGCGAGGGTTGCAGTGGATGCCAGACTTTCCACCACCGACAATGACCGAGACCTTGGCACCAAACTCGAAGGGGTTGCCGTTGTAGATCACCAAGCCAGAGGGGTTAGTATGAAGACCGACAATCTCCGCCAAGTTCCAGCTGACGAGACCGACAGCCTCCTTCTCAGAGATACCAAGGTCAGAGCGAGCCCAACCAGCGATCCAGGACAGCTGGCGAACATCCTCGGGCTCATGGGCAGCCAAACCGACCTTAACACCGGCCTTGTACAAAACAGAAAGACCAGTCTCTTGAGAGAGTGGGGCGCCAGGCAAGCACCGCTGGGCAGTCCACTGGACGGGGGTGCAGAGGTACGGACGCAAGATAACTCCAATGTCAGCCTCAGCCAAGTGCTCAGCAACAGTCCATGCCTCGACGGCGCTTAGGAGCGAGATCTTGATCTTAGCGCCATCACGCTCAAGCTGCTTCTTGAGCTGAATGATGCGCACAATCTCGTCCCGGTTATCGACCTCAATCACCAAAGGAATTTTACCGCGAGCAGCGAGCGCAAACTCATTGTCGGCGTGGAACAAATCAGAAATTCCTTCCTTCAAAGCGGTGCGAAGGAATGCGATCTGGGACGAAACAGTAGGGAAGAGAGTCGACTTGATTTCATCTCCAATCTTGACGTGAAGTGCGACCTTCTCCCTGATGATAGCGTCCTTGGGAGAGAAAGCTAGAGCGTCGGAGGAAATTATACCAGGTCAGTGTGATTTTATAATACAAAAATAAGCATTGAATTGCATTGCATTTGTTTACGATTTCATACCATTCTCGGCGCCAGTAAGGAATGCAACACTGACACCCTGGACAACATGTTGAGACACAGGGGCAGTGACAGCGGTGAGGATGCCGGCCTTGTAGGCCTCGTCCATATGTAGCCCACCAAACTTAAGTCCATCGGCAGCATAGACGACATCGGGGTTCAGGTTGTGGCGACCATCTCCAGTCGATGGTTCGGCAGCAATCTCTTGCAAGCCGAGGTTAGGGGCTCCAACAGAGAGCAACGAGGGCAAAACAACACCCTCTCCGCCGAGATCATAGATAGGGCCGCCCTTCTTGGTCATGGCAGCAACTTCGTGGCCGCAGTAACCTGTACAGACGACCTCCCCGTTCTCAATAACAACCTGCAAATCGCCTTCACCGCTGAATTCCTCGTTGCCGTTCAAAAGGATCTTCTTGATTCCAGTAAAGACTCCAGAATCTGCCTTATCAGTACAAGCATTCTTATCCTTTGGAACAGCCAGGTCGGGGAACTCCTGGAACTTTTGAGGCTCGCCTTGCTCCTCCCACTTTGAGGCATCCACATCCTTGATTTGCGCAATACCGTCAATGTAGACCTGAAGAGGATGGGCGCCAAGGGATAGAGGGTGCTTCTCCCAAATGACGAGATCGGCATCCATACCCACAGCAATCTTCCCGATACGGTGATCGAGGCCCAAGGCCTTGGCTGGGACCGAGGTGACGGAGGCCAGAGCCAAGGTTTCAGAGAGGCCGTAGTGGTGAGCCTGGGCAGCCTCGTAGACGAGATGCTGAGAGTTCAGGACGGGGTGGTCACTCTTCATGGCGACCGAGATACCAGCGTCTGCCAGGATCTTGGGGGCGTTGACTGAGCTCTGGAAGGCTTCCTTCTTATAACCAAACTTGCTGGCAAAGGTGGCGACGGTGGGAACAACCTTGTAGGCACGCTTGAGGATTTCGGGAACGCGATAGGCATCGAGTCCGTGGTGGAAGGCTGAAATCTTGAACCTGTACTCATTTGAGTGACGGACCATGGCCTCCAGATCATGGGTCTCGTAGCAGTGGATGTTGAGCTTGACATCGTCTCTGAGAATGCCAACCAAACTTTCATACTGAAGGTCCTCAGGGAAGGGGGTCTGGAGGCGATGGCGACCAAAGCGGGGCAGTTCCTCAGCAGCATGGCACCAGTCATCCTGAGCGCGTCTGAGCTCTGTGGCCTTGGCAAATTGGTCACGGAGGAGCCAGCCCTCACCAAGACGGGTGGACGGCATCTGATGGAGGTAACCACCGTAGAATCTCTTGGGGTTTTCTCCGCAGGCCATCTTCATATAACGCCATTTGTCATCGACACCAGCCTCAACCAGCATGTCGTCCGTGCTGAGGGTGTCAACCTTGCGCAGCTTAACAGTGTAGGCCTCTCCGCCCATGATGTTGCCGGATCCAGGAAGGATGAGCGAGGTAGTCACACCTCCGGACAAGACCCATTCGCGAGCAGGGTCGCTTGGGTTGAATCCATCGATTGAGCGGACGAAGGGTGTCAGAGGCTGGGTCATTTCGTTTGTATCGCTAGTCCCATCCAATGCAGGCCAGGAATCGACGCCGAGATGACTACATTGAATTAAATACATCCGGAACAGGTTTGAATAAGTATACGGATCGAATCATCACCTTGTGCTTCAATTGAGCGCATTAAACTGTCAAGGGGGAAAGAACAAGAAAAAGAATCGCTCCCGCGCGGATGCCAGACCCTTAAACTTCCCACTGTTCCCCTTTCTTGCGTCTCTACCTGTGCATATCAACGATACCGGGAGTGAGGATGTGACCCTTGAGGTCAACGACGACTGCGTCCCTGGGTGCTTCAATCTTGCCGCCGAGCTTGACAATCAGACCATTGTCGACGAGAAGATCGCCCCTGAATGATTCAGACACACCATCAAAGATATATCCATTCTTGAACAGCGTAGGGGTTGTGCCATTGACGAAACGAGGGTTCAGGGTCCTGGTCTCGGGAGCGGGGTACTGGTGCTTGTTCTCTCTCTTGATGGCCTTGCACTTGGTGAGGCCCTGGGCGTAATGTCTACCGGAGAGACCGATATCCTCATAGTGGACCTTGTTGGGCGAGAGCTCGTTGGACGCGCCCAAGAAGTAGGCCGAGGTGGCGAGGAGAGCAATAGCGGCAGTGGCGAGGAGCAGTGTGCTCTTCTTGCGGAGGAAGGCACCCTTCTGGGGCTGGTCGTAGGCATGTCCGACCTCTTCCTGGTCGTGTTGAGGGAGGCCCTGGTAGTCAGCCATTGGTTCAGAAGTAAGTGATCTTGTGGGAATGGACGGATAGACTGGGAGGAACTTTTGTACACGAGATAAGCGAATGAGAAAAAAAAAGGGACGGAGAGGAGGAGGAGGAGGATGGAGGGTGGGGAAGAAGGGAGAAGAGAGCGTTGATGGGAAAAAAGAGAGAGGATAAAAAATAGTTCGTGTTCGTGAGAAGAAAAAAAGCGAGTCCTCAGTGAAAGACGCCTTTATTTGGCATCCAATTGGAACACGACTTGGCAAACGGTCGCGTACTGCGTGTGTACAGAAAATGGCCTCTGCCCATATGTGTCTGCATCTCCTCCTTGCCCACCTTGCCCATCGAACACTTTAACCGCCCATCGAAGGCTTTAACCGCCCATGGTATAGAACCGCACTTGTCCGCAGAGGCGGGCGGGCCAATGGGAGAGACACCCCCTCCCGCAGCCGGACCAGCCTCCCACATGGCTTCCTTTTTGGGAAAGGAACAGGCGACTCTTCGCAACACCCTTATTTTTTGGTGGCACCCATTTATCACGTCTTCTCTGCACGCATAGGCTACGAATGCATCCGCACCAAAACCAGGCATCAGGCACCAGACCCCCAGACACATAAACAGTCAGCCTCTCGACGAGGGCGCCCCTGCCGTCTCATGTGGGGTACACCTAGAAGGGAACAGGAGGAAGGCCTGGCAACTAGAATTCTTTTTAGTTCAGGCCATATCGCTATAGTTGCTTCTTCTCTCCCAGCAGTCCTCCCTTGCTAGCCCATCATACCCCCATGGAAAGGTACAATTGCACCCTCGTACACAAACACCAGCAGCTTTTAGTGTATTTCGCCGCGCGTCTGAATGAGGTGAATGACCATTGTCTCTATAACCTAATAACTTTATGTATCTAGTAGAAAATGTTGATTTGAAAACTTCTAGAAAAGAATACAGGAGTGTTCGTATAAAACTAAGCTCTAGTACTAGTCTTGCTGCTGACAACCATTGCTCTTGCCATTGCTCTGGCTGGACCGATTGACTCGCCCACTGCTCAGCTTCAGGCCTGTGCCACTATCGACCGGAATGCCGTCCGTGCCAAGACCCATCCCAAAGTCCTTGATGGGCCCTCCGTAGCTCCCGCCTATTCCACCACTCACAGTTCTTTGACGCTGTCGAGCCGAAGATCCTGGCTGAGACTTGAGTGCACGTTGACGTGGGCCCTGAGTCCGTGTTGAGGGTAACTTTGGAGTAAAGTGCCCACGAGGTTCCTCATCGATGACGTACTCCTGGATACAGTTTTGCGATTGAGACCCCGAAATGCCGTCTTCCTGGTCATCAAACACGGGACCTGCGAGACCTGAGCTCTGTCGAATAACCTTGGGCATACGGAGAGAACTCATTTCCGAGCTTGCGTTTGTCCTTGATGATTGAGTGGCACCTGAGGGTATCCGGTTTTCATCCCCACCGGTCGACCCCATACTTGACAAGCAGACGTGGGATGTCGTGCAGTTAGAGAGTTCTGGATCTACGCGAGGCATCGTCAAAACCATGTCGCGTTCGCCTGCATGTTCGATTGCTGCACTATTTCCAGTTTCAACACTGTTCCCAGAGAAATTGGTAGGGAGTCCTAAAGTGACGACCTGCATCCTAGCCTGAGCCAAAGCATCCCCAACCAGTCTCTTGTATATCTTTTTGTTGTAAACATCATGGATACCGTCGCCAGTCGTATTATGATAAGGGACTTGATCGCCAAAAAAAAAAAAAAATAGAAGACTGCATGTTAGTCAGCCATCTCGTATTTGAAATAGATGTTGGTGTTGAGCACACGGAAATTGACTTAAAAACATACCGAACCATAGCCACCATTCGATGCCCATTTTGCTATTCCAGTTTTCCAACCGGGAACCACGATCCCAGAGACGCTCACCATGCTCGACCATTACCACGTTGTATCCGATTTCGGACATGAACAGCGGCAACATTCCTGTTCCGGCAAATGCTGCGCCCAATGCCCCCTCAGATGCTGAACCCGCCATATTTTGATACTGTACTCGTATGAACGTGTTCCTCACATCATGAAGGGCCTCGATCGTTGTCCGATTGTTGAGGATGTGCGAGGTATGGGCTGCTGTGAAGGAGACGATTAGCAAGGCTAGTAGAAGTGTGACCACGGTGATGATGATCCACTGGATATCCAAGGGATACACGGTCATATCCCCAGATACGTCCTTCACCAAACATCCAATTTGCTGTCTATGACCCTCCATGGGCGTGTCTTTCATAGTCGGATTCCCATTGTGCGGAGAGCCGCTGCTGGCTGCACATCTTAGGACTTGGACTAATAGAGGAACCATTGAGGCGATGACCCAAATAGAGGAAACGGAGCCATAAAAGATGAACAGATAGAAGTACTTGTAGTTGCCGAACCCAATGCATCCGTTTATCCACGGACAATGGTGGTCCATCCGGAGCACACAGCTGTTGCATTCAGAGCAGTGGTGGCAACGGTCTGGCTTGACAATTCTGCAAACGCTGCACCACCGAGGACGACCATTTCGTTTCGAAACGCTAAGGGTAGCAATCGGTCGTGATGTATCATCCCCATTCGATGCCTGACAAGATTCCAGAGCTAGGTCAGAAATGTCGATACTGACTCTGCCCCGGTCGCTTGTAGGGCCAGCTCTGCTTGAGCTGTTATCGATATTCCCTTGGGTTGCACTTCTAGAGGGGATGGTAATGACACCATGGATGTCTCCATGTCCAACAAGATCGCCTGTTGACGGGGACAAGTACATGACTGGACCCTGTGCGATTGGAGCAACAGGCGCTGTGGGATACTTGGGCATAATGACAACTGATGCCGCCTGCGAACTTGCGTGCTGTCGACTCTGGCCTGAACCAGTGCTGCTCGAGGCAGACCTTGACCTAGGCATCGCTGAAGCATGTCCACTCGATGGCAGGGAAGATGGGTCTGGGTCTGGAATGGCTTGATACGGAGTCGTCAATAAAGGGATAGGTTGTGATGGCACTCGTACTGGAGGCTATGCAAGCGAGGGGTGGGGATCACGCGGGCGTTAGTCTGGCATTATAGCGTATCTAAGCCATAAGATAAACCCGCACAGACATGATGTGTTTTGAGATCTGTGATAGTCCATGGGGTGCGTGTGTGTGTGGGTAGGACATACACGTTATAGTGCGCACTGTGCTTGGAGGAGGCAGACTTACATTAGAAGGTGAGCCAGGTCCACAATAGATACTCAAGGCATAGGATACAAAGAACAGCAAAATGAATGTTGTAAACGCAGCGAGGTATATGCCTAGGGACACATGAGAGGGGAGTTGACGACAGGCAATGGGTAAGAGTTGGGTTAGAGTGGAAATAAAAAATAACGACCACGGCTACATGGTACCGCTTCAGCTAAACGAACGGCGTGTCTTTCAGACAAAAGGCGCTCCGATCAGATGCAGCGAAAAGAAGGAGTGCTTGTGCGCGTGCGCGTGTATGCGCTTGTGCAAATTGTGTGAATGTGTTACTGCCCTTGTTTGGATTAAGGTTGACTTCAGATCGTTGTGTTTTCCTGGCCATCTTAGTTTCTTTTACAGCACTCTCGCCGTTAGACCATGCATTAATCAAACTGTACTCTCATGGGGTCGTAACCCCTTAAACAATACCATGAAAGGACACAGACTAGACTCCCTTTTCTTTGAGATGCCACACCTCCAAATAATACTTACTGGCTCGAAGGATGTCGCGTTTGATCTTCAGGAGGTAACCAACTGCATAGTCACGTAAGAACAAAGACGCGTTGCGGTCATGTCAGTCCCACGCCGACATGCGGATATCATCATTGCAGGTGCCTCTTGTCTTAATGCAAATGCAGGAGTAAATGTAAACTTACCACAGACATGAGCGGCGTAGATGTAGTAAATGTACATCACCAAGAGGGATAACACGGGCGGAAGGGTCCTTGACACCAAACGGAGCCATCGTCTTGGGCGACGCTCGTAGCTCACATCCTGAGCCGCTTCGATCTCATGGAGGGGGTCCATGCCATCGATTACTGTGCTCGGTAACGCAGGCCCCGCTGTACTTGATGGTCTCAAATATTCTAATACAAATTCTTCCATTTGGTGCGATTCGAGGGGCTGATGCATACTTGTCATTCCCGACAGCCGAAAGTGTGGACCCGGGAGGGTGCGTCCGGGCTGGGACTCATCCTCGATAGCCATTGAGGCTTTACTGATTGATTGCGGCGCGTTTCAGACAGTTTGGTTTCCACCCTCTATTGAAAGGCAGTTGAAACTGGAAATGAAAAGGGTCGATAAGGGTTCTTTCGTCCACTGTAGGCGGGAGACGCATCCGCGAGATGTCACAAAAAAAAAAAAAAAAAAAAAGTGAAAGAGAAAAGCAGAGAACTTTAGCTCATTTCAATTGCTGAATAGGACCCAGATGTTATAGGCTTGAGGGCAATTGACCCCTGTTGTTGTTTTTTTAGGAGGCCCCTTCCTTGTTGACGTGAGAAAGAGTGGATGACTCTTCGGAGGCAAATAGAACCAAGAAATAAGGTTGAGTAAAGTGCACAAGACTTTTGCTTTTTCCTCCGAAACGTTTTTTTCCAACGGATCTTGAGATGGTGAAAGAAGGAGGACGACGCCCTGTAACGAGTGGCGAGGGTGCCAGATGAGGTCGTCTTGCTGGAGACAAACGATCATAAAAGTCGACATAGCATGCGAGGGGAATTTGTCTGATCTCAGGAGACATAGATACTAAAGGGAAGATTTCTCTTCTCCTTAGGATAAAAAAAAAGATATGTACAAGTTTGAGGGCTGTATGAAGGAGGAAAGAATGAGGCAGGGACCGAGGGGGAAGGGGTCTGAGAGCGGCATAAAAATTTATTTCGCAAAGATTTTACGCCAGCCTCCATAACTGCAAACACAGCAACATGGTGGATGCAGAGTAGGAGACAAATGCAAGATAAAGGAGGAGGAGGAGGAGGAGGAGGAGGAGAGAAAGAGAACTGGCAGGGTGGCAAAGCTGTTGCCTCAGCTACTCGGTGTGTATGTATGTATGTATGATGTATGTATGTATGTATGTATGTATGTATGTATGTATGTATGTATGTATGTGTGTGTATGTGTGTGCGTGTGTGTGGATAGATGACGGTGTTCAAAATAGTATTGGGTCAATAGGGCTAATTGGTCAATTGATTGATGGATGCGTGACAAAGGAACACTCAGGTGTTGCTGTATTAATGTTGGAGCGAGAATGAACGAGGGCAAGGAGGTGGAGAGAAATGAGGAACGAAGAAGTCGGGGCTCGAGGAGATAAGAGGACAGATCATTATTTTTTTTTTTTTTTTTGATAACTAGAACCCACGAGGATATGTGGGATTTATTAGTGAGGGACTCTAGACTAGGGAACCCTATTGCTAGAGGCATAGTAAAGGGTGCTCAATATTCTAATAAACGGCTTTTGCCGCACCGCTGCTGGTCACTCGCAGCTCCAATCCCCTTCACAATCCCAGTCAGCATGAGTGGTAACTCGACCCCGCCTGGGGTCGGTGACTGAGCCCTGCTCCCTACTTGGCCTGTTGTGCGCGAAGGTCATCCTTTAGCCGCGTTCCTCAATCATCAAAAATTTACAGTTGCCGGTGCGTTCCATCACGTTTAGCTCCACCTGCTGCATGCAGCTTTGCAGCACTCGCTTGTCCGCTCGTTCCTCGATCTCTTTCACATCCAATGCACGTCGTTGTCTCCTGGAGGATCCAACAAAACCACTACCACTACGTCTGTGCTCTCCAACACAGTTGCGTCCCCGGGCGCGTTTGCTCATGGTAGTGATCCCATTTTCTCTTTCCCAGTCGACGGTGACTTTGCATCTTTTGTTCCAGATTTCTGTCCGTCCGAATTCCTCGATGGCCTTGACGAATCGACCGACCATGTACCTCGCGATCGAGGTGGTCGTCTTGAATAGGCTCTCCCAGTCCTTGGCGAGAGCCGCTGGTGTCAGTCCGTGGTACAAATCTTGAACCGTCCAGGCCCCTTGATCGTTGTCCCTTGTCTCGTCCTCCACACGGCCGAGTGTGTTGCTTGCTTGCCGGATCGCCGAAGCTCCCTTGATCTTGTTCTTGAGTGCTGTCCAAATGGCCTTGTCTGTCACCTGTGTGAAGCTTGGTCCCTGTCCTCTCGCGGCTTGTCCTCGCTCCTTGGCTTGCTTTTGCTTCGTCTCCCACAGCTTGCGCTCTTTATTCCATGCTCTACGTCCATCTGTGTTGACCTTCTCGATTGCTTCCTGCCAACCGTCCTGCTGCTGCTGCATCGTCATTTCGCAGCGCCATAGATGCTGCGTGTCCTCTTTATCCACCTCACAAAGTCTGCAGGTGTCTGTGCTATACAAATCCGGCCGCCACTGCTTCATGTACGCCAGCGTCGGCAACATTCCGTGCAGCTTCTTGATCCTGTGCGCACGACGCTGACAATCGTTAGGGCTAGTGAATAATCCCTTCGGTGTGTTGCCGTTGTGAATGATGTGCAGTGTTGCTTTCCAGTCCACCAGGTTCCAATCCTTGATGTTTTCCTTAGTCCTGTTCTGCTCTGTCCATAACGCGTTCATCCTTACCGTTGATTGGCGTTTAAGTACCTGCCTCAGATCACCCTCAACGACCGCGCCTTTGAACATGGCGTGGCACTGGATGTCATTGTGTTCCTTTTCATTGATGGCCCAAAGGTCACTGAAGTGCGCCTCTTTTGCTGCCTTGTCCGCTGCCTCGTTGCCCTTATGGCCTGCGTGCCCTTTGATCCACTCCACCTTGATCTTCCCTCCTTGATGTACATATGCGTTGTGCACTGCCGACCACCAGATCGCGTAAGTCGACCGCAGCCTTTGGCGTTCCGTGCTTCCTTGTCTCCCACTCACCAAGGCTTTAAATTGCGTTACCACAGCCGAGTTGTCAATGTAGATGGTTGTTGGCGTGTTCCTTGGACTGGCCAGGATTGCTGCAAAAAGCCCTGCAAGCTCCGCTTTAGTCGATGAAGCAAATCCTGCGATCCTGCCCGTTACCACTGTGTGCATGGCGTCTTGATTTTCCTGCGCTACCACGCCGAATGCCATTCGGACACCCTGCTTTCCTGCTTCTTCCATTGAACCGTCCGAAAACATTACAACTTTGTCCAGTCCTTGCAGTCGGGTACGCTGTTGCTGGATGTGGCGCAACACTGCTGCTGGAATACTGACCCCGAATGTGTCTCCTATCGGACGTTGCGTATCGTCTGGCAGTGCTCTATAGCGTAACGTTGGCATTGCATCCATCTGCTCCCGCGCCAGAGTACGGAGCCTTGCTCGAAGTGCCCCATTGTCCAATCCTGGATCTCTGCCGCGCAGTTTGGTCCTGAGTCTCGCATTTTTGCTTGCTTCCCTCTTCCTCATGCGCCGCTGTATTCGCCGCCTGTCAGCACGTCGCCTGTCAGCCTCACGTTTAAGCCGCTGCCGGTTTGAGTTGTGATCCCGTGTCTGTTGCCTCGTGTTCCTGATACTCTCCTCCAATCTTCTCCTAACCTGTGCCTGCCTCCTTCGTACTGCTTCCGTTTTTCTCCTGTGCACTTTCGTAGCTGTTTCGTTGTGTTTCCGCCATATCCTACTGTTCTCGTTTGCCTCCCACTCTTTTTCTTTCCGATACTCGTTGCGTTCGAATGCGACTCCCATTGCTTCCTCCACTTCGGCGCGTCGTGTTGGGTGAATCTCTTGGCTCTGCTGTAGTCCTGCTTGTACATAATCTTCCTTCCTTCGCTCCCTGTCTGCTGGTTCCTCTGCTGGTCTCTGTCTCGGTATTTCCTGCGCTACGTTCACCTCCCTATACTCAGCCATCTCCATCGCCTCGAGTTCGGCTGTCACTGCAGCGACTGCAGTCTCCTCATCCTCCGTTGCTCCTTCGACCTCAGTGGTGTAGCTGTCGTAGGCTTCCTGTACTTTCTGACCGTAAGAGGACAGATCATTATTTTTTACTCTTATTACAGACAAGCGACACATACCCTAGATGTACAGCATTCAAATAGGGTGTCGATGCCCCTGATCGGCTCGCTGCTTTGCCCAATCTGATGTTGCCCGCTTCGTTTGGAGTGGCTCGTTTTCCCAACATGAAAGGCGTCTCGACTGCCTTGAAAGGAAAATGTGGCGAAACGAGACGTACCATTCAGATTTGCCCGCTTGGATGCTTCGTTTTGAGTAAATGGCCTTGTTACTCATTTGTCTTGACTGATCATGCTGCATAGGTGTTGCTGTTCGTCAATACTTGCTGTTTTCCAGTTTGCAACTTCCCACCACCAACACAAACAACCATGCTGGACAAGGTAAGAAGGATATCAAATAAGAAGGTAGTAGTTTTATTGCAGACAGGAATGAAAGCACTAACTATGCTAGGGATATTTATACGCGTTATCAATAATCTGGCGGACTGTTTAGACGCGTCTTGGGACTATGAAGAGTCGGAGCCGGTGACAGGTACGAAACTCAGTGGCGGGACTACTCAATACAACGCGTGGGGCGCAATCATAGCTCCGCTGGGGACTGTCCGTGATAGCGATATCGTGGCCGGCCACAGCATCGGCAATGCAGTCCGTGGCCATCTGATTAGCCAGCAGTGACCCCTTTGCCTCCAGCCCAAAGATATCGATGGGAACCATTTATGGATGCAAACTGAAAGGTCTCGCTCAGTGGGCAGCAGTAACAGAGACCGCCAGAGCCGTGTTAGACATGGTGCGGTCAAGCGAAAAGCACCGTCAGAGTGGAAGGATTTTCCAAGGCGCAAGATAATTCAGGACAAGTAGTTGTAGACATTTTGTGTGTAAGCAAGCACATAGTCTTAGTTTAGATCTAGGAGGGGCGTACGGTTCGTCACTTCGATGACGTAATTTTCGTACCCATTGTCCTAGAATCGAGCCAGGCTCACACCGCTTTCTTGATCTATGAGTGGAATTCACAGTCCACCGTTGTGGATCAACGCATTGACATGGACCAAACTCCAGCTCCAACCACATCGCGCATCCTATGGGTCTTGGACCAGTCAAAGAAGAATGAACACGTATCTCTGCCCAGCTTCGCCAAGCACTTCAATTATACTGATAGAGTGTCAGCGAACGAAGCGTTCCTTGTTCTTATCAACTCGTCCAAAATCAACGAAAGGCGGCGGAAGCGCCTAGAGAAGGCACTCGCAGAATTCAAAACGAACCGCGAGGAGGAGTTCTGGACAAATGTTCAAACGAAGCTGAATACGAGAGTGTCTGCCAAGAAGGCTGCCGTGATCACGCAGCAGGTAGGGCTCCAACAAGCCAAATATGAATACACGCAGCACTCTCTGAGCCAGGAACGAGCGAGCCAGGAACATCACCTAGAAACACTGGCGGAGAGTGAAGGTGATACGGAGGAAGGCGGGGACGATCGTGAGAAATCCGCCACGGAAGGTAGTAGACCGTCTCATAGCAGTGGTCGTAATTTAGCAATGATGATACCTATTAACTATATGCATTGCCTCTCATTTTTGAAAGGAAATCAAGAGACCATCGAGGAGGTTGAGGGGATGTTGTCGTATTCGATGATAACGCCTTTTTATACTCTTATTGATTACATCTACAGGAAGGTGAGTACGTGAACACCGAAACCCCAATTCTCTCGCTCTCTCGGGTGCTGCATATGCAGCCGAGTCCAGTGTACTTTATTGCCATATAAATCCATTAACTCTGAAACTTAATTTAGAGTTGATTAATAAATATCGTGTCTCTTTCTCACTTACTTTTGGAACCTCATTATATTTCACCAAGATCGCCAACCTTTGTAATTTCCATTACTCCATCCTATCGGTCTAGGTCCGTGGTGAGTCGGCTGTGCTTCCCAGAATTCCGTCCATCATCTCTTCCAACCATAAGGAGATGTTCGAGTGCGCTCAACAAATGCTTCTGGATGATGAAGCACCTGCGAGTCGTTCGAAGGGGAGTAAAACTCAGGAACTTGTGTTGAACAAGGACTTGTTGTAAGTCAATCCCTTCCTGCTTGTGGGCAGTGTGTGTTTATAAGATCATGCACCCCATGGCTTATATAACAATTGCAAACTAAGATGATGCAACACTCAAACAATAGGGTACTTCTTTCTGGGATCATTAACACGATCCCGACAGGGGCGGTTGACAATCTGTCTCTTGCTGCCAAGATCAAGAGTCAGTCAGCGCTACCAAGCTTTCAAGTGAAAGAAGAGCCCGTCATACTTCTCTTGGAAGACATGCTTCTTGCACTTTGCCCAGGGTTCGACAATGACCCGTACGCCGTGCCACATTTGCCAAGCCTGCAGCAGTGGATTTAGGCCCAGCTAGCAGTGTTTCTCGACTTTTATTCGACTTGTGCTAGGCTAATGTAAAATTCGAATGAAATTCGAAATTCGATTCGACAGTTACATTGGCCTAGCACGAGTCGAATAAAAGTCCAGCTAGCCACTGTACATGACACAGCTGAGGCTTCGAGAAGTGCGAGACGAAAAATTCTGCTGGTTATGAACCACATTTGCACTATCATAGAGTCAAATCAACTCGCCCCACCCTCCACTGAGCATGTATATGTCTCGATGTGGGCGTACATCCTGAACTTTCTCTTGGACACTCAACTCACTCGAGGGATCCCGTAAGTTTCATCTGTGCTTGTTCATCCGCGGTGCTCCTTACATGATTGTGTACCTTATCATTAGTATTAACATTTAATGCTCAAAAAGGAGAGCTTTCGTCCCCAGCAACCAGGAATGCGAGGCTCGTGATCGAGAAGGACTTTGGGGCCACCTCGAGGTACATTGGGAGTAGGAAGGTAGACATGTCGCTCCGCGTGTACTCCAACTTCAGCTGGGAAACAGAGATCTCTGTGTTCGAATTCAAGCCTGCCAATGCAAGTGCGGATGTGTGTGATCACCAACAAAGAAAGTCTGTTCGTCTGAACACCGCTGTGCTACTGGAAAGAGGGCTAGATGCTGCAGTCCACTTTCCTGTCATCGCGGAGGGCCGTGGTTTGCACCTTGATTTTTACACCTTGCGCCGGTATGAAGATGTGCATGGAGCAGGAAAGACCACCAGCAAGAGTGTCTGGCTTCCTTACGACGAGTACACCTTGAAGGAGTGGCTCATGTCCGACTCATTGCATATCCTTCTCGCTTTCACGGTAACGTTGAAATGACAAGAGCGTCGACTACGTATGGCACTCATGATGATGCATTGATCCAATCTTCCAGCTTCTAACCTGGTTTTCGATCAATTTTAATAAAACAAAGGCACACTATAGGCTTTGCATGTGCTATGAGGCAAACGCTAGCTCGCGCGATGAAGGAGCTACTACCATCTACATCTCCACAAAACAATCAACCTCCCCCTCCTTCCGTGCTGTTCATTCCTGCCAAGTCCAATAAACGTGCGTGGCCAGACGTCGATGCTGAAGACGTTTAAGGTTGGACCAACCTGGCGCCCTTAACTTCCTTGGACATAGCAGCTAGAGTCCCCGTCAGAAAGTCGCGGCCCAATATATTTGAATAGAATGAATACCTTCCTTTGTGGAGCGTAGCTTGAATTTTTGTACGGCTGGGCGATCCTATAGGCGTCCCAGGGTTTGACGACAGAGAAAAAAGACAGTTGGCTCATCATCGTTAGTGATTCTTGCTGAAGCAAAGTAAGACAGAGAGAAAGAAACAAACAATGGCAGGGTGTGTGTGCTTGAAAGGAAATGTTCGCTGTGTGAATACAGAGTACCATTCAAGTGCGCAAAAGGTGAAAAGTAAAAAATTCACCTTCGGTAACAAAGTTATCCAATCGTTGACGATATTATCTTTTTGATGTTTTCTCCAAATCGAAGTGAAAAACGAAAGTGAATTTCTCCTTTCTTCCACTTCTCCCCTACCTCTCACCTCACCCGCATGTTTCCAAACAACAATCACAGCACCAGCAGCAGGTGCAGCAGCAGCCTCCACCATACTATACCTCACCTGCTCCCTCAAACGCCTCTATTGAACCTACCAATGATCCGTTTCCCTACTACTCAGCGCCCGCCGAACCACCTCTGTCTGCTCATCAACAGTTCTCCTTTTCGAACGGGCAGCAGAATCTTTACAGCTCGTCCCACTTTGCCCAGTCTCATCGGTACGCACATTCTTCGGAATCTTACCGCTTCTTTCACTCCGTCGGACAGTCGTCTAAGGTGCACGACATGAATAGTTTGCGGGCCAACCAGCCGCCTTTCACTCGTTCTCAGTCAGCCATACCAAGCACCATGCAACAGCTATCCCTGCCCCTTCTACTTCCTACGCCTTTGGCACAAGCTGCACGCGCCACAACATCCGCCTTGCAACCTGCTCGCCTTTCGCCCACGCCAGATCCCCGAATTGAAGCTGATACATCTATCAAAGCCAAGCGCGCCAAGACCTTTTGGAACACATTGGGGATGGAGACATTCTTGGACTGGATAACCGATCCTTACAATCACGAGAGACTCAACAAGAAACATCCAGTGGCTGGTCAGAGAGCAATCGACCTATATGACGAGATCAGCAAGGCTGTTTACGATAAACACAGGGTGACTTGGGATAACAACCATGTGAAGTACAGGATCATCAATGCAAGGAAGAAGTACGACGCTGCCAGAGCACTATCGGAGGTCACTGGAGGAGGAGAGACGAGAGATGTTGACGCGCTTCGCAAGGAAATGCTCGTCTTATGCCCTCCCTTTGATCGACTTGATGCAGTATGGGGAGGTACGTTGGCAAGGGATCCCCCTCCTCCAAGAGAGACATGCAACCGCAGAGATGAGGAATACTACAACATAGAGACTTCCCCAGAAGTAATAGAGACGGATGAGGATGAGGATAATCAAACTACTGCTGTCCAGGATGATAGCGATGTGAGGGCCACGCCAGCGAAGAGAGGTGCAGCGCACGCCAGGACAGCAGGAAAGCGTCGAAAGGGTAACGACGGCCTACCAGACTCCTTCCAGGCGACCCTTGATGCGATAAGAGGAGCGTTCATCAACGCTAGAAATACCAACACAAACGCGGGCGACAATGCAAGTAATGTCACTCTAGGCTGGGCAGAGTTGATACGCAAGCAGGAGGAGATGTTGGCAAAGAGCCGAGAAGACCTCGAAGAGGAAAAGAGAAGCATCAAAATGGAGAAGGAGATAGAGAGGAACGAATTAAAACGATTAAGAGAGGAATTCAAGCAGGAGGTGGCAGAATTCAAGCGCGAGGTGGTAGAATTCAAGCGCGAGGTGGTAGAATTCAAGCGCGAGGTGGCGGCATTCACAAAGGAGAGGTCTGACTATCTTGCTAGGCGTGAGAAGGATGGGAGTCGGGTGGTGGTGGAAACTATGAAGTCATAATCGGTGGCTATGCGCTTCAATGGTCAATGGTGTTTAAGCACCCATCTCTTTATTTTCTCCCTTCTCTCCACCCCTTGCTGCCTCTCATTCTGTTCCTCTGCTTCTTCTGGTATTTGCTGATCATCTGCTCGAAGTCGCGCTGCTATATCTCTAACGACCGTTTCGTCTACGATCTCTTCCTGAGCATCCCTGCGAATAAAGTTGTGCAACACCATGCAAGCTACGATCCACTGGGATGCCTTGCGAATGTCTCTCTTGGAGTCGATGCATATTGGTAGGTTGTGTAGCGATTGGAATTTGCGCTTTAGCATGCCAAAAGCATGCTCGATCTTGACGCGGGCAATACCATGAAGCGCGTTGAAGACCTCTTGGTCACCGGTAGCATTCTTGTATCGGGGAATAACTGTGGTGGTCAGGGCATAGGCGGCATCTGCAAGCAGATACTCTTTTCTTCGAAAGAACTCGTCCTTTCTCTTGTAAAGCGAAGTGTTCTTGTATGCCGTGGAGTCATGCATTGATCCGATGTAGCCGGTGGACGCGTAGATAAAGCGACCTATATGATCACAGATGGCAGTTGCACCCATTGCATACCTGTATTTACGCGTGTTCCAAGTCTTAGTCTCGTACTTCGGAGCCATATCGAATGGAAAAGGAACGCCATCCACAGCTCCAATGCAGTTTGGAAAGCCCTTCTCCTTTCTGAACCATCGGCTTATTTCCGCCCGTCTCTGATGGTCCGGCCAAACCACAAAGTTCTCCGCCAGCGCGTCAATAGCCTCGATGCACCACCCGGTATAACCGTGAACGGACCCCTCGCTGACACCGAAAATCCACGCAACCTTCTTTATCGATATACCTTTGGTGCCAAGGCGAAACAGTGTGATGTTGAGCCGCAGCTTGATGTTCGATAGCCCATCCTCGTCGTCGTAATCCCTTTCCACTAAGCCGTAGTGTCCAGCGATCAGCTCTGCCATGTCTTGGAATTCGACAGGTGTTAAGCGTATGATGGCCTTGAAGTCGTTATCATTGTACTCATCGAGTACCCTTCTCAAATCTGCCGAAGTTAGTCTGCGGCCCCGAGGTAGTAGGTGCCGGTGTTGATATAGGTGCGTAACCAGCAAGGCATATGCCTCGACCTGATGGATGTTGACCGGAAGGGAGTGCTCCATGAGAACGAGTGCTACACCACATGCCAAGAAGAACTCCTGAAGACAGGCGCTGATGAGTCGTTGTCTGAGTGTTGGTCGAGCCCGAGGCATATCTTGAGGTGTGTGAACAAAGAGAAAAGTGAATTCCCTTCGCCATCATTTGTGAACGAAGAATAACGAGGAAGTAAACTTTGAATTCTACTGGCTGATCTCAACGCCATTATCATCCAATGGAATCCATCTTCACCAATTCACTTATTTACTTCAATTCGCGCTTGAATGGTACTCAGTTTGCCACTATCTCTTTGATCTACAAATACATGAGACCAAAACGTAGTGATTAGTGTCTGCAGAGTACCTTTTGTTATTGCCTGCAAAAGCAAAGGTCCAATGCTCTCTTTCTCGCCTTCGTCCAATGGACCTGATCGTCCGTATCGCCACTGTTGGTCATGTCACTCTCGGCATCATCACGTATGGTTGAAAAGAGAAGACGAAACATGGTTTGATAAGTAGCTGGTCTAAAGCGCGATGCATGTGGTAACCAGAATACAAAATAGCAGTGGGAGTCAAGCGATGGATGTCATAGCGCCATCGTGTGGCACTTGCTATGCGACCCATCACTTGACCATCATGTCGCAACCGACCTGGTCGACAGACCGTATCAGACTAAATCTGTATCCACTCAACAGTCAGGCTGCCTTTGACAAGATATTCTACCATGACCACACATATTTCAAAGAAAGAACATCATAGCGCCAACGTGTGGTACTTGCTATGCGACCCTTCCAATGACCAACCTACCGCAACCGACCTGGTCGACAGACCGTACTCAGACTAAATCTGTATCCACTCAACAGTCAGGCTGCATTTGGCAAGCCGTTTCTGTGTGGTTCTAAAGGAAATGTGCGCACTTACCAAGTCATGGGCGCGAGAGATGTAAGGAGGGTATGGTGAGTGAAGGGTGATGACCATCGGAAGATGATGTCGTTTTGGGAATAAAAGCGCGTAGATTCAACCTTCATCACTAACTCATCAGTTCTCACCCACTTCATAAACCTCGACAGTGGTATGGCTCTTGGCACCTCGTAGTTATTAAGAGATACTTCGTTGATAGTGCTAGACGCTTCGTTGATAACATGTAGCACGGCCATACCGCTGTCGAGGTCTATGAGGTGGGTGAGAACTGATGAATTGGCACAGCGCGGTTCGCGTCAACTTGCCTTAACTGCATGGCAAACCCTTAAAGACCTTCCTTTTATAATTTTTGCTCCAGCCCTGAATTGACACGGGCTATTAAGCACGCAGAGCTGACGGAGGAATGCATGAAAGCTAAATCACGCGTACAATAATATCGAGTGCGACAACAACAAACCTGCCCGATCGATGAGACTGAAAGAGACAACGAGCGCTGCAGCTGTTGGGTGGTGTTCATATACACAAACCGCTTGTGCACAAAGCGGACCAGACTTCTCGATAGAGCCGACTCCGTTCTTTGCATCGGCGATTTCTTTTCTTAATTGCTTGGCGATCGAAGCGAAAAGCATCCTTCGACTATGAGGTGAGAACTATTGCAACCCTACAAGATAGGTAACCCTTCATCAGTCATTCGAGCATGCCTGTACTCGAACCTCCGCATGATGAACTATCACCGTACCGCAAAACCCTACTTGACAACTTGGTTTGCCAGTCATATATTTGACAACCCCTCCCCTTGAGGAAATCCATGTATCCACGTAAAATAGTGGAATAATCTATATCTATTTGACAACCCGGGTTGTCAAATAGATTATTCCTTGGTGAAGAGGAAGGCATCGTGGCCATCGGCTCGATTTTTTTTAAATTATTTATTCGCCGACCGGTCGAAAATGCTTATTTGCCGACCCCTACCTACCATATGTAGATGTGTGATTATTCGTCGACCCCTCTGCTATTTGCCGACCCTTACTTCCTTGGCTGCATACAAAAGTTATATGTCACCCGATCGACTCGTCATATCCCTTCTTGTCTATTGTCGCCCCATCAACTAGACATATGGATCCCCGGCTGCTTGCTACCTCATCAACTTGTTATATTGCTCCTTGCCTGTTTGTCACCCGGTGCCATCTAAAATGGCTTTTTTTAATCTTACAAATGAACAATGAGATTCACCCCATTACATTGACTCCATATTGATCTCCTATATATCAACTAGAGCTAGGATCTTGCGCGCGCGAGGTCTTTTTATTTTTTTGATCTTATTAAAGTTTTTAATATGTCGAGGTCGTCCTCGGCTTTTTACGTTTACTGGGCTGCTCCATGCTGCTCTTGAGTCGCTTTCCCTTGGTTCTTCCCTTTGTAATTGCGATCATTGGGCCTTCAATGGCAAATAGACCCATTTTTTCATTAATGGCCTTGTTCAACATCTTCAGCGCCGCTATGCACATCCCCGGGTCATCTAATGACTGGCTCGCTAAGTGTTTGGCTTTACCCGTGATTTCGCCATAAAATCTGGCCATGGGTAGCTTAGCCGCACTCGGTCGCACCCCCCTTGCTGCAATGAATAGATAGGGATCCATGTGGCTAGTTGATGGGGCGACAATAGACAAGAAGGGGTATGACGAGTCGATCGGGCGACATATAACTTTTGTATGCAGCCAAGGAAGTAAGGGTCGGCAAATAGCAGAGGGGTCGACACATCTACAGTACATATGGTAGGTAGGGGTCGGCGAATAAATAATTTGAAAAAAAAGTGTAAGCTCGCAACGTGGCAAAAGTGTTTGTACTCGGACTTGAACCGAGGACCGTCTGTGTGTTAGACAGACGTGATAACCAACTACACCATACAAACGATCGCATTAGCTTGTTGAGAACCGTTGTCACGGAAACATCTATATAGCCTATCATCCAATCGCATATTCATTCTCTAAATGCATGTATTCTCTAAATGCACATTCTCAGTGCAACACCGTCCTGGCTCGCCTACGAGGACGCGCACAGGCTGCCTTAGACTCTGCTGCTCGGCGCAGAAAAGCACTTTTGCAAGACATCAACTCACAACGCGCACGTGCATCGCAAGCGATACATGCCCAGTACGGTACCCAGCAGGCACGGGAGCGCCGACGCCTGCGTAACAGCGAACGTCGACTACAGCGTCAACAACAACGAGAGTTGCGTCTACTGCCTCAACGCCAAACGTATCCATTGCTGCCTGTACACCAGCTGTCTGAGGAGGTGGGCACATTATATCCAGACAGAACCACAATTGGACCAGTCAGCTTATCACACGCTGAGGCAGTTGCTGTGTCACAGCTGCGAGAATCTCCTGTCGACAACACAGCACCGCGAGTCATCTCCTCCGATGGCTCTTTGATTAACACTGGTCAAGAAGACGTAGCCATGGCCTTTGGGGTCGTTGATCGATCGCAGCCCGTGGTCAGGTGTGTGCAGGGCCGCACAGACGGGTACGCTTCTTCAGCAAAAGCAGAACTCATGGGTCTCCTAGCTGCCATCCTATCTGCACCACCAGACCAAAACATTATTGTGGAGCTCGACAACCAAGCGGTCGTGCAACAATACCAGCAGCTTGTGCGTTCCCGTGCGGACACGTTACCTCGTAAGCGGTTCCGTAGTACGTACTCTGGACACTGGGCAGCACTACACAAAATTGTCCAGGATCGGTCTGGGTCGGTGGAGGTGAGGTGGGTCCGTGGGCACAGCACCAACACTGGCAACAATATTGCAGACACTGTGGCGACAGCCGCCGTCCGAGTCGAGTCAATGCCCTGGTCGGTTGATTTAAGCGAGCAGCAAGACATCCGCTTTTTTGCACATTGCCACGACCATCTTGTGGAACATGATCTGCGGCAGCTACTCAAGCAGCAGACGACAATCAGGCGTCATCAGGCCTGGACAACCCAACGTCGTGTCAAGAGAGCGATACCAGATCTTGCCGACGTGGAGTGGCGGTCCACCCTTGCCCATGTCCACGACAAGCGCTCTGTGCACACGTTCTTCAGCAGTGCTGCTGATACCTCTCAGAGGACACATCATATTAAGAAGCTGCATGGTATACTGCCTACCCTGAATACCATGAAGGCTCGCCACCCGAGTCTATATCCTGACCGTGTCTGCTGCGTCTGCGATGTTCAGGACGAAGACAACCATCACCTGTGGACGTGCAGTGCTACTAGAGATGTCCACAAGGCGATCTGGCGCGAAGGGCTACAGCAGATTGATAAGTGGGGACGAGCTGCAACGACCGCATACAACAAGAACAGCAAGAAGCAGCAAGAGCGTGATAGGATCCGCGCTGGAGCCGCCGCTGCTGCACCGAAACCCATTCGATGGGTTTGTCCTAACAACGA